CGTTGAAATACTCGGGCAGGTCGCTTGGGGAGTTGAGAAAAGGGGCGTTGTGGCGCCCGTAGACGGGGATGCTGGCCACGGAGGTGGAAAGGAGAGGCTCCGGAGATGAAAGATTCGCCACTTTATTTATTCCAGGACACACATCAGGGAGATTGTCGTTGGGTCCACAATCATGATCCCGGGGGTCGTTGCCCATGTGGAGCTTGCCATTAGGCGAGGGAGAAGTGTCAATCTTTTCTGCGCGCCGGGGTGCAATCGGTGTGGAGTCCGGAACGACGGGGGCGTGGAGGGTTTCGGCCTTGTCGCTGCACCTCAATCCAGAGCTAGTAGTGTCGCGGGGATTTTTTCTCTTTGTTTGAAGACCATGCTGACCATACGCTTCTTTCTGGTGTCCGTCTTGGGCAACGGGCTCTCCTTGGGCTTCTTGCTGATTCTGGTGGAGCATTGGCTTCGCACCTCGCTGTTCTCGGTTGTATTCAGGGTCCTCAATCGTGAAACCCACTCCCTGCTTGCGGTCACCGTTTGATGTATCCACAACAGCCACCTTTGGCAGGTCCGCCTGGTAGACAAAATCTTGGAGTCCTTGACGCTGGTCGTTCTCGACAGCATTTCGCTGATATCGTTCTTGCGGTGCCGGCGCTCCCGCTGTGCCATTTTCGCAGTCGGCATTGCTATCGAAACTGGTTTCTCTGTTTTCCAGCCGCCCTCTGACACTGACTGTGCTGGAGTTGCGTTTTTTTTCGCGATAGGCGTCAGTAAGGCCTGCAAGGTCATTTCTCACCCTCGGAGCCGAGGAATAACAGCTCTCGGTTTCTCTGTTCGGATTGTAGCCCGTCGACGAAAAGTCGTCTCGTGTCGACGGCCGGATATCAACATGGCCGCGGCCGGGCCGCGCAGCGGCAGCCGCGTTCCTGCTTATCACATCGTCCTCAATCGTACTCGTCGCCGCCGGCCTCCTGGCGTCGTTTTGCTCCTGATAGTAGGAGCTTCCATGATTGCCGGCGGACAAGGTGGTGTTCACTTCTACGCCGTCGTAGGAGAAGGTCGCGTTTCGTTCACGACCGCGAGGGTCGCGTGGCACAAGAACATTTCCCCGTTCTTGTGGCAGATCGTCCTGCTCCTCCCGTGCACCTTGCCACTCGACGTAGGCAGCCTGTTCATCTCGAACACCTTCTCCTTGTCCTTGTTGTCCCACGCCGGCTCCTGCATGTGCATTTCTATTTCCGGTCTGTGCATGAAAAACTTTAGCCTCGAAGTCGAACGTGGTCGCAGTATGCAACGCCGACGTTGCTTGGGTGGGAACTGGGGCGACGGGTACGGGGTAGCTTGGGACATCGTGCTCTTCTTGGACGAAGCGCGCATTGTTCTTTTCGAAGCGTCTAATATTATTGCCTGGCTCTGCTAAGTCGCGGCCGGCGGCATTAGTAGCCCTACCCTGATCTGGATGGTCGTGAGGGTGAAAATTACGTCGGCCAGATGGAATCACGGGTCGTGGGGGATTGTCTTTGTGCTCAAAATGGTTGCTGTGCCGGTCGCCGCCCATAGGGTAAATTATCTAGAGGTCGTCGCACCACAGGAGGAGCAGTCACAGTCACTGGTTCGAGGTAATAAACAGGTGATACTGCTCCGCCTGTCGATATAGTAGTTGTCGCGCCGATATTTATTTACAACTTGTTTTACTCGAAACAATGTAGTACCAAGAAACTCTTTATTCCGGGGAACAAGGGCCAATAATGCATGCGGCACAATCTGGACCTCATTCAGAAAGCTGCTCGTCCCTGATGCACTCTCCCACTTTTATTTGTGTCCTTCGGACCTCCACCAGGGATTACGAGCTTCTGAGGCTTTCAGAAACGTCGATAAACTTGCCCGTGCGAAAATCTTCTCTCGGGTTTGGCAGAAAAATGTCCATCCGTGTGCGTTCCACTGTGCAAAACTCCTGTCTAAAGATTAAAACTAGTCGCAGAATTGTGTATAAAGTTCTAGTCGTGTGAAACTGAAACCGGTCGAAAGTGCTGTTACTTAGTTATCTACAAAAATATTCTTTTGCGACTCATGAAACTGGGATATGATAGTAACGTGCTGCCTTTGTGATTGACAATTCTCAGGAGCACTACATATGTTGACAGAAAAACTTCCAAGTGCCACCAGTCATCATACACTATACCAGAAACGTTGCCGTTCAAAGGCAGTTCCATAGAATCATCTAGGGGTATATCTATGTACTGAAAAAATGGTCGCCATATTACCGCGACTACAACTGCCCGTGCCTGAAGCGATGAAAAACGAATTTTTATCAAACGAGGAAATAAAGCGCATCACCAACAGCAGTGAGACGATGCCACGACGAGCGGCGATCTGACAAAACGACTTTATCACGATTAGATTTTTATATGAAAGCGATTTCAATTTTCGTTTGCGGCACGGAGCCGAAGTCGTTCGTTCCTAATGTAGTCGATGTTGAAACACGATGAATTTATTTCGATTTGCATCTCCTGTGTTAAAAACCTCGCGGTAGTGCCATTTCTCTATTGTCTCAAGTGGTCTTTCTTCGACAGGATGAGCTGCCAGCCAGTACTGGTGCACCATCTTAAAAATAAGTACTCAAGACCTTGGCTCTGATGGAATCGCACTGCCAGGTTCGCAGCCAGTTGCAATTCTAATTCAGTATACACTTGTCAGTATAGCAAATGCAAGCCACAGAAATAAGGTCCATTGCCCTGCATGCTACAGAATCGATTTCAAGGCTTGGTCAGCGAGTGCAGGAACGATATGATCGTTGGAGAACAGAAAAATCATTTATGAGCACAATGAATGATGATCATTTCTCTATCTGAGACCACCTGGGAGGGTAGTAAACAAGACCTCTAGGGAGTTTTGGCATACACCAGAAGCCTCCGAATCGTGTTTCCCATCGTCTCCGCCTGTTGCGTATTTTTCTCCAAACTAACTGCACGAGCCTCAGCTAGAAGTCGTGCAACGCAACTTTCTCACTTTTGTCAAAAGCTAGGTAGTCGCTCTTGGAGATGCAACTTTAACTCGTCAAACAGCTGCGATGCTCATAGTGTCTTGGTCGTGCTCCTCGTTGTTCTGGCTCTCCTGGCATCACAGTTGCTTTTCCGAAATCTCTATCTCTTCCCGCGGCACCTCCCAAGAGGAAGATCCTACCATAGCTAACATCCGGTGCCGCCAGATGCCTTGCAGCGTTGCAGAACAGCCAAAACAAGTCGAGCAGCATATATTTATAAATATCTGGCGCACCAACATCAAGAAATCGATAAATTACGAAGATACAGTGAGTAAGAGTCGTACATTGTGTCGAATAGAAAAAACTTTCTGGGAATAATTTTTCCGGCAGTGTCGCAACTAGAAAGGTCGTCGTTAAAAGGTGAGACGATGAAAACGAAGACTACTTCTTCTTCGTGAAGATAGTAACTGTTTCGGTTTCTGTTTTTGGATAAACTACTATCCGATCCTTCTGCTGGTCGTGTGAAAAAGTACAGATTTCCGTTTCGCTTTCGATGCAAGTGCAACAGACAATGCTTTAGTTGGACAACTGATGACCTCGTCCTAACTACAACTTTTATTAGGTTCAAAATACTAAAAAAACTCCGCTTTGACGTGGTGATAAACTCAAATTGCAAATCCGTCGAAAAATGCATTTCCGGTGGTGTGAAACAGGTAAAAAATACGTCGCATATTTTTTGCTCGAACCAGATACAAGCACGGTGCTAGCATCCACTTCTTGTCGTGTGTCTACCGCGTGAGTAGTAACTTCCGTTTGGTTGTTCGCTTTATTCAATTTCTAGGTGTTTTGCTTCCGCCTTTCGCTAACACCCTTCAGTCCCAAGAGTGGTCTCCCATCTTGACCCGCAGACGCTGTGCTATCGAGGTGTAAAGGAACTTCGAGTGGTCAAAGAAAATGGTTTTTTTGTATTGCAGAATCGCAATTATTATAATGCAGCAAGAACCTCGCCCAAATAGCGGTCTGCAGAACAATCTTCCGGCTGATCCTGATCCTGCTAATCTGCATACTTCTTACATCCCCTTGCGATGCAAAGTTAATAGAAACCTTTCATCGCGATTATCTTGCAAAATTTTGCAATCAATACAAACTACCCCCATGACACCTTGACTCGAAGTGGTCCCCGCAAAATTTCGGATAGCATCCCAGCCCTTAATCTTTCGGTCATCCAACTTGTCCACCAAATCCTGCGCCATAGACCTGAAAAGAAGGAAGTACGAAGTGAATTATTGCGATATTTGCATGAGAAATCAATGCACGAGTGCATAAAAAGTCCGCAGCACAAACTCGTCTTCAAACTCCGAAATTACATCAAGTCGAATTCATCTCTATACCTGCTCTTGAACTCCAAAATCCCGCAGGCCGTGCCCTGACGGTTGCGAAAGGTGCGGGCAAACGTCACATCCATGTATCTGTCACCGCCCACATGCTGCCTTCCCATTTCCTTCAACTAGAGTATGGAATTGAAAACTTTTCGTTTCTCGTGCGCAGAATTTGTGAATTTGTGTTGCATAAAACCACATAGATACATAGATAGTAGAGATAGCAGCCAGTACCAGTAGCGTCAATGTGGTTCTGCATCACAAACTCTCATTCTGCGATCAAGAGCCGGAAGAGTTCTTGCATATCGGTCCAGGTCATGTCGTTCGGAATTCCTTCCAACGTGATCTTGTAAGCGCCCTCCGACAACTCACCTGGAATTTCAATTTGTAATTATGCGGAGGAAAATGTAGTGGTTGAAATTTTTTCTCCTCGGAACAAGCGTCCTCGGCTTTGTACTTTCTTCGGAAAAATAAATCCACCAGTCTGTGTTGCACAAAACCAAACTCGCGATTCCTACTTCGTCATGCAGAATAACCTCAAGAACAAAAAGCACAGTCATCAAGTACTAAAAGTCAAGTACTAAAAGTAAGCGCTTCTTGCAAAAGGGGTCCACATAGGCGCGCTGCACAAGCCACGCGCGCCAATAATCATGTTAATTCCATGACCCAACTTTCGCTGAACTCCACGAGGTGAAGCTCTTGCGCCTCTGGGTCGCAGGTGCTGCGTACGCGATCAGAAATTTTTTCGCTAACCAAGCCGGAGACGGCATTTCAGGAAATCCGGGACTGCCGGGGCGCTCTCCATGTGCGCGCCTCCACTCATATTGAAATTGGTTGTACGACCAGAGCGGCGAAGTTCCGTCAGATTGTCGGCGCCATTTGTCGGCAAATTTCCGAAACGGTGTATCCAAATGAAAACACAATACTTCACGCAGTAACAAGACTAGCTTCGTGATGCATTTCCAGCTGTGTTTTCTCGCGCTGCAGGCCATCGCTCTAGCCAGAACGTAATACTATTGATTGCTTGACGCATGCTTGCCAAACTACATGGACGACGCTCTACTCTTCTATCTTCTTGTCATTTCGCATGGCAAATCAATTAGAAGGACCGGACGGAGTACCCTTTCCCAGTGCGGCCAGAGGTCTGTACCACAATTACTTTTCTATATTTGTGTCGCGAAAGATCACGCAGACACACAAACACCATGCAAGAGATGCTTCTTACACTTATTAGCCGAGGAGGTATTGCCTTTACATTTGGATAGATTCGACGAAATAGCGGATGCCAATTTCTGTCAATCGGGTCTTCAAAGTGATAGTACGACTCGATATCGTTCGGATGCGCCGCATCGAGAATGTACTCGTGGTTGAGGCAGTAACCTGATGAAATGCAAGGTGAAGTACGAACCCAAATGAGCGCTTTATTTCAAAATCATCAAAGAGCCACTTAGTCGAGGACGGCAACCTTTTACATACTCATACTCAACAAAAATTGATCAACATTAAGTCAACAAGCATATAGTTTTAGTTACCATGCTTAGCGTGATATGGCCCACGACTCCCATAAATTTTGCTATGCTTCTGAAACAACAACTCCGCTGCCATCGCTAGACGGCATCTGCTGTCAAATTTTTCATAATGTCTGCTCCTCGCGATTCTTATTGGTAGCGTTCGACCCCATCCCAATACGCGTCCCTTTGTCAAAACAGTGCCGGGTGGGTTCCACACAACCAGTCGTCCGCCCGTGACTTGTTTGCACGATGAGCTACTTTTCCGATATTTGCATGCACCCTTAGCAGGTGCATCCTCGTGAAAGAAGTTCAGAACCTCTCGAAAGAATGCCTGATCGCTCTTCTGGCACCCGCGACGCAATTTTTCTGCGCTGTATGTATCAGCGTAACCCCAAGGATGATGATTCGGCAATATCGTCTCCGCAAGTGCTGACGGAGGGTCACATGTTTTTGCTGCCATTGCCATGAGAAAGAGTACCTGTAGACAACAACGACGGAGAGAAACTTTGATGAACAGAGCGCAAAAATTACAGTTACACAAACAGAGGCATTCGGAAAGTCATTGTTTCTACGGCACTTTATCAAGATGTCTGGGAGCAGAACGGGCACTCGCGCATGTGAAGCCATAGATTCATATTTATCTACTGCAACGTAAAATCAAAAGCTATGAAGTACGGTCCATTTCATTTCGGATGGCGGCAGCTGCTGCTGGTTCCCAGTCTGTGTTGGCTTTCTTTGCACTTGGGTCTGGAAATATTTTACGTAATCGTATCCGCCATCTAGTTCCGCATTCCAGTAGTCTGCCGGCCTTTTCTCACCAACCTTTTCGCGCAGAACTTCGAGAAATAGCTCCTCACAGTTTTCGGTGCGTCTTGCGAGCGAAGTATCCTTGTCGTGCTGCTCGCGCACCGCAGTTGCCAGTTTCGCACCGGCGCCAGAAGGATCTTTCTGGGAATGCGACCTACTGCTCTGAAGAAACAAAGCGGCATCGGCTGCATTCAAAAAGCTCAAGATGCCGTCACTTTCGTTGAGAGACTGTGTCCGACTTCCTGCCAAAATAAGACCCGGCTCTGCCGCACTCAAATCACCTAGAAAGTGGGGCTGCGCCGGCGGAACGCGCGGATCCTGCTGCACATTGTTCCTTGTTTCCCCGCGTTGACCAAGCGCTCCTGCAGCAAAGCAGCTCAAGCAGAGCATGATCATGCTTCTTAAGCGAGGAAACAAGCATCTCTTTAGAACGTTCCGTCTTAAGGTAGACAGAGCTACGGGACTTCTTTGCGAGAATCGCATCGTAAGCAAGTGAACCAGTACAGTAGTATTATTTTGCAGTATTATCCGCTGTAAGTAGGGGCACTTCTATGTATTGAAGTTCAACAACATTATACAAAAACATATCCCGAACGCGCTGGCGCTAATATCAAATCATACAAAAATATTGGTGCTTTCGTGGCGCAAAAAATTGCTAAAAGGAGTCACGGAGAAATCTGTCGAAAGCAAAGAAGAAGGCTGTAGAGCAACTGCATCTGCCACACGCGTATCAGAAGCTATTTTTTTACGAAAAATCTTATGGGAAATCTTATAAGCAGAACCTACCATTCACCGTAAATAATGTTTCGTAAAAAATATATCACACAATATCTAGACCGTCATGCGTGCCACGTGCTGCCTGCGAAAAAAATCAAATAGAGAATACAATAAGGAATCCTACGGCTTTCAGGTTCTTTCTTGCAAATGTCGAAACGGATCCAACCGTCATCTATCTTGATCTAGCCCTCCCTGGTCTTGCTCATATCCACCTAAAATATAGCCGCTGCGACGGAGGTAATGAGGACACACTGGTTTTTATTTTTGGCTGGGCGAAAGTCGTGGCCCCACTGCTTTCAAAAGCGCGAACCTGCCCTGCAAGCCATGGGCCGCCCATGGCTCGCGCCAGGGCTTGCCCCGTAGACGCCCCAAACTGGGCCAATAGCATGCGGGCTGGCTCTCAATGTTTGGCGAAAGGCGGCACCCTCCTGCCGCTCAAAAGGCAAAACCTTCCTCACATGCTGTGGCCCCGCCTGGGCCCTTACCCGGGGTTGCCTATTGGAGGCCCCCAACCGGGAGGCGCAATGCGTTCAGTCTTTGGCGGGAGGCGCAGCTTTTGGCATTCAAAACAGGAAGCCTCCCTCCCATGTCATGTTCCCACCCGGGTCCGCGCCGGGACCCGCCCATTCGGCGTCCAAGATCGGGCCAATAGCGCGCGGGCTGACTTTCGCTTTTGAGCGGTCTTTGTTTCTTTTGTTTTTTTCGGCAAAGGAGCGCGACTTCTGGCCGGCTCTCCGATCTCCAAATGGCTTATCTTGGTGGCCACTTTTTCGCTTTCAAAAGTTGGAAAAAAATGACGCCCACACCATGCGGGCTCGGTACCCCTTTCCCATTGCCATTTTTTTGGCGTCCATATTTCTTGGAGTCCAAGGGGCTTCTTTTTATTTTGAAAAACACTTTCGCGGGCTGCAGCTCGTTTTGCGCGGGGGGTGTCGTAAAATCCGCCAGACTAGAACGCTCGTGACCTACTACTTCTACATACGATTGAGGCTCGAACCCCTTTTTGCTTCATTTTGGATGCTCGTATCCTGCTCGCCTCACGTTCATGTTTTGTACAGCCGCTTTCCATGATCGGTCCTCCTTCGTGGATCTTTGTCTTTCGGTGTCGAACGACATTACTTCGTTCTTTTTTTATCTATAGCATATTCAGGAGCGGCAGTACAGCGTCTTTCGAAATCTTTATCGTATGAGGGTCTTTACTGTTTGAAAATGGTTCGCAATACATAGCGCATCTTATCTGACCGTGTATGATCCAGCTACAGCTGTCGCTTGTGATCTTTTAACAGCTGATCTTCTGAGCGTACCAACGGTTCCAAGATATACAAAGTTAGGAGCAAAGCAGTGCCTACTTCCGCGCTCCATTTCAACTTGTTCTCAAGCCGGCAAATAATGCCTCTTAGCAGAAATTCCTTCAGAATCAGATTGATTCAGATCTAGATCTACAACTTCTTCGCCGCAATAAATACAGTACTCTCGTGCGTCACTAAGAAACGCAACACGCACACTCTGGACAGTCACAGTTAGGAGCAGCGTCGCGACAAAGAGTAGAACAGCACTGGCCTTCGCTGCTACATTTTCCATGTCTCAATACTTTAAGGTTAAGCAGAGTCACGCGAGAGAAAAGCCCATGTCGTTTTGCTGGAATCATTTTTTCGACCAAGGCATTCATCATGTGACGCTGGTAGGTCAAACCGTGAAGGAAACGTGTGCGACTCCGGCGTATATGCCAGTCATCTTGCAGCTGACGGCCCTCTCGATGGCGACTGCATCGCCAGTTTCGGTGTTTACGGAATGTCAGGTTGTATGCTCGGGCGCGACTGTTGACCTTTTTCCTTGTCCAGCCAGTATATTGGACGAAACTGGTCAAAGACACTCTTCGGATCAAAGTGCGTGTAGATGTCAACTACGTCAGGCGTTTCAGCGAGAATATGGTTAAACTTCAGTTCGGTAGCATTCGTGCGGAAGCGTATTTTCATCCGCCGTGCTTTTAGCCAGATCCAACGAAAATGGCGATAACTCCAAACGGGCCCGCGTCCGGTCGAATTTTCACGCCAAAATCTGGCGCGCTTGCGAAATTCGCGCTGGAAGTCGGTGTGCCAGGTCATCGGGACGGGCGAGGAATCCGGGGACAGATCTGGCTGGCGAGACTCTATCTCCTCAGGCCACTGGTGTCGCTTTGCAGGATGCCATTTCTGCTGCAAGTCTTTCTTTTTTGTGGTGTTCAAGCAGTAACCTGGCGTGAGTTGGTTATATCGGTCAGAATCATGCTATGACACCAATTTTGGGTATGTCAAAATTGAAAAGCCTGAACTAGCATCGGGTGCGCGAAGGGAAGCGGAGTCGGTCGCTCCGGTCGAAATGAAATTTTCAAAAAACCGCTTCAGACTCGACAAAAGGTCGCATACTTGTACGTTGAACGAAGTATGTGAGTACCATAGAAGGTTGAGAATCTCCATGCGCGCGCAAATCGCACCTCGCCCGTAGCTTGAAAAAGAAACTCCGTCGTCATTGCGATTCGGCAGCGCTGCTCTCGCAATGCGAGAGGCATCGTCCCGTGCGCATCTGCAGCCTCATACCCCGCGCTTGAGGCCGACGAGCTGGCGGCGGTACGAACCGTGCCATCTTTGGAAGAAGAAGCAAAAGTCGAGGGGTCGTCCCAGACAATTACACTTCGGTTCAGATCCGAGTCGCTCTCCGGAGGAGCTCCTGGTGTTGCGGAGGGAGGGTGCGTGACGCGTTCGTGCAGAAAATCCCAAACTTCAGCGAAGAAGTCTTTGTCCTGCAACGCGCACCCGGTTTCCAGTCGCGCGGGGCTGTAAATTATGTACTCGGCGCTGGGCCAGTAACTGTAGTCGTACCGCTGCACGAGATCTTTCAGTGGTTTCGCCCCGATGTCCACGTGACAGAACGGCATCATAGCCAAGATCGTTCGAACCTGTCGTGATGAACGGAGGTAGGTTGCCACTCTTTTCCAAAATCAAATGCAGCATAATCAAAACTCCCAATCCCAGAGCGAATGAACAACAACCAAAAAGTTACGAAGACAAATTACCGTCCATCTATCCCGTGGAAACGAGTCGTGCTTCGGGACAAGATATTCACGGAGGTCTACTCCACCAAGTACCAAACTCCCGCCCTGAGTGGTTTCTGGCTCGTCCTCTTCGTCCTCAGAATCGGACTCTACCACATCACTAGGTCCTTCATATTCTTGGAAGAATGCGTTTGTCTCTTGCAAATAGTCCCGGCCGTGGTCAACATCCGCGTTCCAGAAATCCTTTGGTTTCCGATATCAAGTTCAAGACATCCACCCTGACTTGCGTCTACCTCTCGCCCTGCGGGGGGGGCGCATTCGAATCGTGGTTGCAGCGCACAACCGCACGGCGTGATGATCAAATTGCTAGTACGAGATCCTGCTGTTTTGGGCTAGCTTGAGCACACTCTACAAGATCTCTCATGCCTTTCGTATAAGCAGCATCGAAATCGTTGATCAACACATAATTTTGCAATATCTTTCAAGGACAAGAGGTACACGACCAGAGAGGGAGTTACACTTATTTTCCCATTCATATCAACCCCTCCATGCCTGGAATCTTCGCCAGCTGCTCCTCCAGAAATTCCACAAACAGGTTCTCGCAACTCACCGTCTCCGTTTGCCGCTCATCCAGCGACGCCACCTTCAACTCGGCTAGCCTCGTTGGCGGAGGGCGTAATGCTGGACTTCTACTGTCAATTGCTGTTCCAGGAAGAGCGAAAATGGACGAGGAAGAGCTGAAACTGCCTCCTCCGGAAGCTGCGGCACTCCCGGAAGCTGGAATGCTGTTCCCCTCAAATACCGCTTTTGCGCCACTGCCCGCATTTTGTGCTGCGCCAGGCTGCACTTGGTTTCCGCCACTCGGTTCCGCAGTACCAGCTCCAACATCTGTCGGCCCACCTGGTCCGGTACCTCCTCGTCTTTCGGGGGTGGCCGAGTGGGCCGGCCTCGGTGAGGTCGCAGGTGGACTCAAGGGGACCTTGGTGAGATCGAGGGAACCTTGGTGCTCTTGCGCCTGACGAGTCGCGCCAGTCTGCGTGGTTTCCTCTTGTTCGCTGCCTTCAGGCGCTGGCTGTGCCGATTGGTTTTCGTCCCTGGTGGTCGTTTCGTGCGCTGCTGGATTACTTGCATTTTCTAACCGGGCAAAGGGAATTTTTTGTTGAAGGGATGCAAACTCCGCCCGCACTGATTCATCTGTTGGACAGAAGGAGTCCGCCTTGTAGACAAACGACTCACCGACATCGGTAGCAAATTTCCAATCTAGTCTGTTGTTATTTTGATCCCGGTGAGACTTTAATCGAGCCTTGATCCAATTCCACCGAAAATGTATGTAGCTCCACTTTGCCCCCGATCCTGTCGATCCACGTCTCCAAAAGGATGCCCGCCGATAAAACTCTGCGCGAAACGTCTCGTGCCACTTCGGGTGCACCAAAGGTTCAGTGCTGCCTTTGCTGTGCCGCGTCTGCTCTTCGGCAATCGCCTTCTCTGGCCAGTGTTCAGGCTTCTCATCTAGATTCAGTTTCTCTCGAGGACCCGTATCAAGGCAATAACCTGAGGATGTTAAATGCCACGTAACTTTTCCTCGCTGGATATACACCATATCATCAATGAATGTGAAACAGAACCATGTTTGAGTGAAATGCGAGATGATCACAAGTACCATATGGTAGGTCGTCAAAATTCGTGGGTCCAAATTCGTGAACGCAATTTTGAGCTTGGAAAAGATATTCCGTAGCCATTCCGATGCGGCAGCGCTCCTCATGAATCACACGACCAGACTCGGAGACGTTGGCAGAAATGGGAGTCCACCCGCCTCGCCCGTCCGGTTCAAGACGCTCCGGAACCAAAATCAAAGGGTGTTCCCAGACTACGAGAGATGTGGACGCAGAGTTCGTGGTGCTTGGAATTCGTTCGTGAAAAAAGTTTAACACGTGTTTGAAAAAGGGCTCGTCTTCTGCAGGCAGGCACTGGGTCGTCTGCAACCGGTTTGTTTCGTAAACATCAATCTCCAACCATGGCCAACTATTCATGGCTCGCAAATCGAAGGCACGAAAATTTCCATAACAGTGTGGCATCATGGTCATAATCGTTGCAACCTGGAAGTGCAAAGGAAAGGAAGTGTGTCTAGGAAGCCAAGCGAAATAAACATGATCTCCAAGTACTATGACACCAAAAAATGCCCGCTCCGAAGTTGATGGAGCATCGACTACAAAGAAACATAGCTGGGGATCAATACGAGCCGTCTTGCTTGCTTTGTCGACTTTCACTGCATTGTCCTTTTTTTTGTAAACCGGTGACAAAACAAAATGAACAAAAATTACAAAAAAAAATAAAAGGATAAGAGACCAAGAATAAGTACCGTCCAAATGTCCGGATCAAGTGCAGTTGTCTGCCCTAGGTGTCCGCCGGCTGCTGCGAATTGATCTCTTGCTTCTTGCAGGTAGTCCCGACCGTCATCTATTTCTGGGTTCCAGAAATCCTTTGGCTTTTTGCCGCCCATCTGTAGTTCTTCAGCCAAAAACTCAGCCAAAACCTTCAAAAACAGGCTTTCGCAGCTTTGCCCCTCCTCCTGCCTGGTTTTCAGTGCTGCGAGGTCTGCCTCTGAAACTGGTTCTGGGGCCACCTCCGGGACAAGTGGCTCTGCTGCAGCTGCTTTGCCTCTCGGCCGCCATACTGCAGTGCTGGACGAACTCCCGCCGGGCCTCGGAGTCGGCGGCGGCGAACCACCTCCTGGGCCTGTTGGTCGCCTTTCCGTGCTGTCGGAATCGGATTCTGAGTCTGAATCGCTGTCTTCAGATGATTTCGAACTAGTAGAACCAGCCGAGCTAGATCGCCCCCTCCGTCCCCCTCCGCGAGCGGACCGACCGCTCGATCCAGCGTCCGAACTACCCCCACTACGGACACTTCCGGGCGGCGAGCGCGACCTCGGGCGGAGCGGGCAACTAGGATCAGCAGACGTCCGCAAAGCCTCTGCATCTTCTCGCCCTCCCGGGGGACAGCCGCTGGCTGCATCTCCCACAGCCACCGGGGGAGCATGAGATTCGCCAGTATCTATTGATCCGCTTCCAGCGGCAGCACCCATAGGCAGAGTTTCGCCTGCGGGCAGTGCGTCCGCACACCGTAAATCATGATTTGTGCCGTCGTTTCTTCCTGCTTCGGTGGAAAAGAAAGTTGAAGAGGCGCTGCCTCCACCGGAAGCAGTACTTCCGGAAGTTGGAGTGCCGTGGCCCTGCGCAAATGTCGTCTTATTTGTCCGATCGGTGTCTGCCGTTCCGGTTCCCGTACTTGTTGTAAAATGCTGCGGTTGCTGGTTTTCGCCAGTCGGTTCTGTCCCAGAACTTCTTCCTGGTGAATTCAGATCTGAGGCACCACCGGAAGTAGAAGACCCACGAGTTTCAATACCGTCGCCATTTGGTTCCGGCGTCCGTTCTCGCTCGACGTCTCTTGTGCCTGATGCAGCTTGTGGCTGACGTCCCACACCGCCGTCGTGACTCGGATTCGACGTTGCATGACCAGGATCGCTGTTGCCGGTATTCCCCGCTGAAGCTGCAGCACTTGTTCCCAAACCGATATCTCCAGTGGAGGAAGAGTGGTCGATACTACTACCAACGTCTGATTGCGTTCCAGTTCGCGGTACTTCGCCTTGCTGTTCCTCCTGTTGGGCTGCTTGTGCTTCTTCTTGCGCCTGACGATCATTAGTTTCAGTCCCCATTGCTTCTTCGCTTCCTCGGGGTGCCTGTTCTTGCGCCGACTGGTTTTCGTCGCTGATCGTTGTTTCTTGCGTTGCTGGAGCACTTGCGACTTCTGCACGGTCACTTTCCGGAGGAGATGATGACGCAGACGGGGCGCTCAGTACTGCATCAGCATCAGCTCCTTCTGCTTGACCTTCTTGCGCCTCCGCGTCAGAAGTTGCAGTTAATGGAATTGCCGCATTCGGTTGAACAGCAACTGCCGGCTGAGCCGGCAACGTCGCAGCGGGAAGCACTGTTGCGGGGCTGGGGGAAGCAGAAGCTGCAACCTGTGCAGCAGAAACGGAAGCGACCGGTGCTGGTTTTGGCGCTGCCGCACCACCCGTCGGCGCTGCAGGTTTTGGTGTCGCCGGCGCCAGAAACTCCGCTCCGGAAACGGGTCTCGGGGGGAAGCGGCTCAACAAGCCCGATGAAGGACTCGCAGGAGGGGTCGGTTGCTGCAAAGGAGCGGTGGTTCCGGGTCCGGCACTCCCGCTCTGACCATCATTTCCTAGACCTGTTGGTGGGCCGCTGGAGTTCCCGCTGGGTGACCCCCCACCGCCGCCACCCTCACCACCACCTCCATCCCCGTTGAAGATTCTCGTTGGGACTAAAATGTTCGGCTTATGCCCGCCGCCGAAGCCGCCAAACGGATACTCATCACCGTCCCCTGAAGATCCCAGCTCTGCTTTCTGTTTGCTCCCCTCGCTCACGTTGCCCATATGGACTGCCAAGCCAGTAGCGCCCGCGAGGAGACAAACAGCGATGATGGTGATGATGATGGTTGAAAGCGATGAGGCCAGGAAAGCGGCGCAAGGAGATGATGCGGAAGATGTCGATGCTGAAGAGGGATCCTCTGTCATGGAATGAAATTTGTCTTCTTGCGACGGGTCGTCATTTTCGTCACGTGCAACACTTGGTGTCGTGTTTCGCTGCCCGGTGTCGAAGGTTTGTGTTGCAGAAGTTAGCGATGCTGTTTTGTTGTTTTCCAAAGCAAAATCTTCGGAAGCGGCGCCTTGGACCTGCTGCTGCTGCGGCGACATCAATGCCGCACCTTTCTCAGCATTTTCACCCAACTCATGCTCTTCCTCCGAGGACGATGCCAGCTCTGGCTCGTGTTCTTCTGCTACTTCATTTGCGAAATCTCGCATATTTTTGTCGCTTCTCATTTTCTTTTCTTCACCACCCGACCCCAGCACCTCCTTCTCGATTTGGCCCGTAGCGCCGCCGCCATCATCCAGGTTTCCAAGTCCGTCCTGTCGTCGTGCCAATAGCTCGGCTTTCTCCGCACCCGTAGCACCGAAAGAAGTCGAGTTGCAGGAGTAGTTCATCTCTTGTTTCGCCAACAACGGTAGCGACGTCTGCTCGATAAATTCCTCTTCGTAAATGTCCGACAGCCGATGGCCCTCCCATTTCGTCGTTTTTCCCTTTATGTCTTCTTCATTGACAAGGTTTTTCGGCATTTTCAGCAGCTTTTGATTCTTTCTCTTGGTGGTCGCTTGGCATGGCTGAACATTCGCATCGTACTGCTCATCTCCCATTTCCAAATACTTCAGCACCGTCTGCGCGTCCCACCGCCGCTCCCAACGCCACCGCAGCGTCACCTGCAGCAGAGACACCAGATGGCCGAATAACGCCGCGTCTTGCTGCTCCCACCGCCGAGATTTCGAGTACAGAATCCGGACCCGGGAATCCGCCACGGCGAACTGCGCCCGCATCCCGCACCCCTCTAAATGCTCGTACGGTGCCCGACCGTACAATAATTGGTAGAGGATAATCCCCAACGCCCAAACATCGGCCGCCGGTCGCATCTTCAAACTCGCCGCCCCTTCATCCGGCTGGTAGAACGCCTCGGGCGGCATGTAGCGCGGCGTGCCGCACTGCCGATCACGGGAGACGTGGGTGATTCCTTCGTCTTTATTGATCCCTCTCGCGAGACCGAAATCAGAGACCTTCACGATGTTGTCCACGATGAGGAAATTCGCGGGTTTGAGATCAAAGTGGATCAACCCGAGGCTGTGAATCGCCGCGACACCGGCGACCATGTCGCGCCAGAGGTTGCGAATGTCGTAAATGGAGAAAATTTCGTAGTTTTTCCGGAGGAAGGAATGAAGATTGGGTATGGGAGGGGAAAAAAGGTTCTTCAGTTGCTGAACCAGAAAGTTCCAGTTAATGTACTGCTACTGCAGATATTTTGTCGCGCGGTAAGAAAATGGCAAATTCCATCCGGCTGCGGCTTCACTCGCAACATGGGAAGACATAAATAAGCTTCCCGCACTGCTGCATCTCATCCACGTTTATTCCGCATCACAAAAATACATACAACTTATGCAAGTTTCCAACCAACACAAACACTTCCCTCCCATACCACAGTCCGCGAATTCCAGCAAAATGTGGATCACCAGGTCTTTCGGAAAAAATTTCGCTTCCCCGATCATCTTCACTACTCGCAGCTCGTTTGCGTTGTGGCCAGCATTGCCATTCCCCCCTGCGGTCGCACGATTTTTGTCCCGCAAAGCCCGCAGCCAGTTTACCTCCATGGCAAACGAACGCATTTGCCGTGCGTCCCGTGCGTAGACGACCTTCAATGCGTACCGGGTGGCGGATAGCTGAGAAGCTTTCATCTCCCTGTCGCGACCGTTGCCGCTGCTTCCAATGCCACCACTTCGCGACGCGTCACGATTGCAGCTGTAGTTGCCACGACTTCCCGACGCCGTCGTACTTGAGCCTCCGTCTACAACACAAGTTCGCAAATCCACGCACTCAAACACTTCCGCGGATCCGCCCTTGCCGATCCGCTTCACAACTTCGAGCAATAAAGTCGGCTTGTTGAAGTCCACGCGATGGTTGTCAACCACCTCTTCGCCCATGCAGATGACCATGCCTGGGCCAACGCGGGCGGTGGCGGTCACGTTGATGTTTTTGCGCTGAATGAAGGCAAACGTGGAGAGTAACGAATCATTTTCCTGGTACGAAGTCCGGCAGTCCTCATCGTTGAAATACTCGGGCAGGTCGCTTGGGGAGTTGAGAAAAGGGGCGTTGTGGCGCCCGTAGACGGGGATGCTGGCCACGGAGCTGGAAAGGAGAGGCCCCGGAGATGAAAGATTCGCCACTTTATTTACTCCAGGACACACATCAGGGAGATTGTCGTTGGGTCCACAATCATGATCCCGGGGGTCGTTGCCCATGTGGAGCTTGCCATTAGGCGAGGGAGAAGTGTCAATCTTTTCTGCGCGCCGGGGTGCAATCGGTGTGGAGTCCGGAACGACGGGGGCGCGGAGGGTTTCGGCCTTGTCGCTGCACCTCAATCCAGAGCTAGTAGTGTCGCGGGGATTTTTTCTCTTTGTTTGAAGACCATGCTGACCATACGCTTCTTTCTGGTGTCCGTCTTGGGCAACGGGCTCTCCTTGGGCTTCTTGCTGATTCTGGTGGAGCATTGGCTTCGCACCTCGCTGTTCTCGGTTGTATTCAGGGTCCTCAATCGTGAAACCCACTCCCTGCTCGCGGTCACCGTTTGATGTATCCACAACAGCCACCTTTGGCAAGTCTGCCTGGTAGATAAAATCTTGGAGTCCTTGATGCTCGTCGTTTTCGGCGGCATTTCGCTGATGTCGTTTTTGCGGTGCCGGCGCTGCCGCTGTGCCATTTTCGCAGTCGGCATTGCTCTCGAAACTGGTTTCTCTGTTTTCCAGCCGCCCTCTGCCTGTGCGGGGGTAGTTGCGCTTCTTGTCACTATACGCATCAGTGTCAGTGAGGCCTGCATGGTCAACATTTCTCACCCTCGGGGCTGAGGAATAACAACTCTCGGTCTCTCTGTTCGGATTGTAGGCCATCGACGAAAAATCGTCTCGTGTCGACGGCCGGATATCAACATGGCCGCGGCCGGGCCGCGCAGCGGCAGCCGCTCCTGTCCTGCTTATCACATCGTCTTCAATCGTACTCGTCGCCGCCGGCCTTCTGGCGTCGTTTTGCTCCTGATAGTAGGAGCTTCCATGATTGCCAGCGGACAAGGTGGTGTTCACCTCTACGCCGTCGTAGGAGAAGCTCGCGTTTTGTTCACGACCGCGAGGGTCGTGTGGCACAAGAACATTTCCCCGTTCTTGTGGCAGATCGTCCTGCTCCTCCCGTGCACCTTGGCACCCGTAGGCAGCCTGTTCATGATCTCGAACACCTTCTCCTTGTTGTCCCACGCCCGCTCCTGCATGTGCATTTCCATTTGCGCCCTGTGCATGAAAAACTTTCGCCTCGAAGTCGAACGTGGTCGCAGTATGCAACGCCGACGTTGCTTGTGTGGGAACTGGGGCGACGGGTAAAGGGTAGCTTGGGACATCGTGCTCTTCTTGGACGAAGCGCGCATTGTTCTTTTCGAAGCGTCTAATATTATTGCCCGGCTCTGCTAAGTCGCGGCCGGCGGCATTAGTAGTTCTACCCTGATCTGGATGGTCGTGAGGGTGAAAATTACGTCGGCCAGATGGAATCACGGGTCGTGGGGGATTGTCTTTGTGCTCGAAATGGTGGCTGTGCTGGTCGTCGCCCATAGGGTAAATTATCTTCAGGTCGTCGCACCACAGCAGGAGCAATCACTGGCGTGTAGGTAATAATAAAGGGGAGATGTTGCAGCTCTGCCTGTCGATGTATTAGTTGTCGCGCCGATATTTTACAACTTGTTTTATTCGAGATTGTAAGGCTTTCAGAGAAACTTGTCCGTGCGAAAATCTTCTCTCAGGTTTGGCAGAAAAATGCCCATCCGTGTGCGTTCCACTATGCAAAACTCCTGTCTAAAGATTAAAACTAGTCCTAGTCGCAGAATTGTGTATAATATCAAGCTCTAGTTGTGTGAAACTGAAACCGGTCGAAAGTGCTATTATTTATCTACAAAAATATTCTTCTGCAACTCACGAAACTGGGATATGATAGTACCGTGCTGCCTTTGTGATTGATAATTCTCAGAAACCATACATATGTTGACAGAAAAACTTCCAAGTGCCAGTCATCATACACTAAACCAGAAACATTGCCGTTCAAAGGCAGTTCCATAGAATCGTCTAGGCGTATATCTATGTAGTGAAAAAATAGTCGCCATATTGAAACGACTACAACTGCCCGTGCCTGAAGCGATGAAAAACGAATTTTTATCAAACGAGGAAATAAGTAAAACGCATCACCAAGAGCAGTGAGACATGCCACGACGAGCGGCGATCTGACAAAACGACTTTATCACGATTAGATTTTTATATGAGAGCGATTTCAATTTGAGTCTTTCGTTTGCGACAAGGAGCAGAGCATTACAGCACTAGTGAGTCGAAATGGTTTGTTCATGTAGTCGGTGAAACGTAATAAATTTCTTTCGATTTGCATCTACTGCGTTGAAAGCCTCGTAGCAGTGCCATTTCTCCATTGTCTCAAGCGGCATTTCTACGACAGGATGAGCTGCCAGCCGGTACTGCTGCACCATCTTAAAAATACTCAAGACCTTGGCTCTGATGGAATCGCACTGCCAGGTTCGCAGCCAGTTGCAATTCACCTACACTTCTCAGTATAGCAAATGCAAGCCACAAAAATAAGGTCCATTGCCCTGCAGGCTGTATAATCGATTTCAAGGCTTGGTCAGCGAGTGCAGGAACGATATGATCGTCGGAGAACAAAAAAATCATTTATGAGCACAATGGATGATGATCATTTCTCTATCTGAGACCACCTGGGAGGGTAGCAAACAAGACCTCTAGGGAGTTTTGGCATACACCAGAAGCCTCCGAATCGTATTTCCCATCGTCTCCGCCTGTTGCGTATTTTTCTCCAAACTAACTGGTGCACGAGCCTCGGCTACTACTAGAAGTGCAACGCAATCTTCTCATTTTTGACAAAGAAAAGCTAGGTAGTCGCTCTTGGAGTTGCAACTTTATTAAGTCGTCAAAGTACAGCTGCGACACTGATAGTGCCTTGGTCGTGCTCCTCGTTGTTCTGGCTCTCCTCGCACCATGAAACAAATACCACAGTTGCTTTTCCGAAATCTCTATCTCTTCCCGCTGCACTAAGAAATTATACTGGTGCAATGTGTTATCGTGAAGGAGCGGTGGTGAAACCAAAAGTAGTGGTCCTTAGTCGAGCATCTTCTTTCCAAGAGGACAGAGATCCTACCATAGCTAACATCCGGTGCCGTCACATGCCTTGCAGCGTTGCAGACCAGCCAAAACAAGGCAAGCAGCATCCATATATTTATACTTAAATATCTGGTGCACCAACATGAAGAAATCGATAGATTACAAAGAGTAACAAGAGTACATTATTTAAGTCGAATAGAAAAAACTTTCTGGGAATAATTTTTCCGGCAGTGTCGCAAATAGAAAGGTCGTCGTTAAAAGGTGAGACGATGAAAACCAAGACAGCCGTTGTTCTACTTCTTCTTCGTGAAGATAGCGGCTGTTTCGGTTTCTGTTACCGGCCCACCGTGGTGTGAAAAAGTACAGATCTCCGTTTCGCTTTCAATGCAAGTGCAACAGACAATGCTTTGGTTGGACAGCTGATGACCTCCTAACTCCAACTTTTATTAGGTTCAAAATACTAAAAACTCTCCGCTTTGACGTCGTGATAAACTCAAATTGCAAATCCGTCGAAAAATGCATTTCCGGTGGTGTGAAACAGGTAAAAAATACGTCGCATATTTTTTGCTCGAACCAGATACAAGCACGGCGCTAGCATCCACTTCTTGTCGTGTGTCTACCGCTTGACTAGTAACTTCCGTTTGGTTGTTCGCTTTATTCAATTTCTAGGTGTTTTGCTTCCGCCTTTCGCTAACACCCTTCAGTCCCAAGAGTGGTCTCCCATCTTGACCCGCAGACGCTGTGCTATCGAGGTGTAAAGCCGCTTCGAGTCGTCAAAGAAAATGGTTTTTTTGTATTGCAGAATCGCAATTATTATAGTGCAGCAAGAACCTCGCCCAAATAGTGGTTTGCAGAACAATCTTCCTGCTGATCCTGCTAATCTGCAGCTAATCTGCATACTTCTTACAATCCCTTGTGATGCAAAGTTAATAGAAACCGTTCATCTTCATAATCTTGCAAAATTTTGCAATACAAACTACCCCCATGACACCTTGACTCGAAGTGGTCCCCGCAAAATTTCGGATAGCATCCCAGCCCTTAATCTTTCGGTCATCCAACTTGTCCACCAAATCCTGCGCCATAGACCTGAAAAGAAGGAAGTACGAAGTGAATTATTGCGATATTTGCATGAGAAATCAATGCACGAGTGCATAAAAAGTCCGCAGCACAAACTCGTCTTCAAACTCCGAAATTACATCAAGTCGAATTCATCTCTATACCTGCTCTTGAACTCCAAAATCCCGCAGGCCGTGCCCTGACGGTTGCGAAAGGTGCGGGCAAACGTCACATCCATGTATCTGTCACCGCCCACATGCTGCCTTCCCATTTCCTTCAACTAGAGTATGGAATTGAAAACTTTTCGTTTCTCGTGCGCAGAATTTGTGAATTTGTGTTGCATAAAACCACATAGATACATAGATAGTAGAGATAGCAGCCAGTACCAGTAGCGTCAATGTGGTTCTGCATCACAAACTCTCATTCTGCGATCAAGAGCCGGAAGAGTTCTTGCATATCGGTCCAGGTCATGTCGTTCGGAATTCCCTCCAACGTGATCTTGTAAGCGCCCTCCGACAACTCACCTGGAATTTCAATTTGTAATTATGCGGAGGAAAATGTAGTGGTTGAAATTTTTTCTCCTCGGAACAAGCGTCCTCGGCTTTGTACTTTCTTCGGAAAAATAAATCCACCAGTCTGTGTTGCACAAAACCAAACTCGCGATTCCTACTTCGTCATGCAGAATAACCTCAAGAACAAAAAGCACAGTCATCAAGTACTAAAAGTACCTTTGGCCCTCGAGATGCAATGCAAAAGTATCGTAGTCCTCGTCCTAGTAAAACTACAAATGCATTACAAATTTTCTCAGCATGAGAAATAAAATTTGTAATGCGGACCGACCTTAAGAAAAAGATTTGTCATGCATGTCATCAAGTACTAAAAAAAGTACCTTTGGCCCTCGAGATGCCCTTGCGGTCGCGGTCCTTCCCCCCGCTGTACCGGCGGCCGCGGTCCCGGGAGTCGTAGCGGCCCTTGCCCTATCAAATGCAAATATGTCTGGGTCTGGAAGAATGCATGTTTGTCATGCTCCCGTGGAATGACTGTTGAAATCTGTGATGCACGGTACCCAAGAGCTGCCCCATTTTTCTGTCATGCAGATGAAACACAGTTCGTCATGCAGAAGAGGCAAGAACACCTAGAAGCTCAGAAGCTTGTCATGCTGAGCCAGCAAACTTGTGGCTTCCTCATGATACGCCATCCAGCATCACAAGAATTCCAGACATCCAGACATATTTGCAATGCATATGCCCCTGCCGCGGTCCCGGGAGTCGTGCCGGCGCTTGCCCTTCCCCTTGGAGCCCTTCTCTGCAGTAAACTGCACGGTAATCTTGTCATCCTTGCGGAAGGGACGAGCTTGATCCAGATCTTTGATAGCGTCCTGCGCACGGGTATGGAACGGTTGAGAAAGACCAAAGTCGTTGCACTGAACCCGCACTACAAAAAAAAACAAGTCAGTCTTTTTGAAGAAAGGAAGACATTATTTTTCAACTGAATACACGACTTTATTGATTCCATACAAGCTCCCCTGCAACAGAAGTCTTTTCTATCAAAGGCTGATGTTCAACCGCACTACTTTAGTAGTTGCAAAAATCATTCAACTTGTTGCCGTGCGAGTTCTAGTTCAGCATGACTGTGACTCCATTTCTGTTGCGTAATCTCCACGGTCGGTAAACTCGACGAAGCAAAACGGGGGGCCCTTGCGGACGTCGCTGTTCTTCATGCGCACGTCGACGATCTGTGATATGGAGTTTTTGATATGGGAAGGAACATTTAAGTTAAAATATTCAAGAACTTCTAAAAGAACCTCTATTGATAGAGGTTCTCGACCATTTTCTAACTTCTCCATAGATGTTCTAGGTTTTCTAGATTTCTAAGCTTTTTCTAGATTTTCTACAGTCTTTCTTTTTTCTTCTTTTCTTTATTTTTCTTAGTGATTTCGTTGCTCTTTGATTTTTTTGTTTTTTTTCTAATCTTTTCACTGTTTCTTGACATTTTCTAGCTTGAGAAGCTCTATCTCGTACCTTCTGGACCCAGAACCTCTATCACAGTAGAGGTTCTGGAGTCAGAACGTCTATTGCAATAGAGCTTCTGACCCCAGAACGTCTATTGGGATAGCGGTTCTGGGTTCCGTAGCCTCTAGATTTGTTTCTAGACTTTGGCGGCCAAGAATCTAGAAACTAGATTTCTAGAAATCTAGAAGTCTGGAAATCTAGATTTCTAGGTTCTAGAAATCTAGAAATCTAGCTTCTAGATTCTGGCAGCCAGAACGCCAGCACTCCTGCTCCGAGCAGCTAACAGTCCAGCTCCCCGGCTCTACGAGAAGCCGGCAGCTCAGCTTCCCCGGCTCTACGAGAAGCTGGAAGTCCAGCTGCCCCGGCTCTACGAGAAGCTGGGCGTCCAGCTGCCCCGGCTCTACGAGACGCTGGAAGTCCAGCTTCCCCGGCTCTACAAGAAGCTGAAAGCCCAGCTTCCCCGGCTCTACGACAAGCTGAAAGTCCAGCTTCCCCGGCTCTACGAGAAGCTGAAAGTCCATCTTCCCCGGCTCTACGAGAAGCTGACAGTCCAGCTTCCCCGGGCGGCTCTACGAGAAGCTGGAAGGCCAGCTTCTCCGGCTACGAGAAGCTGGAAGTCCAGCTTCTCCGGCTACGAGAAGCCGGACGCTTAGGCCCCCCGAGGAGCTGGGCGCTCACCTACAGTGAAAAGATGCGAAAAAAGGACGGCGAGGCCCTTGCTCTTTGCAGGTAAGGCATAAGGGTCAGTCTGCCTGCGTGCGCGCCCCCGGGCCAGTCTGCCTGCGTGCGCGCAGTGCGCGATCTTTTTTTCCGACCGGCAAGCCAGCAACGGCCGGACGCGAAAAAAACGCCCCGCGCCCCCGGGGCAATGTGCCTGCGTGCGCGCAGCGCGCAAAATTTTTTTTCCCCTGCGGGCCTCCAAGGAAAGGCTGGACGCGGAAAAAACACTCCGGCCGGGCCCGCAGGCCAAGGAAGTTACGCACAAAAAGTTTTTCCAGGCCGGCCGCAGGCTGCTAGGCGCGAAAAAAACGCCCCGGGCCCGGAGGCCAAGGAGGTTGCGTGCGCGCAGCGCGCGAACAATTTACTTTATTCTTTCTTTCAGCCGGGCCGGCCCCGGAAGGGGGGCGGGTCCGCAAAAAGTCCCCAACCGCGCCCCCGGGCCAACATGTGCGCGCGCGCGCGCGAAAAATTTTCGCCAGCCCGCCCCCGAATGCCGGGCGGAGAGAAAGGCTCCGCACAAAGGCTTGCGCGCGCGGAGCGCGCGGAATTTTTTTTCCGGCAAACCCCCAATCGTGGACACGAAAGAAGCGGCCCCGCCCACCCTCTAACGCCACGGCCACTATGCGCACGCAGCGCGCGGTAAGTTTTTTTCCGGCCAACACCCGGTAGCCGCGCGCGATTCATCACCATCGTCATCACCTTGCTAGCAGGCGAACAGCTTTCCTCATATTGAAGAAAAACTTTCTGCGCCCATCTCAAGCTAAGGCGGCTGCGCGCGCGCGGCGCGCGAAAGTCGTTTCCGGGACTGCCCGGACGCCGGACGCAAGCAAAAGCGCGCCAGAACAAGGCGCCTGCGCGCCGCGAATATTTTCCCGGCAAGACCCCGAGGGGGCGGCGCGAAAAAAACCTCCGCGCCCGCCCGCAGACCAAGGCCGGCGCCTGCGGGCGGGCAGGGGGCGGTGGCGAAAATTTGCTCTATTTCTTCCGGCAGCCCCGGTTGCCGGGTGCAAGCAACACCTCGCCGCGCCCCCTGGCCAACATGTGTGCGCGCACAGCGCGCGATATTTTTTTTCCAGCAAGCCCCCGGCCGCCGGGCGTGAAAAAAAGTCTCAAGCCACTGACTCACCCACGCAAAGAAAGGCGCGCGCGCGCACGCAGCGCGCTAAAGTTTTTTTTCAGCCGGCCCCCGGTTGCGGAAAAAAATTTCTTACGGAAAAAAATTTCCTCGCCTACGGGCCGGAAGAAAACTAATGCGCCCGCGCGCGCGCAGCGCGCGAAAATATTTTCTCGACAAGCCCCCGACCTCCGGGTGAGAGGAAAACCTTCCAAGCACGCCCTCAGGCCAAGGAAGGCGCGCGAGCGCTGTGCGCGCGCGCGAAAATTTTTTCTCAGCTGGTCCCCGGTTGCGGAAACAAAATTTCTTGCGGAAAAAAATTTCCTCGCCTACGGGCCAAAAGAAAACTAACGCGTCCGCGCGCGCGCAGCGCGCGGGAATTTTTTCTCGACAAGCCCCCGACCTCCGGGTGAGAAGAAAACCTTCCACGCAGGCACGCCCTCGGGCCAAGGAAGGCGCGCGCGCGCAGCGCGCGCGCGCTAAAGTTTTTTTTCAGCTGGCCCCCGGTTGCGGAAAAAAATTTCTTCGCCTACGGGCCAAAAGAAAACTAATGCGTCCGCGCGCGCGCAGCGCGCGAAAATTTTTTCTCGACAAGCCCCCGACCTCCGGGTGAGAAGAAAACCTTCCACGCACGCCCGCGGGCCAAGGAAGGCGCGCGCGCGCGCTAAAGTCTTTTTTCAGCTTGCCCCCGGTTGCGGAAAAAAAATTCCTCGTCTACGGGCCAAAAGAAAACTAATGTGCCCGCGCGCGCGCAACGCGCGAAAATATTTTCTCGACAGGCCCCCGGCCGCCGGGCGTGAAGAAGAGCGCCCAGGCACGCCCTCAGGCCAAGGAAGACGCGCGCGCTCCGCGCGCGCGCGCGAAAATTTTTTTTCAGCTGGCCCCCGGTTGCGAGAAAAAATTTCATCGCCTACGGGCCAAAAGAAAACTAATGTGCCCGCGCGCGCGCAACGCGCGATAATTTTTTCTCGACAGGCCCCCGACCCCCGCCGGGCGTGAAAAAGAGCGTCTACGCACGCCCTCAGGCCAAGGAAGACGCGCGCGCAGGCGCGCGCGCGCGAAAATTTGTTTTCAACTGGCGCCCGGTTGCGGAAAAGACTTTCCTCGCCTGTGGGCCAAAAGAAAACTACTGTGCGCGCGCGGCTCGCGAAAAATTTTTCTCGACAAGCCCCCGACCACCGGGCGAGCAAAAGATCTTCTACACCCTCGGGCCAAGGCGTGCGCGCGCTGTGCGCGCGGAAAATTTTTTACCGGCCGGCCCCCGATCGCGGGGCGCGAAAAAAATAAAACAGCCCACACCCTGACGCCGTACATGGTGAGGATGCGCGCGGCGCACCCACGCGAGGTTTTTTCCGGTCAACGCCTTTTAGCCGGCCATGGAGAGGCACCTCCCACGCTCACCCAAGGCCAGGGCGGTCTGCGTGCGCGCAACACGCGCAAACTTTTTCCCGGACGGCCCCCGACTGCCGAACGCACCGAAAACCTTCCGCGCCCCGAGGCCGAGGCGCCTGCGCGCGCGCAGCGAGCGCACGACAAATATTTGCCGCCGAGGCCCCGCCTGGAGGACGCGAAAAAAACCCAACCGCCCTCAGACAGGCAAAGGCGTCTGCGGGCGCGCAACGGGCGAAAGACTTTTTTCGATCGGGCGGCCCTCGATAGCTGGGAACGACCAAAGGCTTCCGCGCCTTCAGGTCGGGGCGCATGCGCATGCGCGCGCGCGCAACTTTTTTTTTTCCGGCGCGCCGCCCTCGCTGCTGGACGCGCAAAAAACATTCGCTCCGCGCCCCCCCGCCAAGGCGTCTGCGCACACGCAGCGCGCGCTCGCAGAATATTTTTCCGGCCCGCCCCGGGTTTCCGGACACGAAAGAATACCTTCCACGCCCTCAGGCCAAAGCGCTTGCGCATGCGCTGTGCACGAAAAAAAATTCTCGGCAAGCGCGCGGCTACCGGGCACGCATAGGGAAGGGCCTCTACGCCTGCCCGGTCATGGCGCGCGCCTGAGTGGGCGCGGCGCGCGCGAAAATTTTTTTTCGGCCGGCCCCTGATAGCAAAAGGAAATAAGGAAGCATCCGCCCCCTGCTCGGGCCAGGGTGTCTGCGTGCGCGCGGCGCTCCAAATTTTTCTCCCGGCCACAGAGCAATACAGAATGGGCACGCGCATACCATCACCACTGTCAGCGACGGCGCCTAGGGAAGCGCGCGCGGTAGGCGCAATGCCATTTTCCCGGCGCCAAGCGCAGGCAGAATACGAGAGGACGCCCGCGCCCCTCCAAAACAAAAATCCGAAGCGCGCACCGTGTGCCAATTATTGTTTTCAACAAAGAGCAGCGAGAACATCTATGAGAGTCAGAATGTCTATGCGTGAGAATCTCTATAGCGTTTTTAGAAGTTCTATAATATTTTTTTTTTCTAGACATAGGAACCATGCATCTGAAAAGAAATACTTACAGTTTATCATGCACGGACTGCAATCACAGATTTTTTCCTGTTCTTGCACCCACCATGATTTGTCTTTCGCATATTAGATGAGTTGTGAAAGTCCCAGACTAGTACTTATCCGCACTTCAACTTTGTCATGCGGTAGCGGGATAGCGGGCTCCTTTTCTATTGCTAAAAGAGCCTGGTGTTGTAGTCCAAAATACATTACCATACCTTTCCGAACTTGCTGAAAACGTCGCGCACGTCGTCCTCCCGCACGGATTCGGGCAACCCGCCGACCTATCAAGTGTAAAAATGTCTGGGTCTGGAAGATTACCGGGTTTGTCATGCACATTTTGCATGACTCCTCAAGTCTGTGACGCATGCCCTAGCATCACAGATTTTTAGAGGGCTTCCCGATGCCTATTCCGCATGACAAATGCTCTTTCCGTGCTGCAAAATTTGGACTCTCTTTGCTGCTCATGCAATACAGATTTTTTTAGAATCCAAAATCAGCATCACAAGTTGCATTCTTCCATACCCAGACACTTTTACATTTGATACGACCCACAAAGTGGTGCCACCGTCGCCGCCACCATTGCCACCACGGGGGCGCTCGCGGGAGATAGAGCGTATCAACTGCAAAAATGTCTGGGTCTGGAAGATGTCATGCAGTTTTTGCATGACGCAAAATGTCTGTCATGGAAGCCCTAGCATCACAGATTTCGAGAAGCTTCCGCATTGCTTAATCCGCATGACAAATTCCCCATTTTGGTGACCGGAAGTGGGCACCTTTACCTTTTGCTGCCTGTGCATGAGAGATTTATCTGTGTTGTGAAATGCGCATCACAAGTTCGCATCCTTCCAGACCCAGACATTTTTACAATCCATAGAACGGTCGCGGTCGCGATTCTCACGGCGGGGTTCCGGGGAGCGGCGGCGCTCCACGGAGCGGGAGCGAGAGCGGGAACGAGAGCGCGGAGACATTTTGGATTCTTCTGCCCGGAGGGGAAAAACGGAACGTGTAGTTCAAGGTCCTGGATTCGATTTAGGTACGTTCCAAACGCAGGTATTTTTCGTGTTTCTGCTTGAGTTGTCAAGAAGCCCTATCAATTGATGTTGCTCAACGGTCGTGGCAGCAAGGCGGCTGTAGACGTACTCGACAACGTACTAACAAGTTTTCCACGTTTATTTGACCAATCCAAAAATCCAGGAATTGTTCCACGTTTCTTCTTCCGAAAGTAGTACTAGGTAGCGGTCTTCCCACGCACGGACTGAAGGTTTTTTAGAATTTCATTTGATTGCGCGGACCAACGGCGAAAATGCGCTGATCAAAAAGGACCGCAGAGCCGTCGGTTACTTGGGCTTTATTCGTCCTGCGCACCACGTACTAGGTTTGGGTGATTTTTACCAGTTCACGAAAAGGATCCGCTTAGATGGTCCAAAAAGATAAAGGTAAAAGATCCGCATCCGCAGGACCTTCGGCGGACGAGGTAATAAAGCACGTTCCACTTTAAGATCGATCTTCGTGCTCCTGTGTTGCTATCATACGTTCTTCACGTAACCATTCAGCAGGAGGTGATACGGCAGTCTCGCTGTCAGGCACAGCGTATGACTTGGTCCTGCCCTCTCCAATCGTGCACGACTTGCGGATGAACGTAAAAATCGTAGTACGGTATTCGTTCCAACCAATCCAAAAGGCTGTATCGTGCGTAAAATTCTTTCGTAATGCGCCAGGGCTGGTGGCTCTACGTTCGTTGGCCCAGAAGTCTGAACTCTTGCTTCCTTTCCAACGTCCGCGCGTTTTTTGCGGGTACAGGTCTTTGAATTCTTGTTTTATTCTATCGCATCGTAAGCCAGGAAGATTCAGATGTGAGTACGCTGCGAGAACGGGGGATCTTTTCGCCTTTATCAGGGGTTGGGAAAAAAGTACGCGATAGTGATAGACAAGGTAGTAGTGTGTTGCTGATGGACATGGATCGAGTTCATACGAGCTTGTACGTGTACTGTGTGGCGGTATTCAGATTCTGATTTAAAGATCGTCTGGGTCGTTTCTACTCACTGTTTGATTTCTTCACTTACGATACCTAGTCAGTATGTGCATGCTGCGCTTATGTGATTCATGACGCCACGCAGGGTAGAAGCGAAGGAGTGCCAGGTACGTCGCTACGACACAAGATCATTGCAAATGTGCCATATTGCGCAGTGCGGCGCCGCATCTATTGAAAACAACAGGATGCTGCTGCGGAAAAAAGATCTTCGAACGACATAGTGAAACTGGAACATAACTTTTTCCTTCGACGATGTGTGGCGCTCCTCACGTTGTACCATTTGAGGAGAAAAGCGAAGATTACGACAGTATGACTCTTTTGTCAAATTTCTTTTTCACATCACAGCTGCAGAAACGCAGGACCTTAGTTGAGCTTTATTGTCGAAAAGATTTACTACTTTCATTTCCCGTGCGTTTTTCTCAAATGACAGAAGACGCACAGGGTTTGTATTTCATGCCACTGAAACGCCTCGCCCCCACCGTCTTGCACCTCTTTCACATGGTCACAGTGCCAGAGGTATCCTGTGCAAAAGTGTCGCACTCGTAGTAATTGCAGTCATGCATTACAAATCTTTTTCTTAAGGCAAATCCGCATGACAAATTCCATTTCTGATGCTAAGGAAATTTGTAATGCACTTTATCCTAGTACAAGTACGATGCTTTTGCAGTTCATAAGAGGTCGCCTTGCTTCAAGTCCTTGCAGGGTTTTGTCAACAGATTTTCCCAGTACTTTGACTTCACAATGTACTCGTTCGTAGAAGGATCTCTTTCTGTACTATGCGCTTTCTGTTCTTTCTCAGCATCAGCTGCTTTTCTTTTGGTGCGCATGGAGGAGCTGCTGCTACCTGGAGTTCCCTTCGCTGCGGTCTTGGTCACCTCCGGCAGCAAAAAAGCTTTCCTCAGCAACAATTCGCGGGCATTACCATTTGACGATGACGCAGAATTTTTTCCAGCGGCTGACGGCACTCCTGCTGCAGCGGGTTTCTTGCTTCTGCTCCCATCAACTAATTGTACGTGGTCACGATCTTCCGTTGTAGCTCCTGCAAGAACAGGAAGATCTTCTTCAAGAAAATGATCCGGCTCTAATTGCAGTAGTTGCAAAAACACCGCGTCGCAGTCCACGGCACACTGCTGACACTGCCCCTTTTCGTACTGGAATAAACACTGTCTCAGTTTTATCAAGTGCAAATATGCCTGGGTCTGGAAACCTGTAATGCTGAATTGAGCATGATTGAAGCGCTTGCAATGGCAGCCAAGCATGACAAGTTTTTGAGATGCCTGCTGATGCCTATCACGCATCACAAATTGCGTTTTTGCATGACAAAGAAAGCTTCTCTTTTGCTGCTCACGCAAGACATATTTTTTCATGATTCAGATTTAGCATGACAAGTTCCACTTTTCCAGACCCAGACATTTTTGCATTTGATAAGTTTCGACCCACTTCGCTTCATTTTGTACTCCCGCGAGCATTTTCCGCAGCAAAAGAGGTCGTTTTTGCACGCGAGTTTGACGCGGACCGAGAAGTCGATAGCCGTGTCTGGAAATTTATCTTGGACGACCGGTTCGACAACTTGGTCCGGCAAAACTTGCTTCTGGTTCTGTCTTGCTGTTTCCCTTGTTGTTTCCGTGTGCAGCTTTATTTCCGGATGCTCCTTTCCTCCTTCACGTTCTACTTCCTCAACGTCAGCACGCGCGTTGCTTTTGTACTGCCGCTCCACAAACATTTCCAAATTCTCTCGCTCCTCCTCTTGCGTGAGCTGGCTTTTCAGTGGCCGTTTTGCTGCAGTTCGAGAAGATCTGGCAATACTTCTCATGTCTTTCTGGCTGTTTTTCTTTTGAGCAGAAGCAGCCGGTTGCGCGGCAGACGACTTTTGTTTCGCAATTTTCGTGCTGCGCGTAATTGCGCCACTTTTAATATCAATCTCCGGCTCATCTTCTTCGTCTTCCAGAAGCACGACTTCGTAACGCAGTGAAGCATCTTTCGTGCTGGCGGGGCGGTGGCCTGCGTCGGATAATGATTCTGCTTCTCTTTGCAGTTCTACTTCTGCATCTCCTTCATCTTCGTCTATTGTACTGAGCCCTTCCTGGTGTCCTGCTGGCACGCCCGTGAGGCCAGCCTTTGCCTTACCACAACGTTCTTCTTTATCAGCCCCGACACGAACTGCTGATCCATCATCAAGAACTTTATTCTCGATCCTCTCCCCAATGCAGTTCGCGCAGTGCAACACGTTCTGTTCGAAATCGAATGGGGCCACGTACGCCGTAAGCGTTTTGAATTTCGGATCCGGAAATTCCGCTATGACCCAGCGTAGGTCTGTCGTGCGAGTAGATGTAGAGCTGCATTTGGTGGCTACTTTCTGTGATCTTCTACAAGAACTCGTCTCAGAAGTTGTAGTAGTAGATATGGCCGCGACGTTCTTCTTGTTTCTCCCAAACTCCGCTTTCAACTTCTCAAACATCAGTTTCTCCACCGTGCTGGGCTTTCCGACCTCCGCGTACCTTCTCGTGGTCGACGACGAGGTGGTGGTGGTCCTGTGGATTGCTTCGTCTAGGCAAGATGAACCCCTGTGCTCAACAACATCAACATCAAGCGTGCCGGTACCACAACCACCACCTGCAATTCCACCCAATATACCTCCTTCGCTAGCATCAGCTACGGCATTGTGTTCCTGCCTCAAGGCCTTCACCAGGTCGGAAAAATCTGGCAAACACACCGGCACGCCGTGTAGGCGGGCTTTGACCCAAGTCGGCTGCTGGTCGTAAAACCGGTAAAATCTTGTCGCGATTTCTTTGACGGAAAAGAGAAGATCTACGTCGTGTTGATGCTGGTCCTCGTGACCGACCTCCAACGAGGAGTTTCTAGGGGACCACGCCTTGTCCGCTGCTGCTTTATCAATACCTTGCGCGGCACGAGAATCTGGTCGATGTCGATCCTCTTCCTGCAACTCGGAGATGGAAAAGGGATCCAGTCCCGTGTGCCGCCCTGCAAGAGAAATAGATCGATCTGCTTGTTCATCTTCACCGGCTGCAATTGCGGTCGGGATACTTGCTGTGCGAGCTTTTTTATTCTGTTGCTGAACTTTTACTGGTGCATCTACAGAGACAGACCTTGTTCTTCTTGTGGAATTCGAATTCGAATTGTCTCTGGCCGAGGGTGAAAAATGCAGGCTGTAGTATACGTGCACCAACTCTGTGTCCCGGGAAACCTCGAAGGCGAGATCTCGCTCGGAAAAAAATGGCGAGAAGGAAGTGGTATGTTGTAGGTCACAGCTGGGCTCTTGCCTTGATCGTGAATTTGGCTCCTGGCGTGGTGGATTCGCCACAGTAGATAATGCTTCACTACTCTGCGGCATTTCCTCATGTGCCGTGCCCTCGGCATCGACTCGTGTACTTTTACCAGCATAATTGTGACGCTGTTGAGGAGCTACAGGTACTAGCACATCGCTAGCCGTACTAGAAGCACCTCCTCCGCTCCCACCCACATCGAACAGTTTCCTTAGTTCCCCCGCGGCCCGGTTCAACTCCGCCCACCGCCGAGAGTCGGAAAATTTGTTCCAAACCGCCGTCGCTGCGGCTGCGGGTTGTACTGAGTCTGTTTCGAAGATTTTTAAATCTTCCGACAGTTGCTGTGCGGAAGTTCTTGGAGGAAAATCATCACCCTGATGAACCGCCTCTGCTGTACTAGTATTCCTATCCTTTTTCGCTTCAGCGCCTTCTTGACGTTCCCTCGTCCCGCTCCTACCTTTCTGCGTGGTTTGTTCTCCTCTCTCATCATGATCGGTGGCCGCTTCTTCAACATCATAACTGGCTGTTCTATATTCCCTCTCCCGACTCCCGATCAGATACCACAACTCGACAATCTCTATCACACAGAAAAAAGCTGGCAGGGAGTATTTGTAATGCAAAAATAAATACACAGAAAAATCTGTCATGGGCGGCCTCATAGCGTGCTATTTAGGATATGCAATACAAATCTTTTTGTCTTTGTCTATTTGTTTTTGCATTACAAATATGACCTGCCAGTTTTTTTCTGTATGATAATCTCGTTCTTCTGCCCAAACCGGTCGAGCCGGGCCCGACACTGCTGCCACCAGTGGCAACTATCGGGCAGCTCGAGAAAAACGGCGGTAGAAGCCTGCTCCAGCCCGTTGATCCCAATTCCCGCCGCAGTCATGGACACCAAAGCGATGTCGTATCGGGGGGACGCGGGGAGTTGTGGTTGTTTTAATAGCGCTGAGGACGGAGGTCCTTCTTGCTCTTCTGTTGCGGGAGCTCCTTTCGAAAGTCCTTGAAACAGGTCCAGCTGGTGCTGCTTCTGCCTCGCGTCTAGATCCCCGTCCACGCGAATGTAGCGGATAGTGCTGCTGCTGTTAGAGTGCAACACAGACTGGTCGTCGGCATCGCTAGTTGGAGCACCGTAGGTCTTTTTACCAGCAAGGCCGCTGGTCGACGTTCTGTGGTCTTTGCCTTCATCAATTTTACTTTTCCTCTTGTCCTCTCCCGAGCTGCTCTTCTTGTTGCTACTGCTGGCCTTGTCATTTCTATCCGTAGCAGCTCCTGCTCCTCCTGCAACCTTTGATACAACACCGGGCAAACCACCGCGACCACTCGTAATTGGCTTTATCACCCATTCCACCAGCATGTCCAAAACTCTCTTGTGGTGCGCGAAAAACACGATTTTGCTTCTTTTCTCCACGCAGGCAGCAACAACTTTCTCCCGCAGCCAAAAACGCGCGTCGAACACTTTCGCGAGGGCCGCGAGTTGCAGAGTCCCCAGCTGGTTTTCGGGCGGCGCGCCGTTGGGACCCATCGTGGTCTCCTGCAAAGTTGTTGCAGCACTATCCTGCTTTAGTACCACTTCCGCGGTTCTTTGGTCGTCGTTGTTCTCTTTACCTTGTGACTTCGAAGTGGTCGAGAACTTCTTCGACACAAATTTGTAGCTGTGCTCCGTCACCTGCAAGAAAAACGGCAGGTCGAGCACGGGCGGAAGATCGGCCATGACGTCCTTCTTCAGCCGTCGGATCATCAGCTCCGACTTCAACAGGAGCTGAAACTCGTGAAATCTCAACACTTTCGACCGGTTCCGCGCATCGGTGTGGTACAGGTCGTAGAGGGAGAGAAAAGACAGGGGACTAGTTGTACAACTAGCTTTTTTACTCGTCGTTTTATTGATGCTGCTTTTATTGCAGCCCTTTCTGATGTTCCTCACTGCTAACTGCTCCTGCCCGTCTTGCAATTGTTGTTTTCGTATCTGCTGCTGTTCAGCGTCTTCTTGCTCCGGTGAAGATGTCAGCAGCGCGATCTGTGTCCGCAAATCGTCGATCTTGTGCATGCAAGGCGTCCCGGTGAGGAAAATGAGTTTGGGAATCTTCTTCAGCAACCGGGAAATCTGCGTCGTCATGAAAGAGGAAGTTGCACCACCACCTTCTATATGGATTGTAAAAATGTCTGGGTCTGGAAACTTGTAATGCTAAAAGTGAAAGAAGAGAGACGCACTGCAATACGCAGCTATGCATGACAAATTTTTTGGCTGCCATGTCTTACGTATTGCGCATGGCAAGCTGCGTTTTTGCATGACAGGTAAGAGGGCCTTTTCGTGCCTAAGTATGCAACACAGATTCTCTAGTCATGTCAGACAAGCATGACAAACTTGCCTTCTTCCACCAGACCCACACATTTTTGCACTCGATAACCCAGGTCGACTCCACCAGCTGCAGCCGCAGCGGAACTACCGCTGGCTCTCCTCAGACAGTGCGCTTCATCGACCACCACGCAACAAAAGTAGGAGCTGTCTACTACGGTAGGGGCGGAAAAGCTGTCGTGTCGTTCGGTTCTCAACTTCGTGCCCGCACAAACAAAATTTCGCGTGAAGAGCAGCAGTTGCGGCAGTAAATTCACGGCCATGTGGTAGGAAATAATTACGCACTTCGGCATATCAAGTGCAAGAATGTCTGGGTCTGGAAGATTGCCAGGTTTGTCATGCATATTTTGCACTTTACTATTCCCGATTCCCACTCTTTGCATTTTTTTTTTTCTGGCTTGGAGACCCCCTCCCACCCCCCCGATCTCGGATGTGCGTGAGCCCATAAAAGTCGCGAGACTTGGACATGCAAACTTACGTGGGTGCTGCAGAGTCGCATGAAAAACAAAAAACTCTGCGCGGGCTGCACCACACATGCGCGACCGAACGAGTAAGAAGTAATCAACAAGAGGCTAGAGCTAGAGGTGTGCGGCACCTCAGGTTACTTGCATTGGCGACAAGAAGACGAAGTAATTTTGTTTTTCCCGATTCCCGATTCCCACTCTTTGCACTTTACTATTCCCGATTCCCGATTCATGCATATTTTGCATAGCACATGATGCCTGTATTATGCATGACCTAGCATCACAGATTTTTGAGTGGACTTCTGATGCGTATTGCGCATGAGAAACGCCCACTCCGCGCAGCACAGACTGAACTCCTCTTGCTGATCATGCAATACAGATTTTTTTAACCTTCCAAAGACAGCATCACAAGTTACCACCTTCCAGACCCAGACATATTTGCACTTGATACGGCAGTTTTGCGTGCTTCCCGTTGGGCAGCGCGTCGTATGGAATGCAAACATCTCTGGGTCTGGAAGATTGCTACATTGTCATGCATGTCTGACATGACTCAAGAATCTGTGATGCATGGGCACGAAGCGGTCTTCTTAACTGTCATGCAAAAACGCAGTTTGCCATGCGTAACACGCAACACCGAGGAGCCTAAAAGTTTGTCATGCTTGGCTCCGTATTGCAGTAGAGCTCTCATTCACTTTTAGCATTACAAGTTTCCAGAGCCAGACATATTTGCAATGCATACGTCGTCCGCGGAGGCTATTAGGTGGATGTCCTTGCCAACCGTAGGGGTGCGGGTCGTAGTGACGTCGTCGCCCCCTTGTTGACACGCATTTTTGAAGGCCTTATCGCAATACATCATTTCGATTTCCCGTTTCCAGGCCAGGCGTGTGACCGCCTTCACGATAAACAGACAGGGAAAAAGCTGCTTGGCAAACACGATGGCCAAGGCCTGCCTTGTCTTCCCTAACCCCATTTCGTCCGCGAGGAGAATCCCTTTGTTCTTCATCCTGCTTGATGACATAAATTTCCCCGAAGATGGTACTGGAGTGCTCGGAATTTTACTTGAGCCCATCTTCTTCTCTAGTGCTGACGCAAAGAAATCTCTATCCTCATCCATTTCCATTTTCTGCAAGCCAAACTCGACCCCCAGTTTCTGATACGGCCGTAGGTGTCGCCAGATTTTCAACTTTTCTAATCGCGGGACGAGACAACAGTGATCTACTATCTCTTCCATTCGTCTTGTGTGATGTGACCACTTCTGCCCGTCAACAGCCCGTGCGGGTAAGCTTTTCGCGCTGGCGGCCAACGAGGACCCCGCGGCTCGGGAAGTAGAAGTGGCATGCCCCAAAAACTTTTGCTGGTTCCGAAAGTAGCTCAAGACCTGATCCGGAATCTTGTCAATTTTCAGGGAGGAAAACTGCCCAGTGGGATCGGGTAGGTGGATCTATCCAAGGAAAAAAGTGTTCTTACAGTTACACATTTGTTGGAATTTCAGCATTACAAATTTGCTCTGCATGGCGAAGAAAAGTTGTAATGCGCAGACTATAAGGGAAAACACAAATGGAATGAGGCTGGCACGCGTTTTCTGCATGACAGAGGTTTTCTGTCTTGCTTGTCTTGCAAAAAAATGTGTAACTCTAACACTTTTTTCTCACGATAGGATTTGCGCCCGGTCCAGTAGCTCCGTTTCGATCGTTTCCATATGGATGTGTCAGGATCGACAAAATCGAAACATTTGTGATGCATAAAATGTAGAGCACTGAAGGCCTGTATTGGGGAGCAGGCATATGAGACCGATTGCAAGCCTGCTCAGGGGTAATATGCAATGTGCTGCCATAGTAGCACGACAGGAGCAGTCTTCTTTGCCCAAACTGCGTGACAGACTGGATTTGGGCGCTCCCGAAATTTGTCATGCGCCACTTGGAAACTGAGGCTCCAACCGGCGTCGATTTTGTGCATCACAAAATTTTTGATTTTGTCAATTTCGATTCTGACACCCCCATATTCCAACACTCTTTCGTAATCGGCAAGGGGAAAATACAGCTCCTCGACGGCGGCACCTTCAATTCTACTTCCTTCATGCGACCACGTCGGGACAGCAGTATTTCCTGTGTCCTCCGCTTCCCCCGCCGCCGAGGCAGCATCGTCGCAACTGCTGCTGCGCGCAGCCGTCTGCAAATAAATCACCAACTCCTGGACGATCCCGCAGCGAAGCAGTTCGCTCAAAATATTGCGCGCCATAGTCCTGTGGTAGGTCTGTACAATGTTGCCGTCGTCGGGAGTATAATTTCGCGCACTGGAAGAGTTTTGACCTTGTGCCTCTACCTCATTTCCACCATCGACGTCGTATACATCATCTGCACTAGAACCGGCATAATCATTCGTCGTGGTCGTCGTGCCAGCAGCACGGGCGGTCTTTCCTGATAAACACGTCGGTGGTACAACCAAATAAACGCGGAAAACTATCAAAGTGAAAAAAGCCCCCACCCCATACTCAAAAGACAATTTGTGTTGCTGGTTTTGTGTAAACAAATGAACTTTGTATTGCAGCAAGAGCTTGTTGGAATATTCGAAGCCCATTTTGGTACGCATCCGGCTAGCAGCTGCGCATGAGAAACAAGACTGGCATAGGAGAAAACGCATGACAGACTGGCTGCACAATGCGCCACAGACATGAGGGCCGTTTGCCTTGTACGCAAGACAAAGCTGATTTATGGTTACAAATCAGCATCACAAATTTCCTTTTCGATATGGGGAGGGGAGATTTTTCCCCACAATAAAAACGTCGTTTTCCCACATTTCCAAGCGCAACACCGGCCGGATCAACGTATCGCAAGAAAAAACTGTTTTGTAATGCATAGAACGGAACGCAAATGTGTTTGTCTTGCTACACATGCAACACATTGGATTTGTAGCTGTGTTTTCCTTTGGGAAGCACACATGCCAAGTTTTCTTTTCATGTGTAACAAACTTGTGTTGCAGATCTTGCAAAATCACCACAGTCGTGAAACAGTTTTTTCGTTGAATACAACGGCTCGAAAAACCAGAGCATATCATCAAAAGGAAAAATGATCCCCACTCCCCATAGTAAACACAGAGTTTCTGATGCTGGACTTGCGTAGCAGCATGTCTTGCTGGTGTAAGTAGCTGCAGCTAGGCAGTAGAAGTTCTCAGCCTGTTTAGGAGCGTGGAAGGGGTCTGGTTGTTTAGCATGTTGGGACCAAACACCTGCCCACCTGCAGGCCCAACAGCATGACAAACCGCCTCCATAATGCCATGCGGCGCACACATCCGTGGTTGCCTTCGTGCCAGACAGAGCCGATAATTTGTGGCCCGAAATCACAGCATCAGAAATTTTCCTTTTGGGTATGGGAAGGATTTTTTCTCACAATACATGTCCTCCGCGCTGTGGTTGTCGTGCGGCCGAGATTCCTCCACGGTGGTAGTCATTTTTGGAAACACCAACTTTGACTCGCACGCGTAACGGTGCACCAGGTTGCCGTAGCACCGGCTGGACTCTCGCGAGGAAAATTGCCCCCACCCCCAAAATTGCAAAAATTTGTGATGCGAAGTTTCCAAATGAAAACTTTTTGTCATGCATGAAAGGAGTATGAATCTTTGTGATGCAGAGTCTAGGCGTTTTTCGCATCGCTTGTATGACGAACGCCACTCTTGCTGGGATCTTTTGCAATACAAATTTTTGCTATTCACTATCGGAAATCTGTGATGCTGATAAATGCAAGAGGGCAAGTGGTTCATTTGGAAAGGTTTGCAATACAAATGCTCCCAAGTTCGGGGGTGGAGGCATTTTTCATTGTAATATGGACACGTATTTCTTCATCTGTTTCCCGCAGTAGCTGCACTTGTGCAGCGTCTGGAGAAGAAGCAAATTATCCGCTGGGCCGATGTTTTGGTGAGGTTCTTGTAGTCGTACTGCGTGGTCTTCTGAACCAGTGGCTCTAGAAGTACCAGTGAAACTGACTTGGTCCTCAAGAACGTGAGCAGACTGCGAAGATGAAACAAGGTGAGCTTGTCCAACAGCAGTTGGAGTAACAGTACGAGGACCGCCTTGAATCATCCCAGCCTTGTTGATGGGAACAACTAATCTGCTCGTCTCGGGTCTGTCCCCAGGAGCCTTGAGTTCGCTGTTAAAAAGCCAATCCGTCAGCTTCTTCTTCTTTGCCACCGAACCGGGCGTCTTGTTCATCTGTGCCCTCTTTTTGGTGGTTTTCGTTTTGATGTTCCCAGGAGGACCAACACCTCCCTGGTTTCTTTGCAATTTTTGCACTGACTGGGAGTAGACCTCCTCGGAGTTGACAGCGAGTGCGTTGTCGTTCTGACTAGATGCGACGGCGGAAATCTGGCTCGGCGCTGTGGAGCTCTGTAGAATTTTTACTGCCGACGGCGTGCTCCTCTGCTGCGCTGTGCAGTTTTTTCCCACGACCTTCTTTCCACCAGTGTCCTTTCGAAATGCTCCGCTGTTCGGCGTGCAGAAAAACCCTTCTCCGGTGCCCCCTGTGCCCCGCCGGGGCGAAGTCCCCCCTTCTTCGCCGCTGATGTCCTCCCGGCGGGTTGGTGAAGCTCTTCCTTGCTGTTCTGTCGCAGTCGCGCGGCAAAGGGTGGCGTGGGCTTCCTCGCTTCTCCCAAGGGCTCTTCCCTTGTGGTCCCCTTTCTCGTCGTGGTCTTCTGCTGCAATGATTTTCCGTCGCTTTAATACTGATTTCCTCGCCGGAGGAGCGGCCGACACACGGTTACTTTCGACGCGATTCTGTTTCTGGCTCTCCTCCTCCTGTTCCTCAACTTCATCCTCGTCGAGAAGTGGTGAATTCTGGTCCTCTACTTGCGGGCCTCCACGGGGTCTTTTGCTACTTCCCCCTCTTGTGCTGGAAGCGCCACCGGATATTGTTGTTGATGCACCTCGAGCTGCACAAGAAGAAGAAGTATGAAATAACGCCACAGTACTGTACTGTTGGACCAGCCGCGGCAAGTCCTTTCTCCGATAAAGCCTGAGAGACGCGACAAATTGCACCAAATCCCCCTTCTTCGTCGGGACCCGACTGGTAGAGACGTTGGCCCGGCTGGAAGTGGGTGCAAAAACTCCGTCCTCCATATTAGAAGATACTCCGCTCCTGGTAGAACAACTACCCGCAACCTTCGCGCTGACCGGAATCATCCGTTTTAGTGCAGAAACGGTGAACCTATCCAAGTCACCTGCTTCCACGAAGCAGTCCCCGGGAAGAGGGTGTGGTGTCGCCGCGGTGGCATCTTCCGGTGGTCCGGTGTAGCGGTGGTCCTCGGGGCGGGCGTTCATCGTGGATGAAGGCATATTTTTGCTTCCGCTCACTGCGGGAGCGGAACAGGGTTTCATATTATTCAACATGACATAACAAGCTTTGGCACATCTTTCTACTGAGGATTCTCATTCAGGAGGAAGGACTCGAACTACTCTTCTGTGCGCCAACCGAGGTGGCGATGCGTAAATGAATAAAACTTTAACAAGCGAATAAAAATATGCTATCTAGCTGGAACCCTACACTCCAAATCGTAACGTCTGAGGGGGCCTGTCATTCGTCCGTTCAGAAAAGTAAGTCAGACAGTGAGTACTACCTGCAGAATAAACTACACTTTGTCTTATTTCGTGCGCCTCACGCAAATCGTACCAAGTAGTACTTGTCGCCGTTTATCGCATAGCGCTGTTGATGTACCTTATTCATTCATTTTCGAGTAGACCACCCGTATTTCATCTATTTTTTTATTTTTAATCCACATTTCGTGGCGACCGTGAGCAGGCCCGCAAAAGAACCGCGACAGCAACTGTAGCTGCGCAACACAGTACAATCGGAAAACAACTATACGACGTAGAGCAGCCGGACGTCAACACAGGACCCAATTCACGACCACGACGACCGAGAGGATAGAGGATCACAACAAGTCCGGAGACGATCCGTTCTGCACTAACTAGCAGTAAGTGCTCGCCACCGTGTAGTACAACTACTCGTGCTGAGTCCTAGTACATGTATGTACGGACAAGTTCATCGATCACTGCTTACCAACAACAAAGAAAAAAACCCGAACGATGCAGGAGCTGCACTTGAGCTAAACACAAGTGGAGTGGAGTGGATTGAACCACAACGAGAAGTTGCAATAAATTCGTAAAGACAAAATGATCATGGGCCGCCTTGAAGATTTCTCCTTCCTTTTCTCCCCTCTACGCCTACTTTCCACCAAAAAAAGATCATTCTCGTTCACATTCTTTTTGTCTCCAGCTCGTGCGGCGGTTGCGCCAGCCACACACAGTGTCGAGTGATCATGAGACGAAGTGCTTGCTACACATAACTTTCGGAGTCGTTGACGAAGAAGCATCATTTAAATGAGAAGATCGGTCATTTTTGATATGTGTTCTCGTCAACTCCTTTCTCCACACCACAGGTCATGTCCGCTCCGCGTTCGTGTCAGGAAATGAGATTAGCCTGGGTGGAGTTCCTGCCGCAACAGCGATAAGAGCCGCGCAGTTGAACAAGAAGAAGAACGAGAACCTGCTGTGTGCTATATTTCTCGCCCGGCCGGTTTGCGCAGTGACCTTGCGGATATCGGGTATCAAGATGAAAAATCCACCCTTGCACCCATAGCTATTCTGAAGGAAATCTCTCTGGCTGGATTTGTTTATGCATCACAGCTTCGTATTGCTCTTGCGCCGATGGCTTGAAAGCACAATTTTTTCCACCTGTGTTTTAGGTATAATGCACACACCTATGCAGCATGCAAGTCAAAGCTAATTTGTGACGAGAAATCAGCATCACTAATTTCCGCTTTGAGCACTATGGAGTCACGGGATTTTCCTTGCAATATGAGGTTGTGCTTTACGAGGAAGGGACCTATGCCGGGAACTACCCGTGCGGCTATCTGGACAACGGCGTCGCGGAGGTTCCGCAGGTTCTAAATTATGGACGTCAAGAGCTGCTGCTTTACTACTGATCATCATCATCTGGACTCGCCTTTATATATGTGTAAAACGCGTTTCTGAAGACACATTCGACATACAACAAACCGACGGTAGTTTACAACTGTCTTTTCGGAAGAAAAATCTTCTTTCCCATTCTTGTGCGTGTGCCACCCACACACAACAAAACATGCATTCTTTTTGGTTTATTTGTTCCTGAGCCAGTCGCAGCACCCCTAGTCGCAGATGCAGTGGATACCGTATACTTCCAACCGAATCTCGTTGTTGTCCCCGGGCACGCAAAAAACGTGGTAAATCTTTCGCAAAATGTCCATGTCGCGACCTGGAATTGATTTTGGGGCTTCCAACAACATGGTGTGTGAAATCGAAATATAAAGGAGAGGGGATGTACTAGAGTTTCCGCGGCAGCGAATGCATGATACTGCTACTTGTTATATCATTCTTTTTTACGGCCCATTTTTTGAATTTCCAAAAAATTATATCACGTTTGTTGCCATCTGATCTGGGGCGCCATTTTCTTGCATTTTACCAATGATAATGAAATGAATCACTTCAAAAACAGCCATATACAGTCGTTTTTCGCGTACATCTATGCACTGCAAACGTATCGTACACATGGTGGACCAAATTTTGAAAAATGCAGAACATGATTCGACTTCTGATACAGAATCGGTAAGTCTACGACAGGGAACTTCAACGTGATGCAAAGTGAATTCTCATCATGCAAGTAAGGAAGTACTCACTTTTGGAGGCATTATTTTTCATCTCTTTTCGCTTTGACACGGTCATTGCCATTGGTGCGATACTTTATTGTTACCAAGTTGGATAGCATCATCCTTGTGTCCCCTATTGGAAGCGCCATGACGTACAGCATATCAAATGCAATAGTGTCTGGGTCTGGAAGAGTGCTGTCTGCAGATTCTAAAAATATCTGTGTTGCATGAGCAGTAAGAGGAGTCAGTTCTTGGCACGCGGAGAGGGCATTTGTCATGCGTAATAAGCATCAAGAAGCTCTCAAAAAAACTGTGATGCTAGCACCAGCGTCACAGACTTGATGGGTCATGCAAAATGTGCATGACAAGCCCCGACCCTTCCAGACCCAGACATATTTGAAGTTCATACAGCAGCGGTATGCACCACACGCAGAGGAAGAGACACAGGAGAAACAGCCCGGCATTCTTGCCCAAGTTGTGGAAGCCGCAGACCAAGATATCCTGAGCAAAAACGTCCCCCCCCACAGTTGTCATGCAAATGTGCGATGACAGGAACATTTGTAATGCGCCTCTGCAAGAGAGTGTTTTGGCATTTGTAATGCTCTAAATACGATGAGAAAGTGGCTTTCTCATGCGGCTGCCTTTGCTACCCAGCACTACGCTGCAGACGGAAACTTGTCATGCGCAACTCCCTTAGCTTGGAGATTTGTGTTGCAGATTTATTACCAACTTGACTGTAATGGGGTGGGGATGTTGTTTTTACACGGGATACAAGAGCATGGTTTTCCCGGCTACGAGCAGGATGATTTTCAGGGTAAAAAAGGAATCCATGTCGTGCACAACCGGGTAGCGCTATCCCACAGAAAAAAGCTGGAAGGGCATTGCTATCTATTATATTCATGCGAAAAAAGAGGTCTACAGAGGGTCGAAGGGAGGTGGCCGAGAGGTCAAAAAGAGGTCGACAGAGGTCAAAAAGAGGTCGACAGAGGTGGAGAGGTGGCGCGGGAAGTCATTCGAGGGGGTGGCCGAGAGGTGGCGCGGGTATAGCCTGCCGAATTGTTCTCCCTAAAGCCGCGCCTATGGGGGACGGAGGTGGCCGAGAGGGTCCCGAGAGGGTAAGCGAGAGGGGGACAGAGGTGCCGAGAGGTTGCGCGAATAAGGGCGAAGCTCTCGCGCACCCTCTGGGCCACCTCTCGGCCACCTCTGCAGACCTCTATCGGTGAGTATAGCCGGATTATTAGCACCACCTCTCAGGAGAGGTCAAAAAGAGGGTCTGCGAGAGGGTCAGAAAAACCCGAATCCCCCTGGCACGAGGCTGATTCTTTTGTGGCCTTTTCATGCATAGGCTGGCCCGAACCTTCTCGCGCCACCCTCTCGCGCACCCTCTCGCGTCACCCTCTCGCGCAACCCTTCCGCGCCGGGCGGCTTCTGTTCGCCCCCGGTGTCCTTCGCAGCTGCTTCCTGCGCAGAGCGCCCACAGGCGCGGGAAGCGCGAAAGCGGTCGCGCGGGTTGGCGCCGCGCAAACAGGCGGTAGGACTCCAGTATGCTTCATTATGCATATTAGGCCTGTGGCATTGTGGCCCGATCCGCAAATAGTCCTGCCCCGCCCCAACAGCCTTGCGCCCCGGCATCAGCCGGGGCATGGCTGGTATCTGTAATGCAAAAATAAATACACAAAACAATCTGCATTGCATATCTGAAACAGCACGCTATGGGGCCAAGCGTGACAGATTTTTCTGCGTATTTATTTTTGAATTACAAATATGCCCTGCCCGCTTTTTTCTGTGTGATAAGCGCAGTATCGCGTCGAACCGGCTATGGGGGGGAAAAGCACGAAAACGACTCCGCAATTGTTCATCCTGGTGCTGTCTCTTGATGCTCAAGGGCACGAAAAGGCTATATTCAGATTGTGTACTCGTGGTCTTTCCTGTACTACATCGCAACAACTTCTAGCACTACTTCTACCTAATTGTACAAATATTGCATGTGTCTAAATCGGAGAAGTTAGTTTGAATCACAGCAATCCAATTTCTCCTCATGTATTTCTCTTTGTTGCCATGCATCCATGCTCAGTACCAGGTCCATTTTGGAGGAGGTTCCTGTCTCCCCACAGCATAAGGTCCCCAAAAAGACGCGAAGAGGGCAGGAAGTATGACGAACCACTTAAAAAACCCTCGGTACCTTGTTTGTTTTGAAACAGAGAACAAATTTTAGCGCCATGTTGATCTCGTTCTCGAATTTAGGAAAACAAAAAAACCCTGCACTCTAAATGTTGCATAAAGTCGTTGTACTTCAAGGATTTTTCCGTCGAAAAGCAACTCAGCATGAAAATACCAAATGAAGACTTCCCCACAGCTGATGGCAAAGAGTAGCCCGTGCAATATGAACCGCACCGACGCTGTATCGTAAGTAAAAATCCCCCCTCCCCATATCGAAAAGAAACGCCTCAGAGAATTTGCGATGCTGATTTGTGACCACAAATCGTGTCTGTCTTGCAAGAAAGCAACGGCATAGGCTTTGCCCCATTATGCAGTCGGTTTGTAATGCTGCTGCGCCTACAGCATAGGCGTTCATCATGCTAATTGCCTAGGCCACAACCTCTCTACATTGCCACGATATGGGCCTGCAGTCCTCTCCAGCAACACAAATCTGATTTGTGTACGCAAATCCAGCATCAGAAACTTCCATTCGATATGGGGAGGGGGGATTTTTCATTTTGATACGCTGGCCTCGCGGTTTCCAGAAACACCGTCCACATCCAGAGCCCAACAAAGCCGGCCACCAGGATGAAGATCACCACCGGGGTATTCTGAGTAAAAACGTCCCTACCCCAGAGTTGTCATGCAAATGTGTAATGACGGGAACATTTGTAATGCGCATCTCCATGAGGGGAATTTCCAATCGTGTTTTGGACTTTGTAATGCTGTAAACAGGATGACAAGCTGGCTTTCTCATGTGGCTGCCCTTGCTAACCAGCACTACACTGCAGATGGGAACTTGTCATGCACAACGCCCAAAACTTGGAGATTTGTGTTGCAGATAGACCAACTTGACTATGGGGTGGGGAAGTTTTTGCTCAGGATACGGTAAAATCCAAAACGCCATTTTTAGTGCTGTCGTGGAAGAAAGTGTTTCTCGTTTGCAGTTCCTCGGCTGAGAAAGTTTCTTTCGTTTTGTTTTCGTAGAAGTAGATTCTGTTTCTGCCTCCGATCGAGTCGCGTCGGACGGCGTAGGTTGTAAAGTAACGACGTAAACAAGCAAGTAAAGTCCCCCAGGAACAGGAGTAAGCCGGCCCGCTGCGCGCTCCTCGGTTCTAGCTACCGCTGCGGGTGCTGTCGTGGTAAACTGTGGCACATCACCACTCGTTCCGAAAAATTTTTTCGAAGGAAATATAGACCCCGCTGCGCCGATCGAAAGTAAACGTACGCAGCTGTTCTAAGTACTGCACGCCGCACTGAAGTCCATGTAGACCAGTAGAAGACTCGTTCACCTGCCCGATAATTCAATATTGCATCAACGTTGCAAAAAAAAACGTCGAGAGGAGCTACTTAGAAGTCCGAGAGTTGTCCCCGCCGCACCACCCTGGGTACAGCACAGGCTAAAGTGGTGAAGACCTCCCTCGAGTGATTCGCTGGACGTGGCCACGAGGACGTCGTTGGGGATATATCGGTCAGAATTATTTCCCGCGACGAGATTTTTGGCATGAACATTCTTTCTTGATGTCCAATGAAAATGAGGAACTAGTATTTTTACCCGATTCAATAGATTCAGATTGAAATTCTATACCGAGCATGTGGTAAAACTAAAAACTTCATCGTGACACATAATGCTTCATGCTAAAGAAAATGATAATTCTGCAGTAGAGAAGCTGCGGTCGGATGATCTGACCCGTCCTTGGCGGCGTGGGCTGGGGTAAGTTAGTACTCACAATGACAATCATCTTCATTTTTTTTTGAAAACAAAAACTTGACGAAATAAAGAAGCGATCCATGATCCCCACCGCAGTGTAAAGATTAGTACAGTATCAGTGTCAACGCCACGGTTCTGTTATTCAGAAAGAAGTTCTTGAGTCGCCTTGCGCGGCGCATTAGCGGAACACAGAGGAGCGGCACAACTCGTGTCCAATAGTCTTTGTCTTATTCCCGAACCCGATGGTGGTGGTGCTGTACTATGAACACGAAAAATAACCCGCCAAAGCGGACGTCGAATGGCTTTGTCAAGAAGAGGCCGCGGGCGGCGCTTCTGCTTCTTTTTCCACCACCAGCAAGTACCACTCAGAGAAGCAGTCGAGTCCTCCATCTACTTGTTCCATCAAAAACCACAAAATCAAAAAGTAGCTTCGTGCGTTCTGTTGACCAAACGAGAAAAACAAGGACATGCAGAGCAGCTGCGCCTTAGAGCTGGCCGTCCTCCAGAATGATCGGTAAATGTTTCGTTGATGGAAGTAAAAGACGAAGACCCCTTTCCAACAATTATTCGAGTCGCAAACCGAAACTGCAAGAAAACTGGCGACGAGACATCCAGTCACCGACAGATTTTTTTCCAGCTCGTCCGCGTTCTGTTTCTCCTGAAGGTAGTGAATAACCGTAAAAACCATATTCACTTGTTTTTCGGTTGTTTCTTCTTGTCCTTGTCCTCCTTCGACTCGCGGGGTATGTCCCTGTCGCCGCGCATGCGCTCTTCCGCCTTCATACGGGCCTCCATCTCGTCGTCCGCGATGGGGTGCGGCGCAAACAAGAGCGGATTTTTTGCGGCGCACCGGAGAAACAGTGCGAGGTTCAAATTCATGCCGTAGTCGGAGTTGATGCTGATGTACACGTTTTCGATTTTCTCCTCGAGTTCTGCCTCGGAAATGTAGCCCGCCACCATGTAGTTCGCGCGGATCAGGGCGCGCAGTTCCTCCACGTCGATGTTTTCCGTACCGTCCTCGTCGTAGAGCATAAAGGAAAACTTGAACTTCTCCTCGGGCTTCGCGTTGGTGAAGTTGGTAAGCGCGATGATGAATTCCTTGAGCGAGACCGTACCACCAGAATCGGCATCGAAAAAGTCGAACAGTTGCTTCACCTCGTCGGACGGGGGGCGTTCTATGAACTTGCAAAACAGATCATAGGGCAACTCGTCCGAGGCCCCTGCGACCCGCTGGAAATCCCGGTAGAACCGCTTCAGATCGGACGGCTTCAGAATCGTCTGCGCGCCCACGCAAAAGTACTTCAAAACGAGCTCGCGGTTCTTTTGCGTCACCCCAATTTCGACGCCCACGTCGACCTGATGATTTTCTTATTTGAATTTGATGTCAACATCGGCGTATTGGATAGTACTTGCCTGCCAAATTCAACTTTTTGCAAAAATTTACAAGGGTGCAGTACTTCGTGCTAGTGAAGCAGCAACTCGAACCGCTTCCTTGCCGCGTATACGTATTGCATTTGCAAGGTCGTTCTGATGAAAAATAAACACAGCACGTTGTCGTCTATCTATACGTCTTTCACGTCGGCACTTTCTCCGGCTTCGCGGTACAGGTCCACGCCCCCGCCCACTTCCCAAGCGTCCACTTCCTATGCACTGCAAATTTTATGTCTGGGTCGGGAACATCAAACTTGTGATGCTAGTGTGTCGATGGTATAGCATCCTCCCATTTGGACCCACGCATGACAAGAATTTTTCGAGCTGCTATGTCATCCGCAACCCGCATTGCATGACAAACAAATGGCGCTGCTTCGTCATATGCATGAGAGGTTTTCCTCGCGCTCCCGTCGGGCAAACATGGTAAACCTTGCAGAGGACACACATAGACATATTTGCACTTCATACTTCCGTGATGCGGCTCATGTCCACTCGAGCGAAAATGTCCTTGGGCGACCGGAACAGCTGTTCAAAGCCTTCCCACGCCACCATCGGTTCCCCGTCGGAGGTCTTGCCCAGGGAGGCCATCGTGATCATGTTCTCTATATCGTGAAGAAAAATGATGAATCCTCTCTCCCCACACTCAAGAGGAAACTGGCCAATGAATTTGTGGCCACGAATCAACCGTGTGTGCGGCCAGTGGACGGCCTACGAGGAAGCAAGTGCGCGGCCAGAGGTTCTTTTCGCGAGATAATAGCAGCGATTTGCCGTGCAGTTGTTGGACCTTCAGGCTAGAAGCCGTTTTCAATGGCTTAAGCGACCAAATCCAAACACCCGGCCTACCCAGGAGGCTCAGGATCGATCTTCTGGCCGCAGTCCCTAAATGCAAGACGGAACTGTTAAGTTTGTGTACAACAGCTGCACAAATCCAGCATCAGAAAGATGATCTTCGTGTTGAACATGGGGACGAGGAGGCATAATTTTATTTTCATTCTCATACTCTAGCTCTACGTCGAGCGGCGCGTGGCCACACTGCGCAAGTACTTGCCGCAGGTGGTCCTTCGTAATCTGGTATCACCCAGGAAAAAGCAGGAAGGTCATATAATTTGTGTTGCAAAAGAATAATACACAAAAAGATCTGCGCTGCATATCCCAAACAGGATGCTATGGGGCCACCCATGACAGATGTTTCTGTGTATTTGTTTTTGCATTACAATTGTGAGGACCTGCCTGCTTTTTTCTGCGGGATATCTGCCCTCCCTTGTCCAGATCGATGCAGTCGAAGGACATCTGGTTTTATTCAACTCATGTACAAAAATTCAACTACCCATCGCCGCATCACAAACCGGATCAGGATACCGCGGCCAGCATCACAAACAAAAGATTTTTTCTTTGTGGAAAAATAAAGACAAAAAAGCACCTTCAAATCCACCACCCCCGGCACGACAAACTTCCCAAACTCGGGCGCTCCAAGCTCGGCCAGCTTCTTTTGCTTTATTGCAAGGAAAAATCGCCCCTCCTCTTATTGAAAACGTATCTGCGGAAACTTTGCGATGCAGATTTGTGACCACCGCATCCTATGCCACACTATGCGGGCGATTTGTAATGCCGCAAGGACTACAGGGTAGCCGTCTACCATGCTAGGCGCCTACACCAACAGGCCCCTATCTAGGCTTGCGATCTGCGTGCAGTCCTCTACTGCAAGACAAATCTGATTTGTGTTTGCAAATACAACAGCATCACATATTTCCTTCTCGATATGGGAAGGGGGGATTTTTCCTTTTGATATGCTTGGCAATTTTGTCGTAAAACTGCTTTTCGAGCAACTTGCCGATCTTTTTGTTGTATCAAATGCAAAAATGTCAGGGTCTGGAAGATTTCTCGATTTGTCATGCTAAACAGAAGTGCGACACACTTTGCCTTTGTCTCGATTTGTCATGCATATTTTCCATGATCCATGTCGTCTGGAATGCAGGACCTAGCATGACAGATTCTGCCAGATCCCTATCATGCCTATCCTGCATGAGAAACTGCCTCTCGATTAGCTCAAGAGTGGACAGCTTTTGGTAATTATGCAACACTGATTTTTACATGATTCAGATTTAGCATGACAAGTTGCTTTGTTCCATACCCAAACATTTTCGCATTTGATATGTTGTTATGCGCGTCGCCCGTTTCGATAAGCTCCTTGGGCACGTCGGTCCGCATGTTTTCGTACCCCCGGTCTCGCAGCACCTTCGGGAATTTCCCGTCCAAATTATTCCACAGAAAAATTTTTCACTGTGATAACAATAACTTTGCGAGTTTTGCATCACAAGTTTCTGTTCTACACGATCACAAATGCAGTTTACGTTGCCTATCATAGGGGAAAACACAGCTAGAAATGCTTTGCATGTATAGAAAGACAAAGACTTTTGCCTTTGCGATGCTAGTACACTTTCTGCATTACAAGTTCACAGTGAAAAATCACCAGTCTTTTCGTGCGATACAAATCTGCCTTGCTGTAGTGCTTCGGATTTTCCCATGGCAGGTGTAGTTTCCCCAGACGGGGGTCCTGCTTTTGCCGCACTTTCTCGAATACCGTATTGGTACCGAAAACCTCGGCGGACGGGGATCGATGAGAAAAGGAATTTGATTCCTCTCCTTGTGCCTGTCTACGCGATTTCGAGACATGCCCCAGCCCCCGTGAGCACAATTCTAACTCAACGTCATCTGAGGCTGCTGCACTACAGGAAGATACGAACAGCGTTGTTTGATTCTACCAGAATCGCTGCTACTTCGAGCGGAGAACGACAGCACCAGCACCACTGCTAACTGCTTCGGTCTGCTTGCGATTCTGCATGAGCATGGCAAAAAGTAAGTACATCCGACACTTAATTTTCAATGACACCAGCACAAGAAGAAGATCAACCCCCTCTTAGTTGTTGACTCGCATAAGACCTGCGGTGGGCGTTCTGCTTGCACCTCATCGTGAATCTTTTCCCGTGCCAATTCGCTAAACACGCCGGTGGTGTGCTCCTGATCAACCGCGCCGGTGGTTATTGAGTGCGTAGGCCCCCGGAACTGTCCACTGTTTTTCTGCGGTGCAAAGGGGATCGGGGTAAAGCGGTTCACAGGCGGCGCTTCCGGCGGCGCAGGGGGGGCCTGGTATCAGCGAGGAAACTTCGCGTGGCACTGGTCTGGGGGATTGAATTTAATGCAAATATCAAATTCTAATCTAGCGGAATTCCCACACTTGTCTTGCATGATTGCGATAAAAATTGAACGTGGTAATATTAGCGAGCTCGCATGACAAACCCACCGCATACTACGCGAGTCGTGCTTTCCTGCGCGATACAGGTGGCCGCTTAGAGGGGGACGACGATTTCGACATTTTGAATCGAACAGATTCGGTTAATTCTACCAAAATCACGACAAACTACAGCACAACCGACCTTGTGCAAACTACGATTTACAAGTAGACCGCAACGCGCGCCACCGACCTTGTGCAGTTACTTCTTCTTGCTTTTTTTCATCTCGTTGCTTGCCTCCTGCCAAGTAGAACCCTGCATGCAAAAATGCATTCCTTCGTGGTTGTCTGGACATCAATTGACAACTTTGATGAAGACACATTGTCATTGAATCTGATCCTGGACCGATGCGGAAATTTGCTTGAGGAAATTTACATGAGGTAGCTGGTGCCGGTCGTGTAGTTTTGATGAACAACGCCATTTCTTCATTCACCAACACAACTATCGCCTCAGTTGTACCAGCACAACGACGGCCTTTAAAAATACCGACTACGACAACATGTTTCATCCGTGCTGGTGTCGTCCCGGCGTTATGTCCTCACCGCCCAACTGCTCCATTGCGGACATCAAATTGAACCCGCCAAGCTGTATCACGTCGACCCGAGGCAGAAACAGTAACCGTGCTCGCAGGCAGCTATTACCAGAGCTCCGGTCAGTTTCTAGCTGCTGCTAGCGTGATTAATGAATTTTAATTTCCGATACAGTACAACAGTATTCTTTATCATCATTTGGACTCGTTTTCGTATTTCAAATCTGAATCGTTTCCATTATCATACAACAATTGGTACAAACTTTTCACAACTTCTGGCCCCGTCGTGGTTTAGGCACTTATTCTCGGGGTGGGGGGGCTTTGGAGTCGGGGTATTGCTCTTAAAACCACCTACAGAATTTTTAATACAAGATTTGTACAAGTATCCTGCAACATCATAAATATTTTTATTTTCCCCTACTCCTGCTAAAGTAGACGTAGCATATTTTTACTTGGGTTGTAGTTCATCGCTTCTCCTAATTCAATGTGTCTGATTTATTGTGTCTGGTACGTTTGTTTCCCTTCCCAATTCCTACTTTTCTTGGAAATCAAATCATCTTCCTTTTCATTCCTCTTCGGCTTCCACCACGCTCCTCACACCTCCTGCTTCATTGCCCCGGCACCGCGCAGGGAATCTTATCCGCCAGAAAAAAAACCCGCAGTGGAAAACTACAAAGTCTGCCACTTTTTTCTCATGCAATTTCAAACATGACAATCGACGCGCGGACCTATTGTTTGGAATAAATTACTACGCATGACAAGAAAGTAAGTACTTCTACACTGCGTGCGAAGCAGTAGGAGGAGCATTTTCTGTGCGGGATAAGGTTTGCTGGACCGGTGCGCTGCCGCTGGAGGACCGCTCCATCGCGCCATCGGCATCCTGGAAAAAGCTGGATCCCTCGCCGGCAGCTGGATTTGGTCGAGTTCGTTGATGTCATGCAGATTTGCAATCAATAAAAGAACAGTATGTAATGCGCATCCCCAACAAGAACATGAGAAGTATTTTCTAGTGTTTCTACTTTTGGAAAAGTTTGCAATGCTGAAATAAGGATAAGACAACAGCTTTGCATTGCGGCTTTGCTTATGCGTGCTAAACTGTACCACAATTATACAGGAAAGAATTTCCAATGTGTAACTCCCAAAAGAACTTCTGGTTCTTGTGCTGCTAAGTTCCCAACTTGACAACTCGGGGGTGGAAACGCAGTTTTTGCTCAGGGTAAAACTCACAGAAGTATCTATACCTTCGTCTCCTCCCGCCGCGTTGCTGGTGACGGTGACCTTCTTTTCCTTCTGCTTCTCCTTCTTTTTCGACTTGGTCTTGGTCACGCTTTTGGCGGGGCAGCAGTTGCAGACCGCGGTCACTGTGGCCTCGTCGAGAGACGCGGCCGCTTCCGAGCCCGGCTTGCAGATCGTGTCGCAGACCGAGTGCAGCTCGTCCACCGACAGCTTTCCGTCCCGCTTTATGCATTGCAAACATCTTCGATCTGGGTCTGGGACTGAATATGTGATGCGGATGAACTGTGCATCATGACGCGAGCTACAGTTCTAAGCTTGCTACTAAGTAGTTCTTGGGTCCGACGCACTCCCATGCGCAGTGCGCACACTGAAAAATGTGTTTTAAACGGAGCTTCAGCTTTCGCGCTTCGCGACCAGGCAATACAGATTTTGCAGGAACGCCAGCCAAGCAATACAAGTTTCACTTCTCCAGACGTCGACCCAGATCGATATTTGCAAATCCTACGCTTCTTCGGATCCGGATTCGCCAGCTCGTCCGCCTTATGGATTGCAAAAATGTCTGGGTCTGGAAAATTCTGAGACTTGTCATGCATGTTTTGCATGACCCAGGACGTCTGTAATGCACGCCCTAGCATTACAGATTTTTAGAGGGCTTCCTGATGCCTACTCCGCATGACAAACGCCCTCCCCGCGTAGCACAAACTAGACTCCTCTTGCTGGTCATGCAGTACAGATGTTTTTAGAGTGCAAAGCTAGCATCACAAGTTCCAACCTTCCAGACCCAGACATTTTTGCATTTGATACGCCTTTTTGACTGGGCACTCACCCCCTTCTTTTCCGTCCAAGACCATGTTGTGGTCGATGTCCAGCTTCAGGAACAATTCGGATTCCTATCAGAGTGCACAACCTCCCTTCCCCCTCAATTGTATGGCATGAGCAGCGATACAAGCAAGGGCAGAAATTATGTGGCTCCCGGTGACAAATGTGCATATGGCTTGCAGTAGGTACTACTTGGAGTTCCAGAGTTTGTCATGCAGACAGTGCTTCGACGATAGACATAGATGTTCATTTGATAAGTATTTTGCATGCACAAATGAGGGGAAGGGGCAGAACTTGTGCACTCTCATAGTTCCTCTTTGGTGATTTTTTTCTTCTGAATCTTGATGTCCAGCCGCTCCATACCTTGGTGCAATCAGAGTTTAATGAATAGACTATATTCATCATGGTGCTTTGTGTTGCTTCTGCGCAAGAGTGGTACAACTTCTATTACGATTTACGAACTCTCATGCATTCCAACGCATGAAAACTTCTTCTATGTGCAAATCCTATTGGGAATGCAAAAAAAAACCGATCCAGTGCCCGCATAAGAAGTTAAATATTTTCCACATCGTTTTGTAAAAGTACCTTCCGCCGGCCCCTCCGCTGCGGGCTCCGCCTCTTCCTCCGGCTCCTCCGCCAGCTCCTCTTCCCCCGCTGCTCCGGGTTTCTTCTTGGACCCGCGCAGACTGTTGGCGTAGCAGTCGGGTCCGCACTTGATGCCGCCCGTTATCCTATGTAAAAACGTCCCCACCCCATAGTCAAGATGGGGAATCGGCTAGACAAGTCCACAAGTTTCGGCTGTTCCCCATGACAAATTTGGACTCGTAGCGTAGTGCTGTTTGAGGTAGTTCAGAGGCATCACAGATCTAGTATATCATGCTGATTGCAGCATGACAAATTCCAAAGCACAATTAGAAAATGCTTCTCATGGGGCTCCGGATGACAAACACTTTCAGCATGCACATGCAGGTATGCATTACAAATATGGGGTGGGGACGTTTGTACTGAGGATACCCGTTTCGGCTTCCTCTTCCTTCTCCTCCACGGCAAACTTGGAAACCAGCTCGGCTTTCGTCAGCATCACGCTGGAGAAAAAGCTGAGCTGCAGCAGGGCGAGCGAAAAAGTTGATGTCAGCATCTTCTTGTAGCAGGTTGGAGAAGTATTAAGCTGAGCGGGAACTACACCGCGGTCGCGTTGTATCATTTTAGAATCTTCTCCTCCCGTTCTGTCCTTTGTTGGTAGAAGCCACGGTGCTCTAGTTCTGCTTCCTGTACTTTCACTAGCAAAGGCAAATGCTGCTTGTTCTATGAAGATAATCCATAGTTTTTACTTTGCTCGCCAATTGTGCACAGTAACACAACACCGGCGTTCCAGACAAATGAGAGCCGTGAGTAGAATATCAAGTACTACGAAAGGCCGATGCCGAACAAACGATATTATGTTTTGTCAACAAGTTCACGACGACCACCGGTGCGGGGAAAATTCTCGTAGAAAACGACTCTTTCATCCAACTCGAAACTTTCGGCTCTCTCGGCGCGCTCGCAAAAGTGGCAGAGCCGCATCTCCTCTAACTATCGTCCCTCATCTCAAACGCTACTTAGATATCAATCATGACGTCCACCAAGCTGCAACTACATCTATAACACTCTGAAGAAAAGCTGCAGTTGCTGTGAAGTACTTGCAGTCAACATTCATCTTCTACCGGCGATGAACAACGACCAAGGCCATCATGCGCATGATGCGCGAGCGGTGGTACAAACACCACGCTCAAAACTCGCCGTCTGCACTCCTGTTGCAGGGCACATATGCCATCCGGGTCGAAGAACTCGACGCACGAAGGCTCTTTTTCCTATCTATCACGCTGCACCTCTGATTATACTGGACTTTCTTCTCCCGTAGAGATGAAAACTTTGGGTTTATGATTTGTCGTCGGGTTGTAACTCGGGTCATGATGAAAATATTGAACAAAGGGCAAGTCGTAAGGCAAGTCGTAACAGAAGTGGTTCTGACTTTTAACACTCACGACTGCGGAAGTCCTCAGGAGGTGGGGTAAAAAGAAAAACAACAGCACTAGTACTGGGCGGGTCTCATCATCGAACTTACTGGAAGGAAAAAGCGAGCAACTGTTCCGAAGTTGCATCCGCTTTCAATCTCACTTCTTTTTCTTCTTGTTCTTATTCGCTTTTCGCGCCACCACCTCCGTTTCGATCTTTGTGTTTTGCAGGGTAGACGGCCCGGTTTTCTCCGCATTCCCACCGGTGACCGCGCCCTGGGGGCCCCCCTTGATCACGTTTCGGTTGCCTCGCTTTCCCTTCGGCGCCTTGTAGTACGACCTCTGCTGCTTCGGCAGCCACCTCTCTGGGTCGGGCTTGGGAAACTTGTCCGGATTTTTCGGGTCAAAATCCTTCGGGTATCGGGGCTTCCGGTTGCGCTTCTTCTTCACTCCGGCCTGGCCGTCTATCGCAAGAAAAAACTGTTTCACGGTGAACTTGTGATGCACAGAGTGTATACACAGAACTATTTGTCTTGCTACACCTGCAAGGCATTGGATTTTTAAGCGTGTTTGCCGAAGCACGCATGACAAATTTTCTGTGTCATGTGTAGCAAACTTGTGATGCGGATCTTGCAAAACCATCACAGTGAAACAATTTTTTCCTGTGATACCGTCAGGCCCAGCAGTAGCAGTTCCTGCGGTCGTGCTAGACAGACTCTTGGCCTTCGCCATCAGCCGCGTGGGGATGCCCTGTTGCTCCAGTTCTTCAAAATCCAAGTCCATTGCGCTGTCGTTGTTGTTTTTCTCAAACAGGTCGATCGCGAGCTGAAACCCTTTCTCCAGCGCGTCTTTAGCTGGTGGAACAGTTGCACTACCAGCAGCTCCTGTGCTTTTACTGTTCGAACTAGTCATCTTCCCGCCAGGTGGTCCTCGTGCCGCTGAGGACCCGCAGGTGAGGTTGAAAACCCGCTGCTGGAGGAAAAACGCGTCGCTTTTGTCAATCTGCTCGAGGTAAAGCTGCGTGATTTCCTGCTGGAAGGCCGCGTCGTGAAGGTGGTTCTTTGCCCACTTGAAAGCGGTTTGGAGGACGGTCTGATGGAATTTTCATTTTCAGTTCACAAGTATGAAAAATGTACCGAGAGCATGAGAAACACACTCTGTCATGCATATACGCATGCCAGTACATCTTCAATCTAGTACTTACATTTATCAGAAGTATCAGCATCAATACCTTCAGTTTCTCCGCATCTGCCTTCACCGATTCCATGGCTTCCCTCAAATGTCGCAACACTTCCTCCGGCTTTTTTTGCTTCCAGGCAAACGCGCACAGTGTGTCCAAAGCCGCCAGCCTCTGGTCGGCGGGGAGCTTGGAGTAGTATATGACCTGCTCAAACGTTACAATCTCAAACGTTACAATAGAGTCTGGAAATCTGTGATGCAAGAAATGCATGATCTAGCCAACTCTCATAGGACTGCGCATGACAAGTTCCGGAGTCGTCCCAAACCGCACTACAATCTGCCGAAATTTGTGTTGCAGAAAGTGGAATGGTCTGCGAGTCTGTCATGCTCATTATGCAGGACAAAATCCCGATTCTATTGTAACGTTTGAGGTTGTAACGTTTGAGCAGGTCATATAGTACGCGATGGCTTTCTGTTCGTCCTTCAGGTGCGTGGAGTAGAATTCGCCTGTTGTATGAAAATTGAGGTTGTACTATGCTGGCCTCCTTGACTCAATTTGTACCACCTGCTGCTGAACGATCTCAACCTCAAATACAGTCCATGGAAGCACGCACACTTCCAAACAAGCATATTAATTTATACCTAGCGCACTGACGGCAGCGGCACTGTCTTCCCCACGCCCACCTTCGCCGCCTTTTATCAGAATTTGCTCGCACAGACCCAAATCCTTCTTGAGAAACGCCTGACTCGCCTCTAGCACGATTTTTTTGCTGCTGGGTTCCATTTCCTTCAACGCCTCCACCGCTGCTTCCTTTTTCCCCATCACCAGCAGCGCCGCCTTGTTAAACGAGGTGGAATCAAGGACGGTTTTACTTATCGCCGTGCTGCTCGAAGACGCGGCACTGGTTGTAGTACTGCAGCTGGACACCGCATTCGTGATCTTCTTGATCGCCTCATTGCACTTGCTCGTGTCATGGGCCACCTTCAGCGCCATCTGATTGTTCGTGACCACCAGGTTCGTGAGACTACTGCTTGGTGCTACTTTTTCGTAGTTCGCTGTGGCTTGTTTCTCTTGGTTCAGCTTTTGGTAAACTACCCCCAGCTGCGCTCGGATCTGGGAGAGGTCCTGTAGAATCAGAATTCGATCTTCCGTTAGTTACTACTTCTACTACTTCGGGTGACCAAAAATGCAAACGCGATGTTGTGAAGAACAAGAAGCAACACTACCTGTACCTCTTCCCTGTGAGACGGGTCCTTCATGCAGCCAGCGAGTGCATTCAGGAGAGATTTCAGTGCGGCGTTGAGCTGTCCTGCCCCCAGTTCCGCGGACCCAATGTTGTATTGCGACACCCACCTGAGAGAATGGGATACATTGCCAATGTGGTCGTGCGGGAATAAATTTCTTTGCTTTCTTCAGGTTCAGGAACAAAACCCGGGCCGTGGTTATTATATTTGCATTTCCCTTGCAAAGATTCACATTGCAGCTACGACGGAAAAAAAACAACATGCAACCATACAAGAAACACAACCTCCAAGAGTCTTCTATCTTCTCTATCGCAGTGTAAAATCCAAATACTGTTTCGGTGCCAGGTCGTGGAACTTTTTCAGCACCCCCAGGCCCAGTCCCGCCGCCGAGCTTGCTTCCTGCACGCATATCAAATGCAGAAATGTCTGGGTCTGGAAGATTCTGAGACTTGTAATGCAGTTTTTCCAAGCTCCCCCACGTCTGGAATGCAGGGCCTAGCATCACAGGTTCTGCAGCTCCTTGGTGATGCGTATTCTGCATGAGAAATGCCCCGTCAGCATGGCCAGAAGTGGGCACTTTTTGCACGTTCTGCATCACAGATCTTTGTAGGATCCGAAACACGCATCACAAGTTGCAACTTTCCAGACCGAGACATTGTTGCATTTGATAACGCAGGCTAAATTCAAATTCGCGTCTTCCTGTCCGTCCTTGGCGAGCGCTGCAAAAACTTTCTCCGCGGAAGAGAAATTTCCTTGCTGGTAGTCTATTTGAGCGAGAAGGTTTCTCACAAATGGGTCGTCGCTGGATGCAGCAGCACCTCCGAGGAGGGCCTTCGCTTCCGAGAATTGCCCAAGTCGGTACTGGGCGTAGCTAAAAAATTCATGTTGAACCAGATAGAGATGAATTTTTTTATTTTTCATGAGTAGAGTAATAAAAGAGGAAATGGGCTCTAACCGGGGCGAATAGGGAGGTTCATGCGTTAAATTCAACTGAAAGCAAAAGTAGTCTCAATTCCGATCAGCACAGGATACAGATCAAAGATGTCAGATTAACACGATTTCATCGCCGATGAACAACAAAAATCAATCTAAATCTATACGCCTTCAACAATCTCCCTGCCGCGTCGCTTTCCTCGGCTTCCTTGACCACGTCGGTAAACCGGCCGAGTTTTACGAAAGCGTACAGCCTCGCCTCCGCGGCCGCTGCTTTTTCCGCGGGCTTCTCGTCACATTGGGACAGAATTTCTTCCGCGATTTCCAACGCGTTGGCCCACGATTCGTTCTCCAAATCGGTCTGCAGGTCCCCGAAAAGCGCGTCCATTTTCGGCGCTTGTGTCTTGTGCGCGAGCAGGTGAAGAGGGCCGTAGAAGGGTGTTTCGGTTTTGTATCTAAGTATAATGCTTCTTGTACTGGGTTTGATGTAGTTCTCTTGGCCTACTATCAATTTGTCGTGTAATTTAATATGACGCTACAAGAATAAAAATGCTCCTTCTTACACAAGTCTACCACGATCGTGTCGCAAAAAGTAAAAGTTCTTGTGACCATGGGGGACTACTTTTATCCCGCACCTGTATAGGTTCGTCTACTTGATCAGCGATTTTTCTTTGCTATCGACCTGCTAATAATTACGCAGGAGAAGCTACTACTTCCAAAAAGCTGTAAAAAGGTTGCCGATAGGAAAAACAAAGAGAGACTCGTATGGTGTTGCTGTGGTGTTAGTAGCGTGTGAAGAATAAATACTAAGATAAACTGAATATACCAAAAATCAAAAAATTTTTTTTTTTTGATAAACAACATGATCGATTCTGCAGCCGTGGCTGCAGCGCGCCAGTGTTTCTTGTCGTACGTACTTGATCTTTTGATCGTAAACATCTTCATCCTTGTTTTCTCGACTAGAACAAATGCTTTGCAAGCCGCGTAAAGATACTTGCCAAAATCAAAAGTTAATGATCCGGAAGATCTCTTTTCCTACATTCCTACACGTAACTTTGGTTCTTGTTCTCGCGACGACACGAGCAGACACGCCAGTCGTGTAGTTGTCAAGACGCTGATTTGTTTCTACTTCTGGTCGTGTCAATGTTCTTCTTGTTATTATTTGTTGGCATCGAACACAGCTGCTAGAAACCAGCAGCGCGGTAGGTTCTTCTTCTGCGATCGCTGAAGAATTGGGTCATCTTCTATCTAAGTGTGATGCCCTTTATTCGAAGATGATATTTTTTCCATCATGTCGTTGTACTGGTTCAACGTGCTTTATTTTTTGTCGCTGGTGAAGAGTCGAGCTCGCGGGGGGAAGAATCAGGTCGCACTTTCATTTCGCGTTCACTTTTTCTCTTTCGAAAAAAACCTTCATGGTGGAAGCAGCTTCCGTGGCTTTCACGCCAGGAAACGAAGAAGACTTCACTTCACGCCTTGTGCGCGCTTGCCGCCTTCAGGTGTATTGCGTCCAGGTCGTCGTACTCTGGAGACTCGAAATTTGTCTCGTCTATTCGAAGGCTGAGAGTTTTTATAATTAGATGGTGATAGATTGGTTTTTCAACACTTCGCATAGTTTTATGCAAATAGCTTCGTTCTCAGCGTATTGTAATTGTGAAACATGGCCAAAACAAGAAACGCCGATAGATCTATGGTATACCATAAGCTCAAGATTGAGCTGTCCGCGATGCGCTGTGACCTGAGTGAAACTTCGTCTTCGAGGATCAGATATGGATTGTAAAAGTGTCTGGGTCTGGAAGATTGGAACTTGTGATGCTGTCTCTGGATTCTAAAAAAATTTGTATTGCATGACCAGCAAGAGGACTCCGCTTTGTGCTACGCGGACGGGGCATTTGTCATGCGGAATAGGCATGAGGAAGCGCTCTAACAATCTGTGATGCTAGGCCATGCATTCCAGGCATTATGGATCATGCAAAATATGCATGACAAATCGTGCAATCTCCCAGACCCAGACATTTTTACAGTTGATATCAGATCAACGTATGCAACGAAAGAAAGTACTTGCCGTACACGTAGGATGAAATGGATCACCGATGATCTTAGTCGTTTTGCCGCGATGAAAATGAAAAAAAAATGCCGAAAGAACATAATCTTCCAATGTTGCTTTTACAAAACAGAGCATGTCGTGAAAGGTTCCATCCGTATTCTTGTACATGATGTACGGCAAGCTCTCTATTCCCACGGATACTTCGTAGAGTAATCGGATATCCAGCGGTGACTTGATCCCCTTGTCCGCGAAAAGCAGGACCAGTTTTTCTTTCAGGGCGAGCACCGTCATATCTGCCGTGTCGCACTGTATAATTTGGGGTGTGCTCTTTTTCAACTTTGTAAAAATATGTCCAGCTCTCCTGCATGAAAAAAGACACCTATCATCCAAAACCCGCATGACAACAAGTAGATAAAGTTTATCACTAGCATTATACCAGAAGAAAAAACGTTTGGTTTTTCCGCTTCACCTTTACGTGGATGCTCTCCAGAGACGCCATTTTGTCATGCGGTTCTGCTAGTACACAGCTTCTGTTATTGTCATACTACAACAATGATCCGCAGCTACACCACACAAAGCTCACAGCTAGATTTCCTCTAAGTATAGTTGTCGTCGGAATTATCTTTTATTTTGTCACTCTAAAACAGCTAACTGCGTTTGTTCTACTCATCTGTGACAATTATTGAAAACTCGTTCTACGCTAAATTGAATCTCGCTCCAGGGTCGTGTGACACGAGTTCACGCGACCAGGACCAACGGTAACGTCTAAATTGTCGCAGGCACACCAATAAACCCGCTCTATATTTCTTGCATGCTTGCTGCGTATTGTAGTTCCTCTAATGTCCTCTGTCACTGTGGTCACTGAAGATCTGCTCCCACTCGTCTTCTAGAACTTCTGACTAGAGCTAGGTATCTATCCGGAGTCGTTGCCTGCTCCGGTTCTAGCGGCGGCCGGGGACCGCCGAGTAAACCATCTTCAAGCCGTAAAATTCGGAACAACAGTGGAGCTCGATTCCATGATGAGCGAAAAAGGGGGGTGATGAGATGAAGGAGGAGGGGGGCAAGTTGTCCCCCGCCCCGCCCGCGTCGATACCAATACAGTACATTTCATTTGAAGAACCAAAATCGCATTTCCATCCACGATCTACTGCGCGCTAACATTTAGTATTTTACGGTGTACTAAGTTGTTTTTCTCTTGTTCTACATGTTAGTATCACGAAGGTCGGAATAATGTGCAGAAATTCACGAGAGACTACTTCCGGGAACCGCAGCAGACCCAGCAAGCTGTGGACGACCCAGCACATCAGCTACACCGTCTTTACAAATCCACTTTTTCCACCAAGTCCCATTTCACCCGCCCACTTCCCGCGGGACTAACTGCCCACAATTCCACGCTGTTCAGGAAAAAGTCGTACTCCCCACCCAGCTATCAAATGCAAAAATGTCTGGGTCTGGAAGAGTGCAAGTTTGTCATGCGTGTCTGGCATGACTGGAGAATCTGTGTTGCCTAGGCACGATGAAAAGGCCCTCTTACCTGTCATGCAAAAACGTAGTTTGCCATGCGGAATACGTAAGACATGGCAGCCAAAAAAATTGTCATGCGTAACTGCGTATTGCAGTGCGTCTATCATTCACTTTTAGCATTACAAGTTTCCAGACCCAGACATATTTGCATTTGATACCAGCAGTTTCGTCCCGTACTCGCGCCGCAACCAATCCTGTGCAAAAGTATCGCACTCGTACTAATCGCATTCATGCATTACAAATGTCTTTCTGCTTTTAAATCCGCATTACAAATTTTATTTCTCACGCTGAGGCAATTTGTCATGCGATTTATACTAGTACGATGCTTTTGCCTTTCATGCAACCAGTCCCTCGCTTCGGCCTTGCGCCGCCAGGGGATGTTGTTTCCTGTAGGTCCACTCCCCGTTGATGTACTACCGCCGTAGTCGTTCCCATTTGCCAACAAAGTTACGACCGAACTCTGCCTCGAGAGTTCTTTCCTCCTCACTTCCGCGCTCAGAAGCCGCTGCTGCAAGTCGAGAAAAACGTTTTTCACAAACAGCGGCGCTTCCGTCAACTCGAGCGCAACCGCGGCCGCCCTGCGTATTTCGTCGCTGCTCTCGTCGTCCGCAGATGCAATGCAAATATGTGCTTAGTCTTCTGGCTCTGGGAGGATGCAGCTTGTGATGCAAGCTTTAGTACCTTTTCCTTCGGATCACACAAATACCCAAATTCGTGTTGCATGGAGGGAGTCAACATAAAGTTGCTAAACTTCCTGCTCGTCCGCGCACAGTCAATTTAGCATGAGAGAGAGAGAGAGAGAGAGAGAGGCATCAAGAAGCATACGCAAAACTACCTGTAATGCTTCTGTGCGCATTTGCGACCATCACCATTCCCGTGATCCAAAACCTGCATTACAAACTTCTCCATTTTTTCTGGTTGCAACAAATTTGCAATGGATACTGCAACGGCGATGAGCTCCTTGAAACGCACCTGCAGCTTATGAACTGCAAAAGTATCGCACTCATAGTAATTGCAATCATGGATTACAAATCTCGTTTTTAAAGCGAATCTGCATCACAAATTTTGCTTCTCATGCTGCGGAAATTTGTCATGCGATTTATACTAGTACGATGCTTTTGCATTTCATACAGCTGCTGCCTTTGCAGTTGCGCCTCTTGCTCGGGTTGCCGTCCTGCTGCCCTCGACGTTGTTGCCCGGCCGCGGTTTGCGGTAAGCACCTGAGCCCTGCTGTTGTTGATCAAATTTGCCTTGGCGCTGTTTACCACCGTATGCAGCACATTCTTCAAAGCCTATGAATTGCAAATAAGTATATCGGGGTCCACCTCTGGAAACATCGTGATGCTAAACCCTGGATGATTGAACCACTTCCAACTGCTACTCCCCATCATGACAACTTTTTACCGACCTTTGCTCCCAAAGGTAGGTGGCAGCTGCACACGACAGTTACAAACTGCGTTTCAGCATGACGAAACAGCACTGCTTTTGCTAGTCATACAACCCACACTTAGCAGGAATGCCGCGAAGTAGACACGCATCAGAACTTCCTTTTTTTTTCCCGACACAGACAACAACATATTTGCAGTTGATAAAGCCACGTCAACCGCGATTTTGCGCTCCGGCGAAAACAGCTCCGGCGCGGTGTACCGCGAAATCTCTCCGAGCAACGGTATCCGGCCCGGTGGGCGAGTAGTACTGCTGCCGCTGCTGTCCAGGAGGTTCTGCCCGTTCTGGTTATAGCTGCTGTAGCTGCTGTATGGAAAGGTGTTAGCGGCGCCGTAGGAAAATTTCTCCTCCACGGATTGCACGAGAAGATCGAGAAAATTTTATTGAGAGGAAAAATTCCCCTTCCCCATATCGAAAACGCATTCGGCTGAAAATTTGTGATGCAGATTTGAGGTCACAAATCCTGTCTGTCTTGCAAGAAGGCAAAGCCAGAGAATCCGCCGCATTATGCCGGCGGTTTGTGATGCTGCTGGGCTTACAGAGCCGACGTCTGTCATGCTAGTCCCCTACGTCAAAACCTCTCGACCCAGGCTTGGCATATGCCTGCAGTCCTCTCCAGCAAGACAGACCTGATTTGTGTACGCAAATCCAGCATCAGAAACTTCGTTTCGATATGGGGAGGGGGGATTTTTCCCTTTGATAAATTTTCCCGCCCCGCAATGCTGTTCTCGTCTTGGTACTGGGGAATTTGCTTCGGTGCTGTTCTCACCGTGACAAAAACCGAATACGCCAAAACGCTATCCTGAGTAAAAACATCCCCACCCCATAGTCAAGTTGGGAATCTAGCAACACAAATCTCCAAGTTTTGGAAGCTGTGCATGACAAGTTTCCCTCTGCAGTGTGGTGCCGATTGGCAAGAGAAGCCGCATGAGAAAGCCACTTTCGCATCCCGTTTACAGCATTACAGATTCAAAAACACGACCGGAAATGCCTCTCATGGAACTGCGCATTACAAATGTTCCTGTCATTGCACATTTGCATGGCAACTCTGGTGTGGGGACGTTTTTACTCAGGATAAACGCTTGCAGAGCCTTATCCTGTGTGAAAGAACCGTCCCCGCGATCATCATCCCAGAGTCAAGATTGAGATGCACCGGCCCGTGCCTAATATAAATGTCGATGCAGAACTCCTGACGAGTGTCGCTCTGTCGCGGAGTTGTGCTATAGAGCCAGGAACATAGAGATGCACATCAGACTCTAGCGACTGGAAATGTTCCTGCAAGTTCCCTGTGTCGTAAGAAGAACTCTGACCGCCGCGTGGGGCGGTTTTTCTTTTCAATACACCGTCGCCGAAGAGGTAAAAAGAAAACAAGCTTGCCGTTGAAGATGCTGCACTCGTCGTCCCATCGGGATTGGGATTCCCACATCCGGGAACTCCACCGAGAAGAACAGCCAAAATCCCGACGAAAAGCACGGTGAAGGAAAAGTGCTGATTCGAGTATGCAATTCAAATCTGCCCCCACGGTTCACCCGAGTTTGTCATGCCGAAAACTACGCCTCACTGACACCACTGTGGCTATGCCAGAAACTTGCAAGTACGTCGCTTCGGCGGGGGGCGAGTCGGAACTCACTGTATTCTGCGTTTGCATCGGAGTTGCCTTGCGACCGGAGTGCATAATTTCAACTCAGCCTACTACGATCCTGTCCAACATGCAAGACAAATCTAGGGGCGGACACGGGCACCATTGCCTTGTATACCGACTGCAAAAATTCCACAAACTGCTCAGTGGCAAGCCCGATTTGAGCGGTGAGACGGGGCATTATTTCTGCACAAAAAAGAAAAACGTATATAAAAGTATGTGTGAAAAATAAACAACAACTCTGTATACGAAAACTGCACTTCCGGATCAGCACAAGGGCAGCACCAGGTCTACCTTTCTTAGGAACTACGGCATTGCCTCTTCTACTGCTCTCGAAGTTTATCTTCTCTAGTACCGCACTAGAACCACACTCCCGGACATCCACATCTCTCGCTCTCCAAGCTACTTGACCAGCCAGCGGACTGCAGGCGTATCTCAAAGATTCTGGAAGCAGGACATCTGATCACGTTAGTGCGTCAAATACAGCAACTGAAAACATGAGAACAAGCATCAACTTCGAAACGCTTGCAGCGCTCGCGTGGCCGAGCATGCCCATACGCAGGAGGCTCGTCCCGCGTCTGTTTAGATGTTTTTGTTTCCTTGTGTTATCCCAAAAAATAATGTACAGTTTGAATCAGATTCAACCCTTCGAGGTCGCAAGTTGGGCAGTTTCCATTGGCCTGGCCGCGGAATGAGTTCGTTCAAACGGAAACAAATCTTTCAAAGCACTGCCTCGACTAAATAACTAGGGCTGATTGATGAAAGTGGAAAATCAAAATCTTCTTCGCGGTCTGGTTATATTTTTTACGGTTTTCAACGCGCTGCAGTCTTAGAATCTTATTGCTCGTGGTTTGCCCTACATTGTCGTACCGCCAATTTGATGAGCAGACCAAATAAAGGTGACTTTCGTGCCATTCCAGCCGCAAGAATAGTATTTGTTTCCTACATTGAAAGCTCTTCTAGCGGCAAATGCAACCAGGAGAGACATAGATCTAGACGCACCTGCAAACGTCTACCTGGTCGAGAGTCTACTCTAAATATCACGAACCATGCGGGCGGCGAGCAAGTATCGAAGTCAAGGCGCAAATAGACATATAGCAGCGAGCTCGTTTTATTTTTATGCGGCATACGATATTTTTTTTGTTTTTTTGTGGGTTTTTCACGGTCAAGAGTAAAGCTTAAGTGTTCCCCTGATGGGCCGTTCCATCCAAAAATTGTAAGTTGCGATGATGTGAAACTCAAATGCTAAAATACAGGAAATAAACGGAAAACCTTCTAGGAAAGCCAGCGCGCATTATTTACAGTGATGCGAGTGATGCAGTGCTTTTCGAAAATCAAACGCGCAATCGTAAGCTGAACTTTACCCCATGACGGTACTCGAAAAGTGAGAATTACGCATAGACTTTCGCGCTCCTTTCCCTACCGGTTTCGTAAAGTATATTAGAGTAGTTGCGCTTAGTGTCTGCGTCTGCAATAAAATCGCAGCTGCTTTTTAGCCTAGCAACTCCCTGTTTCTTTCAGAAAGGAAATGCGCGTCCTCGGGCACTTGTCAAGCTACTATCAAATAACGGGTGAAGGACTCATACGATGCTGTTTCATTATCGCGGCTCTTCGCTTCCTGTATCAAATAGGGAAAAGCTTGTAACTGAGATTGTAACGAAAAGGCGTGGGTCGTTGGAGAGAAGCAAGAATAGGGGAGCATGTTGAAAGGGTAGACGAAACTGTGTAAAATTTTTTCAAAAAAGAAATTCGAATGATAACTCAAACAAGTAGCTCTAACTTAAATGCGTAGCTGTGTAAACAAAAAAGTTGCGCAAACAATGCACAGAGATGGGCAAATCGAAAACGAGCAGATTAATGCAATACTTACATCAACACGATCTTACCTTAGAATCAATTGCCTGATGCTGTTTATTTCATACCCTTACCTGCTGAGGACAGGCGGCAAGAGAAAGAAAAAAGCAATCAGGTCGACGTGAAAAATCTGATGACAACAGTTCCGAACTAGAAGAACCTCCATACCTGATTTAGCTCGGATCGACTACTTCTGCGCTTGCGCTCTTCCCAGTCTACTACAGTAACCCCGCATTTCGAAAACAGCAGCAACTGTTGTGAAACAGTAAAAGTTGTAAAGCGGTGTAGACTATTTTTCTTAAACTGAGGAAAAGAGGGCACTAGAAGGACGATTCTTTTGTGGAACGGGGAAGGATTCTTGTCGTATCGGAAGAGCTGCTGCTGCTGCTTTCCTGTAGGATAAACTAAAACTTTGCATAGGTTTAGGTCGTCGTCGTACTTGTACTTGTAGAAGTGCAGCTACATCAGTAAAAATAAAAGTTTTGCCATGATTGTTCTGGTTTCCAGAAGACAGAAGTTCGTAGTTCTATGACGGCACGCAAGACACAAGAGTTTCGAACATCGAAAGACTAGCAAAAGAGAAAGCTAAGCAGCTCAATGTCCGAAGTATTCGACTTCAATCTATCCCTGAAGACCTCCATCAGCCATCGTGCGCGGCCCGAAGATGGACGTGCATTCCGGGCTCCACTCATTCTCGCTTTTCCCTTTTCCCCATGCGCCTTGGCAGAGCTCCATGTACTTGTCCATGCGCATCTTCTGCTCTGCTTTCGCATCGAGCGCTTCTTCGGCTTTCGCGCCGGCGTATGGATGAAAACATCAAACTCCCCCACAGCCTCTTTACGACTTGCATATTGATGAATCGTCCGGCTTCATGCAAACACTCAGAAACATGAGCGCTTAGCCAAAGCCACGCACGTCGTGCGCCACGTGCTTAAATGCTAATAAGCGTCTTTCTTATACATAGTCACGCTCCTCAAAACGAAAATCAATAAACTGAAGGCACGAAACGGCGGTGGCGAAAACGGTAGCAGGCCCTAATAAAGCAGAACGAGAAAGGGCCTGCGCCATGGCCTCTATCAATCAGGCTGATAGCCAGCTGATGCTGATTCTGCTGCCAATAAAGACCGTCATGGCTGAGGTAGCGAGGCCGGCGAACTGGTGCTGCCTTGGGGCAAAACAGAGTCTAAAACCGTCCGGCCAGCCAACATGCAGCCACGGTGACCTTTCGGGACCGCCTTTTGCTTCGTCAGTGGCACGGAGGCAGCCGCCGAGAACCAGCCGCACAAATGCGGAAACCCCGAACAGCGACTTTGCTACGCCACCTCTGCTGCTGTTTAGCATTTCTGACCATCGCCACGCCCCGCGTACTGCGCCCCGTCCCATCGCGTATCGCCCAATGGGCAAGCCGCGCAAGCAAAATTAGCAATTTGGTTCTGAAAACCATCCCTGACGGCCCGGGTCCGCTTTCGGCGCCCAACGGGGCGCCACCAAAGAGCCAAACATTGCCCCAGTGAGATGCGGAAGGCATTCAGGCACTTGGCGCGCCGGCTTTTCTTCCGTTTTGCTTTGTTTTCGAAGTGCGCAGCCAGACCTAGAAACTGCTGTAAAGGCAGCCGCCTTCGCGGTCCGGTCGCCTACCATGGTGAAAAATCACGACCAGGCCATACGGCCGCGCTGATGTTTCTTGCGCGCAATTCCTTTGGGTGTACTTCCGAAATAGCGGCAATCTGGGGCGGTGGGGACCGCAGAAGGGCGGCACTTTTGATGTCGGCAGGGCTGTTTCATTTTTCGTCCAAGCGGTTACTCATCCTGAAGTAGTTCCCTCGCGATTCACTACTGGAAAAGCCAAACAGGCTTCGCTTTTCTTCGTGTTAGAAAAGGTGCCAGAAGCGTCGAAGAAATTGGAGTTCCTGGGCAGAAACGCCAAGGCATGCAAAGGACACAGCGAAGTGAGAACGTAGAAATGGCCGTTCGCGACGGCGGCCTCACTGTGTAAATAAGTATTTATAGCGACCAAGATCATGGCATGACCGATGGGAGCTGGCGAAAAATCACCAGAGCAGTAGCATGAGAACCGGGGAGGTTTGGACGCACGAACAAACCATTCTTACCTTCCCGCAAGGTTCGATAAGTCCGTAGTCCAACATCTCTTGACACTTGTCATGGCAGTCCCCCTGAACCAAATCCTCCCCGTTGCAGCAGGTGGTCTTCGCGTCGGCAAACTGGATCGTGCACGTCGCGGTCACCCCGGCTTTCCCGCGGCGGTCGACTTGGACGAACCCCGCCGGCGAAGTTTTATCACGCGGGAAACTCGACTCATAACACGCAGCCAACGTAGACGCATTTGTTTTTGTATTTGAGCTGTTGCTAGTATAGTTGCTGTTCCCTATTTCGACAATCTGCAATGCCATTTCTTGTACAGAACACAGTAGAAGCATAGTTGTTATACTATTGCAAATAAGCCTTATTACTACATGCGCATAATTTACCTGTTACCACATAGCAGGCTCAGGAAAGCATGCTATACAAATTGTCTTTGGGCGTGTCGAAGTCGGAATTTTCCTGGTGATAGGTTTCACTTCCCTGCCAGGCGTGCGTGGCGGACATCTATCCAAGCGTAAAGTGCTAGCATATCATACTTCGCAGGCAAGAATAAGAACGCAAAAAGATAAATAAAAAGCAGTCATGCGCGGGCCGCCTCTACGGCCCTAGTGGGAGCACGTGTTGATCACTCGTCATGCAAGCTTCTTTTTTTTTTGCGTTCTCAGAACTGCATGACAAAGCTGACGCGCTAGCCTTTTCTTTCTCGGATAACTTCTTGTTCTTCGCACCGTGGACGCCGGCGCCCCCTCCCAGGGGGGTCAGGACGGTGTATCAAATGTAAAAATGTCTGGGTCTGGAAACTTGTGATGCTGTGTTGGGAAGAGTGAATGCTCTGTAATGCACAACCAAGCATGAGAAATATCTGCGCTTCTTTGTGTTGCGTTTTTCGCATGAGAAACTGCGTTTTTGCATGACAGGCAAAAGCGTCTCTTCTTGGGCACGCATTACAAACTTTTTTGTCATGCCAGACAAGCATGACAAGTCTCGCAATCTTCCAGACCCAGACATTTTTGCAATCCATACGGTGGTCGCACCCGCAATCTTCGCGAACGTCTTCATGGTTGTTGATGCAGCTCTCTACTTCTGGTAGAAAACCTATCGGTGTGGTCACTTGTTGTTTTCGATCTTTTACAAATTCGGTAGTACACCGAACTGACAGAGATTGTTCTCGCAACGAGTTTTTTACAACTCTGAGTGTAGTTTTGTCCTTCTTGTTTCCTCTTCCCGGGAAAAAAACGCAAGGCCTGCTGTTGTCGTGGGTTCGTTGGACAGAAAACGATATTGAAATTTTCATGAAAGTCGTAGAGCCTTATACGTGACACTAGAAGTGGTCCTTTCCGATGATTAAGCAGTTGTACGAGTACGACTACAGTGGTGAGTACTAGGCACTTTATCTACTTTACAGCTCGAGTGCAAATAGCGTACTGTACTTCCGCATGAGAACGATGAGAACGAGTACTTCAGAACGATACAGCACGTCAGCCAGATCTAATCAGCTCATGATTAAGAGGCGACGAAGACGATGTCCTTTCACCACTTATCTTCCGACGTTCTTGCGCCTACCAAATAATCTCCCACGCACGACGCAGCGAATTAGAAATACTCGTCCTGGCTACTGCTTGAATGCGATAAACGACATAGTAGTACTTACTACGACGAGCCCACTGAGCGACCCACGAACTACGAGATGTTGACACGAGCTGTTGTTTGTATTCGAGAACAAAGGCCCATCTAAATTGATTCGGACGATGAGGAGTAGAGCTTGCTGGACCTACTGGGCGATAAGTAGACCAGAACTGTTGCGCACGATTCTTTACTACCGTACTCCGAGCACGGCAAGCGTTGCGAAAATGCGGAATAAGCACCACTAAACAGCCACGCTTTCTAAGTATCACTATAAATTCCACAATTTTTTCGGTAGCCAGACGAGAAACAAGCTGGGCGGCCGTACCAGGGTGCTTATCTTTGTGCCAACGAATCATCAGGAGGCGCATGCCAGAGAATGAGTGCCACTGATGTGTGAACGACTATACTACAACAAACTACTACCCTGCGGCACCAGAAGCACAACAGATACAGAACCAGAAGCTGTTCTGCTTTATTTGTCATTCGACAAGGAAACAAGGAAACGAATTCGATGTTCTCTATCAATTGTTCTCGGCATAAGGAACGAAATTACCGGAGCGCTCCACTCACCTCTCTCTATGGCTCTCCAAGCTACTTGATCAGCCAGAGGAGTCCAGCAGCATATCTTAACGAATCGGTATAGAAAAAGAGCCTCATTAGAACAAGTGCGCAATCTCGAAGGAAGGCTTGCTTCACTCGAGTGGCCGAGGATGCCCATACGCAGGAGGCGCGCCCGAGACTTCTCCCGATCTTCGTTTTATTTCCTTGTGTTATTCCAAAAAAATACTATATGTTGAATCCAAAAAGCAATTCCCACGTTCAGCTCAGAAGAAATGAGCTCCAGCAGAGTTCAAATATTCAAAAAGAAGTGAAACTTTGTAAATTCATGTAAGCTGCGAAATCCAAATGCTGAACGAAGTACAAGAGAAAGGCAACAAAACTTTTAAGGAACAAATAATACGCAAGCACGCATTATTTGCAGTGATCCGAATGATGCAGTGCTCTTCTCGTACACGACATGCAAAAAGTTTTCTGCAACTACCGATATCAAAGCGAAAACTAAACAAGTTTTCATCTCTATCACAAGAAAAAAGTGTTACAGTTACACATTTGTTGGAGTTTCTGCATCACAAATTTTCTGTGTGGCAGGGAAAACTTGTAATGCGAAGATCATAAGGGAAAACAGGAAGGAAACGAGGCTCCCAAGCATTTCCTGCATGAGAAAGGTTATCTGTGTTGCCGGTCTTGCAACACAATGTGTAACTGTAACACTTTTTTCTTGCGATAATCTCCCTCACGAGAACGCCTCACCCTCGGCGTCATCTTCCGGCACTGTTTCCTCCTGCGCCGCCTATGGGTTGCAAATATGTCTGAGTCTGGAAACTTGTAATGCTAAAAGTGAATGATAGACGCACTGCGATACGCAGCTATACATGACAAGTTTTGTGGCTGCCATGTGTTACGTATTCCGCGTGGCAAGCTGCGTTTTTGCATGACAGGTAAGAGGGCCTTTTCGTCCCTGTGCAATACAGAAATTCGAGTCATGCCAGACAAGCATGACAAACTTGCACTCTTCCAGACCTAGAGATATTTGCACTTGATACAGCCCGCATCTCCGCAAGAACCTCCGCGACCGCCGCAACCTTGTAGGCCGGACGGGCGTTTAGCATGGCGTCCTGGTCCACCGGTGTGCTTTCCGCCGGAAAATAGGCGGCCACCTCCTCTTCGCTCAAAGAAGAAAACTCCAGGCTTTGCTCGAACGAACCGGACGTGGCCGGTTCCAGCAGATCCCGCACGAGGGGGCCCATGATCTCCTCCTTCGCGACGTTGTCCTGCAGGCTGGGGCCGTCTTCCACCTCGTCGGTTTCCTTTTCCCTCTCCTCCCGCTCAGCAAGCGCGTTCACGGTCATCAGGACAGGTACCCGGAACCGTTCGGAGATCACTGTTAGGTCCACGGCGAGCGCCTGCGAAACGTTTTCTGGTACTCCCCCCGCCGTGACGCCCCGGCGCCCCAGTAGTGACGCCCAGTCGCTCCACGTAGTGTTTGTTGTGTTGCTGTACCAACGATCTTTTGCGTACTCTCCCCCATTGTCGTAAATTTTTGCCACGTTGTCTTTCCCCATCATGTTTTCCATGCCATCTTCGCCAAAAACGTTCTTCAAAGCTATTACAGTGAAAAGTGCCCCCCACCCCCAAAGTTGCAAAAATTTGTGATGCGAAGTTTCCAAATGAAAACTTTTTGTCATGCATGAAAGGAGTATGAATCTTTCTGATGCAGATTCTAGTCGTGTTTCGCATCGCTTGCATGACAAGCACCGCTCTTGCTGGGATCTTTTGCAATACAAATTTTTGCTATTCACGATCGGAAATCTGTGATGCTGATAGATGCAAGAGGGCAAATGTTTCATTTGGAAAGGTTTGCAATACAAATGCTTTCAAGTTCGGGGGTGGGGGCATTTTTCATTGTAATAAAAGCGTCTGCTGCTTTTTTGTTCGCGATGCGACTCGCTTCGAGCGTCAATTTGTCCGTCTCGTCCAGGTCGTCAAACTTGGGGTCATTCGGCTGGTACATTCTTGGGTAGGAGGCCGCCATCGCACCCACGGTTGGCGAATCGAGGGTTTTCTCCATTTCGTCCCTAGTGTCCTTGTATCAACTGTAAAAATGTCTGGGTCTGGAAGAATTCATGTTTGTCATGCTTGTCTGGCATGACTCTTAAATCTGTCATGCACGTTACTTACCCAAGAGGTGCGTTTTTCTGTGATGCAGAAGCGCAGTTTGTCATGCAGAATAGGCAACACCTAGGAGCTCAGAAATTTGTCATGCTGAGCCAGCATCTGTAGCCTCATCATCAGACGCCACCCAGCATCACAAATTTCCAGACCCAGACATTTTTACATTTGATACCTTGGGCCAAATGGCGCTCACCGTCAGGCGATGACGCGACTCCCCGGGCATTTGTAGGAACAGGCTGTCGCGGTAAAACACTTCCGCGGCGTAGCCCGCCAGCACCGCGCTTTGCAAGTGCCGCTGCAACCGCACGTAGGTCAAAAAATTCCGCGACGACATGAAGTCGCTCTGAAGCATGAACTTTGTTTCCGCCGTATGCATGGCAAATATGTCTGGGTCTTTTTGTGTTGCAGCTATTGCATGAGCAGTAAACCATCAAGGCACCCAGATTGCTGTTGCCACCCGGAGGAGGCATTTCCCATGCAGTATAGGCATGAGCAAGCCTCCGCTACAGCTGTGACGCTAGAGCATGCATCACAGGCACCAGCATGATCGTGGGGGCGTGTATAACTTGCGTGACAAACTCCGTCCCGGTCCCCCAATGAATCACTCAGACCCAGATATATTTCATCTATTTGCGGCTGATACGCCGAAGGATAAAAAATCGAACTCCGACCAGGAGGACCGGCTGACGAATTCGCAACAAGCGCAGTGACATATTTCTGCTCACGCTCGACCTGCTTTCGTGCGGCCGTCTTTTCCTCCGCCGTCATTTCCACCTCCCTGTCGAGAGAGTCCACGTTCTCGCTCGCGGTTTCGCGGTCAACTGAGAACAACGCACAAGAACACAGACTTTCAAATTTTTCCTTCATCTTCTTCTTCTCCTTCGCGGGCAGCGGCTCGTAGTACTGCAATGGGTGCTGCATCGCCTTTGCGAACTTCTTCAGGTCCGGCATCAAAGTGAAAAAAGCCCTCACCCCATATCGAAAACAAAATTTGTGGCGCTGTATTTCAGTACACAAATCAAATCTGTGTTGCAGTAGAGCACTGCACGCAGCTCGCGAGCCTGCGTAGGGGCCTTTTGGTGTAGGCGCCTAGAATGGTAGACGGCTGCCCCGTAGGCCCTACAGCATTGCAAATCGCCTGCATAACGCGCCGGCCAGGCTGGACTTGCCTTCTTGCAAGACAGACGCGATTGGTGGCCACAAATCTGCATCACAAATTTTCAGATGGATGCGCTTTCAATATGGGGAGATGGGATTTTTCCTTACGATATCCGGCACCGTGAGTTCAAACATGGCGGTGAAGATATCCTGAGTAAAAACGTACCCACGCCAGAGTTGTAATGCAGATTTGGAAAGACAGGAAGACTTGTAATGCGCATCCGCATGAGAGCCATTTCCAATCGTGTTTTGGAATTTGTGATGCCGTGAACAGGATGAGCAGATGAATCTGTGATGCGGCTGCACTTGCTAACCTGCACTACACTGCAGAGTGCAACTTGTCATGCGTGACTCACAAAACTCCTAGGTTTGTGTTGCAAAATCCCCATCATGAGTCTGGTGTGGGTACGTTTTTACTCAGGATAGAAGAAGTCCTCTCGCTCTTTGCGCGTCTGACCGTCCAAGTACTTCAGTGTTTCGACCGCATTCACGCCGTCGTGCTTCGCGAGGGTGAACAGATCCAACGCTTCGTGCTCCAGCAAAGTCATGTTGCCTTCGCCGCGGTGCCACCGTTCGAAAGTAGCATTCAGGTGGTTGTAGGCGTTGGCGACCTCCTCATCGGTTTTTAAGAGCCCCAAGGGAACCGGGACAGCGAACGGCAGGGCTGGCGAGTCAAGCTCGATGGGGTCCATCCCTTCGAGGGCTTTGTAGGGGTTGCCCTTGTTGTCGGGGCTAAGTTTCAGATGGGCGGTGGTCGAGGGAACTAGCACGTCCATTAGCACGCAGGACGAAATCCCGCAGCCCTCGTGGGGAAAAAGTGCCACGTAATACTGCTCCACCGTGAACATGCGTAGCGCCGGAAACTTGTTGCGCAGAATCTCCTTCGTCGTACTCGAAACCGCAAAATCGTCCACGATGTCGGCCCGCGGAAGATACTTTTTTGCCAGCTCCATGCTCTTGTGGTACACGACAGCATGAGGCAAACCGTCCTTGTTCTCGTCGGCTGTAGCATCCTCGTCTTCATCTTCTTCGCGATCCGGAGCATCGTCGAAAACGTCCGGGTTGGGAGACTCAGCTGCATCTCCCGCACGCAATTCCAACGACGAGGAACTACCGACCCCGCCGTTGTTCACAGCCGGCCTTTTGTTGTTCTGCACACGGGAGCCGCCGTTCGCTTTTTTCACCACCTCCTTGTGCTGCGCCCGAACTGCGCCGAACTGCTTCCGCGTCTGCAGCTGAGCAGTCCGGCTGCTCGGGCGGTCGCTTTGCAGCGCTCTTGTACTAGTGATCGACGGGGGTTCTACTTTCATCATCCGGGAACCTGCAACCACCTGCGAAAAGTGCGGCGAACCGACTTCTGCCGCGACAGTACCAGATTGATCCGACAGCCAGAGCCCCGTGGAGGTACTCCAGACGTAGTAGACCAACACCAGAACCGCACACGCGAAGAGAGACCCGACCGCACCCCAGGGCCAGAATAATTTCTGCCACGACAGCAGTCCGGATGCTTTTTTCGCGGGGTCTTGTTTTCCACCGACCAGCGGGTGCAGCTCGGCATCCACGTCGGCATCGTTGGACACTGGGACGTGCTTGGCCGGGCTGGACTGCCCACTGGCTTTCTTTTTACTGCCGACTCCCGTCGTGCGGACCATAGTTAGTCTCTCTTTTGATGAAATTAATAAACGTTACATAACTTTCCTGTAGGATGATCTTCCCTTTCCGACGAAGAAAAACGCGAAGCAGAAGTATCCTGGTAGTGGTTCCTTGAAAAGAAAAAACTTGGAGTAGGACGAATCAATTGCGGCAACCGTTTGATTAATCATCGGCACACGACTGTGACGCCGACATTATTTTTACAGGTCTCGACGACTATGGACGGCGGGAGCGCGTCGTTCATCATGCCGTCGGCCACGGCTGACCACATAATTACATAATCTGGTGAAGGAGTCCTATGCATTTATTTCTACTCCTGCTGGGACGGTGACACTACACTAGTGTGGCACCATCTTCACTGAGTGAACTTTCTTAGCACTGCGCGCGCTCGTACTGGTTCTACTTGCCACGATTGCTATCATGATCAACACGAGCACAAACGACCAACGAACTGATTGGAACGAGTTCCACTTCCCATCAGCATGCATCTCCCCCACATAAAATGCTAAAAATCTAAAAATGAAGAGCGACGTTCCGCATACGAAGGGGCTCCTAAGCTCTGGATGTAGTATCTAGCAACGAACAAGAACTCTTTGTGCCCTGTTCTTGCAAACCATCTTTTTTCTTTCCAAGAATACTTACACCAACTTCAACCGAGACAGACCACAGACGAATGTTGACGAGGACTCGTCGATACAGATGCCGCCCGTGGACGACCACGACTACGTCCACGTGCAATGCAGACAGAGCAGCTTCATTGAAATTTCAGCTCTACGAGAAGATGGAGTTGAATGCGTTGAGCGTCTTCTACGAGCAAATGACGAGTTTCTTACCTTATTCTTTTTTTTTCTTTCGATTTAGCGGTCAAACTTTATTTAACCTGATTACGAACAACTGGTGCTGTGCCGCAAGACAATTTGGTTTCACACGACTACGGTCATGGTGGATAACCACGTTTTGCTATCGCTTTCATATGTTCTTGTTCATCACGTTGTATGTAGTGAGGTCACGAACGTTCTATCCTAGTAGTACTAGCTATGGTGGACTTGTTACCTCCTTTGGCGTCGAGTAGAGGTGGTAAAGCAGGGGCTGTCTTCATGTACAACGTAGCGAGTCATTTCTTCTTTTGCCGCGTATAATGTATGAAGAACATTCGATGTGGTCACACCTTCAACTACTACACGGGAGCAGAAGAAGTCTACGCATGTTGCAATCTATCTTCGTCGGACTTCCCTCCGTCGAAGATGCGTCAAAACTGCAGCACCTCGGACTCGAAAGCGTGCGCCTTTGCAATCGCCTTGACCACCACCTTATGGAAGCGACACATGTGTCTGGGAGGTCTGGAAGAATGCATAGGCTTTGTCATGCTAGGAGGCATGACTTCTCCGAACTACTCTGTATATGCATATCATACGATGAAAAAATCAGGGCCGTGGTACTGCCTGTTATGCAAAAAAGATCGCAGCAGTTTCTCATGCGGAATTCGCATGATATATGTAGCTGGTGCTCAGGAACTTCTCATGCGAGGCAGCTGCGCAAAAAATAATATTCATCATTTTTGCCGAACTAGCATCACAAATTATTTCCCGACCACAGCCACACTATACTCCCATTGCGTACTGCTTCCCGGAGACCGCGACCATCTGCGTGCCCTGCTGCCCGGCCCCTGCACCGCCCCCGGGGGGCAGTGGGGGTGGCGGCGTATGGAAGTGTCAGAATCGAAATCGACAAAATCGAACAACTTGTGATGCATAAAATGTAGGGCACGCGACGCCGGTATTGGGGAGCAGGCAAATGAGACCGATTGTAAGCCTGTTCAGGGGTATACAATGTGTTGCCAGAGTAGCATGACAGGGGCAATCTGCTTTGCCCAAACAGCATGACAGGCTGGATTTTGGTGGTCCCGAAATTTGTCATGCGCCACTTGGAAACTGAGGCTCCAACTGGCATCCATTTTGCGCATCACAAATTTTTCGATTTTGACGATTTCGATCCTGACACATCCATACGGCGGCTGGTTTGCGTAGTAGTTTTGCTGCAGCTGCTATCGCAAGAAAAAACTGTTTCACTGTGAACTTGTGATGCATAGAACGGAACGCAAGTGTGTTTGTCTTGCTACACATGCAAGACATTGGATTTTTAGCTGTGTTTTCCCTTAGGAAGCACGCATGCCAGGTTTTCTTTGTCATGTGTAACAAATTTGTGATGCAGATCTTGCAAGATCGTCACAGTGAACCAGTTTTTTCGTGGGATAGCTGCTCGATCTTCTTCTCCCAGTCCGCCTTTTTTCTCCGCGCGCAGCAGTCGCCGAGCAGCCCGCAAGACAGGAGGCCGACAACCGAGCACTGGCAGCAGAGAACTTTCAACACGACTTTGAACAGCAGGAAGGCGGTGACGGCGTACAGGAAAAAAACCAGAACCAGCCGATCGAAAAATTCCGCGGGCAGATCCTGTTCCACGTTGAAGTTCGGCATCTTCACCTTTTTTTCGACAAACTCATTCACGTGTACAGTGTTAAACTGGTCCAGCAGCGGGGAGAACCTTTCCCGCTGCACCGCGGTCAGGTCCGCGATTTTGTTGAAAGCCGGGTAGATGTAGTCCTGTTCGACATTCAACGCGGGCGTCCCCAGCGCCGTCGCGATGCTCTCCGGCGTTTCCAAAACTTTCAGCTTCTTCAGCGCCGGCTCCAGCCCGTTGACCTATGACAGTGCACAACTCCCCCTCCCCTTCATTTGTATAGCATGAACCGCAACACAAGCATCAGCAAGAGTGCCCGTTTTGCATGACAAATTTGCGCTGGATTGTAGTGCTATTTGGTCTACCAAAACTTGTCATGCGCACAATGCCAAGAGGTAAAAGGTGGATTGGGTATTTTGCATGACAAATGAGGGGGAGGGGGACTTGTGCACTGTCATATGAACCACACCAGTTCCACAAGAAAGGTAACCAGCTTGGTGCTCGAAAGCAGGACAAATTTCGCGGACGCAAAATTTTTGATCTTCTTCGCGCAATTCTCGGCGGAGACGGATTCCTGGGAGGAAAGGTGGACCAATTTCTCCTCGTAGTCGTGCTCCAGCTCTTGCCGCAGTCTCTTCTCCTCCGCGAGACTTTGCTGCAGTGCTTCGGCGTCCGTGCTCTTCTGGCGTTCGGCTTCCAGGTTCTGTTGCAGCTGCGCTAGGCGCTGTTGCTGCTCGTTGCTGGACTGGGCAAACCTGCATAGTTGTAAAGGCAGTAGTTTTTATTTTCCATTTTGGCATCAACGATTGTTCGTGCTGAGATTTATTTTGCGCACAGCTCCTGCACCGGTCGTTCAAACTTTGTCATGCATGTTTTTCCAAATTAGCCGACGGCTCTGTCATGCTGCTTTAACATGACGATCTTTACCTGTTTTTCTCCTCCTCCAAGCCCAGCACTTGCGCTGACAGTGCTTGCGCCTCCTCCTGCTTTTTCTTCAGTATGAATTGCAAAAGTATCGTACTCGTATAAATGCATTACAAATTTTCTCAGCATGAGAGATAAAATTTGTAATGCTGATTTACCTTAAGAGAAAGATTTGTAATGCATGATTGCAATACGAGTACGATACTTTTGCACAGGATATTCAGGTCGGTGTTGCAATTTTCCGCTACCGGCCGCTGTTGGTCCAGTATCAAATGCAAATATGTCTGGGTATGGAAGAATGCAAACCTCTCATGCATATTTTCAATGCCCCATGAGGTTTGGAATGCAGGACCTAGCATGACAGATTCTGCGACGTCGTCTTTTTCATGCCTATCCTGCATGACGAACTCAAAAGTGGAGAGCTTATTTTGGTAGTCATGCAACATCACAAATTTTTGTACGATCCAGACTTCGCATGACAAGTTCGCGTCCTCCCAGACCCAGACATATTTGCATTTTATATCCAGCTGCTTGTTGCAATTTTCCAAGTCCGCAGAAAGGGTGCGGTTCGTGTCTATCCAAAGATTCTTTTCGTGAAGCAGCTGCTCAGCCTTTTTTTCGTACCTGATAAAATAACGAGTTTATTTATATATCCGGACTCATTCCGCCTGGTAATGCTACTGTACTTAGCATGATTGCTGTATTCTGTCATGTGCACTTTCGCAAAAGAAAATGTTGCAAAAATTATGGCAGAAACTGAAATTGTACTCTTCCCGCACATCGTCGCAGTTTGCGGCGCCCGCGATCCCCTCGGTTTCCAAGGTGTTTACCTTTTTCTCGAAAAACTGTCGCTTTCCCTCGCAGGACTCGAGCGATTCCTTCGCCCGCTGCAGCTCCTGTCCCAGCTCCGCATTGTCGTCGATGCGCTGCTGTCCGACCGCGTCCTGCGTGTTCTTGATCTTCTGTATGGCCTCTTGGTGTTCCGCCTCCAACTTTCTTTTTTGCTGAAACAGCTCGCTGGAGCAACTCGGCGCCACTTCGTTTGACGCCGCTTTCTTGGCTTGTTCATCTGCGGCCTGGATGGCTTCCTCCACTGCAGCAGTGCAGTTGCAGGGCTGTTGTTCCTGCGGGGGGAGCTCGGGACAGATTTTTTCGGGCGGACAGACATTTTCTGGCGGGCAGGGCTTCTGCTCCGGACAGTTGCACTCCGTCGCGGGGGCCGGCGGTGGGCGGCAGGGGGCTGGGGCCGGGCAGGAAGCACTGCTTGATCCCGACGTTTCTTGTCCTTCCGCCACGGCGGGCGCCGGCGCCACGGCGGGACAGGGCGGCGCCGGAGCGGGCGGGGGGCAGGCGGGACAGGTTTTTTCTACTTCTTTCGCTTCTGCCTGTAGTTCATTCTTTTCCGCTTCGATGCATTTCACCGGTGGCGGACAGGGGGGTGGTGGGGGCGGACACGCCGGACAATGCGCCAAATCGCACTGCTCACACACCGGACACTCTTTATTCGGCTGCTCTTTTTCCTTTGCACTACTATCGGCAGTAGAACTGCAAGCGGGACACACCTTCTCTTCGGGACACACCGGACAAGCTTTAGTACTTGCCTCGACGCTTGTTGCTCCTGTGGCTGCTTTGCTACTGGCTACGGATAACTCTGCGGTTTTGTTTGCCAGTTCCAGTTTTGCCTGCTGCAGCTCGCCGCGCAGCTGGTCGTTTTCCAAAGCCAGCTCCGAGTGCTTGCCCGCTTTCTCCTCCAGCTGCTGGTGGCAGTGCTCCGAAATGTCGGTGATGTTGCGCTATGCATTGCAAAAGTATCGTACTAGTGTCGATTGCAATACAAATTTTTCCAGAAGGAAAAATGGGATTTGTCATGCTAAAGTAGCTGAAGGAACGAGATCTGTCATGCTGCACTACGAGTGCGATACATTTCCGACGCATAGCCGCATTTCGTCCTCTTTCTCGACCAACTGCTGCTTCAGCTGGACTTTGTCCTGCTCAAGATTCTATCAAATGCAAAAATGCCTGGGTCTGGAAACTTGTGATGCTGGGTGGCGTCTCATGATGAGGCCACAAATGCTGGCCCAGCATGACAAGTTTCTGAGATTCTCATTCTAGGTGTTGCCTATTCTGCATGACAAACTGCGTTTCTGCATCACAGAAAAATGGAGCTCTTGGGTAACGTGCATGACAGATTTAAGAAAGAGCTATGCTAGACAAGCATGACAAACATGCATTCTTCTAGACCCAGACATTTTTGCACTTGATAGATTCGTGATCTTCGTCGTAAATTCTTCTTCCGTGGATGTTTGTTGCTGCTTCTGCTCGAATTCCCGCACCTGGGCCTGCAGTTGCTCCACCTGCCCCTGCAGCTCCTGTCCCTGCTGTCTGGCCGCGTCGCGTTGCTGGGTCCGTTATGACAGTGCACAACTCCCCCTCCCCCGCATTTGTGTAGCATAAACCAATGGCAATGCAAGCATCTGCAAAAATGCCGGCTTTGCATGACAAATTTACACTGGAGTGCAGTACTATTTGGTCTACCTGAACTTGTCATGCAGACAGTGCCAAGAGGCACAGCCTGGATTTGGGGTCTTGCATGACAAATGAGGGGGAGGGGGAGTTGTGCACTGTCATATCAGTTCCTCGTTTTTCAAAACCAGCTGGTCCCGCTATCAAATGTAAAAGTGTCTGGGTCTGGAAGAATAGAACTTGTCATGCTAAATCCCAATGATGCAAAAATCTGTGTTGCGTGAGTACCAAAAGCTGTTCACTTTTGACCAAGTTGAGAGGGAGTTTCTCATGCAGGAAAGGCATGATAGAGACCTCAAAAAATCTGTCATGCTGGGTCTCGCATTCCAGACCTCATGGGTCATGGAAAACCTGCATCACAAATCTTGCATTCTTCCAGACCCAGACATTTTTACAGTTGATACCCGCTCCGTCACTGCAATTTGGCAGGTTTGGTCCTGATATAATTTCAAAAAAAATGCGCGATCATCTACTTTACAATATTCATTCGCGTTGAAGAACCTCTGCATCACAAACCTTCAGCCCAGCGCTTCTACCTTTTTTCTGTATATAGAAATTGCAAAAACTCGTCCTGTTTTTGTAAGGTTCACACCTACTTTTTACATGAGAAAAAAACACAGTAGAAGTCCTGTACTTACCCCTTTCGCCGCTTCCAGCTCCTTTTGCATTCCCTGTAGCTGCTCCTCGTGCAGTTGCTGTAGTCCGTTCTTCTCGGTCAGAAATTTGGCCTCCGCGCCTTCCACTTCCGCCTTTAACTGGGCGATTTCCTGTCGCATGGCTAGTATTTTGGAACTGGACTCCACGTTCGCCGTTCCTGGTTGTTGCTCCGCATTTTGATGTGCAGCAGCTCCAGCCGATGCTGTTACATCCCCTGCAAGAAGTCCTCCATTCGCTTGTTGCGCCTCTAATTGCTTCACCTTTTCTTCTGCCAATCTCAACTTTTCGTCAACCTCCGCCTGCTTGGAATCTTGGATTTTCTTGCAGGCCCGGGGGCAGTTGGTGGCCATAAAACTCCAATTGTTCTCACATTCACCCGTGCTGGCCCAGTGGTCGCAATGGTCCCCCTTGTCCTCGTCTGCATGCGCAAAACGGAGGAACAGCAGGTGGACACTGCTCGCCGCTGCCAGCAACGGCAGGACGAGCCTCGGCTTTGCTTTTCTTGTGCGCATAATGGTGGAAAAACTGAAGCTAGTACAACTTTGTGTCAATTCGGTCGTCTCATCTTGAGTGTAAAAACGTCATCTTTAAGAAGGAGCTGTGATGTTCCATCCAGCAACGACCTCCTGTCCAACCTAGAAGTACAGGAAAACTTGTACTTGACTGATGAACTAGCATTCAAAAGCGAGTAAATGCGGTGTTCGTTCGAACGTGGTGTCGCTAGTAAAACTAAGTATATGAAGTTGTTGTAAATTGCTGACAGTCTTACTCGCTGGCTGGCATTTCATTCTCGATTTGCTACTTGTTGCTGTAGTTACGCAGCCACTGTTCATGCACGATCGTCCGCATAGGCCTTTCAACTTTCAAATCGTGCTGGTTCACAACATTAACAGCGGCAAACCGCGCCGCATTTACTGATTTTTACAGGCTGAACAGATGAACACAGCTACCGCATACTAGCGGTCTACTAGTATTGTCAGCCTCGGAGCAAGTCTGCTCAAAGCCTTATGTCGACGTTGTCCTGAACTTATTTGCGAACTGCATTTCATTCGAGACACAGAATTGCAATGGCATTCTGTTTCTGACGTAGAAAAAATTTTGCGCGTTAATCATCCTCACCCAGCGAGTGGGCATATGCGTTTTCTGCATCTGTTCTGATGTACAAAAAAACTCATCTAGTACGGCTGGTGCTTAGTTGCGACCTAGTTAAACTTAAAACCTTTGAACTATAATAGTCATCTCTGTGAAACAACACAAACTACTAAGAAAAAATTGTGCTGTCTACGTCTACAATTGTTGCGTATAATAGAAGTTGGACTTGGATTGAAATTTGAAATAGCTAAACAACTCGCTAAAAAACTACACCTTCTTTTTCCAATCTTCTCGAGAGAAAAAACACACCTAAGACTTTGTTACGATGGTGTTTTCAATTTCGATGATCTTCAGTTTGCCTTATTGATTTACATTTGTAAAAGACATTGTCGACAGCACGGACGAAGTAAGTCGTAGATGCAGTTGTGATAATATTAAAAAGTTATCGCATACAACATCATCACATAATCGCGCACTGGCAAGGCGCTCCCTTTCTTCCCTTGGCCATCTCTGCCGACATTGCGTCCAGTTTCGTGTTCATAGATTTGACCTGCTCCCACGCGTTCATAGCCGACTCGTGCTCGCGCTTCAACGCCTCCCGGTGGTCCTCCTTCTCCCGCTGCCAGTTGGTTCGTTCCATGTCAAACCGCTCCCGCTCCTCTTCCCGTTTTTTCATCGTACGAAAAAAGTGTTTCAGTGTAGTAACTGTGTTGCAAGTTTTGCATTACAGGTTTGTTTCACATGGCACAGAAAACTTGTCATGCGTGCTTTCTAAGGGAAAACAGGGGCAAAAATCCTCTGTCTTCCATGTGCAGCAAAACAAACACTTTCCTGCTACATCCTCTGCATCACAAGTTTTTTTACCTTGAAACAGTTTTTTCTCACGATATTTTTCCTCTCCGAGTTAATGTGGCTGTTTTCCTCCGCGAGGTGTTTCTGATACTTCAAATCCGCGTCCTGCAGTGCGTGCGCGATATGGTGAGCAAAAACGTCCGCATCCGATGGGGAATGTGCTACACAAATCAACCAGCTTTGGCCGTTGCGCATGACAAATTTGGACTCGCAATGTAGTGGCGTTTAGCTAGTGAAGCAGCATCACAGGTCTAGCATAGCATGCGGATGTGCGCATCACGAATCGTAAACGACAGTAGAAACTGCTTCTCATGGGTCTCCGCATGAGAAACATTTTCAGCATGCAGATTTGCATTACAACTCTGGGGAGGTGGGGACGCTTTTACAAATGATACGCGAGCTCTTTTTCCTTGTCCGTGCCGGAAGAGGCCATGTTTTCCAGAGTTTCGCGGAGCTGTTTCGTGGTGGCAACTTCTTCGCTGTACGTTTTCTTCAACTGCTCCAGATCCGTGGAAAGCTCAGTGACCTTGTACAGGAGATTTAGGTTGGATTTGATGACTTGTTCATGTTGGCAGTAGTTCTAAGTACATCACTGCATACTTTGTCTTCTTGCAGGGTGGCGCATGACAAAAAAAAAAGCAGCAGGCATCTCTTCCATTACAGTACCTTGTCTTCCAGCCGTTTCTTCTCCTCTCCAGTGGTCGATATGCTTGTCCTGAGTTGTTCTTTTTCCTCTTCGTTCTCCTTTATCCTTTGTTCATGGAGTTTGGAGGAGTCCAGGACTTGCAGATAGGCTTTCAGGAGCTGTTATAGTCAGTTTTATCTTTGCAAAAATTATACAGACTCAATTCGCAAACGGCATTGACAAACTGCCCTCCGGAAAGAGACACGAAAACTCGCCAAAGTAAAAAAATCCGCTTCATCATGAATTACAGATCATCTCCGTGGTGTCGCAGCACAAGCCGCGCATCACGACAAATATTATATACCATTCCTGCCACCGCATGACAGCACTTCACTGGTATCGCGTTCTCCTTGAGCTGTGTTTCGATCTCCTTGATCACTTCCGTGGGGAACTTTGCGCTGCCCTCGTTCATCTGGAGTAACCGAAGAAGCTTGTTTTCGGCCGCGCGGTTGTTGTCATCCCAAAGTTTGTATCAACTGCAAATATGTGTGGGTCTGGAAGCCTCGGGATCGTTTGTCATGCACATTTTGCATGACCCGTGAGGTCTGTGATGCAGGTCCTAGCACCACAGATTTTTTGAGGGCTTCTTGATGCTTATCACGCATGAGACATACCCTCTCCGCGTACCAAGAACTGGACTCCTTTTTGCTGCTCATGCAACACAGATATCTTTAGATTTCGCAGAGAGCATCACAAGTTCCACCCTTCCAGACCCAGACATATTTGCAGTGAATAGTTTCTTGTTATCCAGAACAATACCGTCCTTCAACTCGTTCCAGTACCTGCTCATGATTGTTGTAAAATTTTCTGTTATGCATAATCTTGCTAGACAAAACCAATCTCTGATGCAGAATGATGCACGCGAAATCAACTACTAGACCAAAATTTGCAATATACTGCAATCGCATGGCTTCATCCCCGAGGGCCTCGTCCTTGTATCGAAAAGAAAAATCCCCCCTCCCCATATCGAAAACGAAATTTGTGATGCTGTATTTGAGGTCACAAATCGATTTGTCATGCTAGAAGGCCAAGAGCCGCAGTCGTTGCCTCGTTTGCAGGCAATTTGTCATGCTGTTTCCCACTCTCAGATGCCTCCTCTCATGCTGAAGATGCAAGGCTTCGCCACGCCATCCAGCACTACAGTCCGCATCTTTTCCCGTGTAGCATGACAAAGCTGATTTGTGACAACAAATCTGCATTACAGATTTCCGTTTTGATATGGGGAGGGGGGATTTTTCCTTTTGATACCTTGAACCTCTCCCGCATGTGCTGCTTCAAGGCCTTCAAATCCGCTTGCAAATTCGCGTCGGCTATCAACTGCAAATATGTCTGGGTCTGGACAAGAGTTAACTTATCATGCGTATTGTGGCTCACACGAAAATCTGTGCTGCATGACTTGCAAAAGATGCCAACTTCTTGCCCTGCTGGTGGGGGATTTCTCATGCAGAAGAAGCATCATCAAAGGGCTTCAGAACCTGTATTGCCAAGCCCCGCATTCCAGACCCTGTGGAGCTTGGAAAAACTGCATGACAAACCTCGCAATCATCCAGACCCAGACAGATTTGCATTCTTTCATATCGGCCAAGGGGAATTTCGTGCGCAGCAGGTCGATCGCTTCCCGGTATTCCGTCGTCAAGTTTTCGACGCTGTTGCAACAGGAACTCTCCGCAACGCGGTCCCAACTGTTGCACAGTTCCAGTTTCTGGTTTGTGTTCAGCGTGTCGCACAAATGCGCGAGAAAGCTCGGAAACGCCCGGGCAGTCAGGTAGGCCATGTCTTTCCCCACGCGCTTGGGGCCGAGGGCGGAGGAAATTCTGCATGTTGAACAAGAATGTTTTTTGTTTTGGTGCGGAAATGAGGGAGGTGGCCAAGAAGTATTGGAGGACAAAACAAAAGTGAAAAAAGTGGACATAATCGGTATAGTCAAGTAGTAACTTCCATGTCCAGCATATCTGGATAGTTGGTTCCAGCAAAAAATCAAAAGTAGAAACCCACTATACAATACCGATAGATCTCGTCCTGTAATTTCCGCAGCGACTGCTGGAAGTCCGGCCGGAGATCCGCAAAGTTTGCCGCGGGTAACCGCGCTAATGACCCGTCGTCGTTTACGGGTTGCACCAAAGACCGACACCTTCGGTCCGGGAAATATTGGTGGAACTGAATCCTCGTGTCCTTTGCGAGCTGCTGCTTTTGCGGTTCAAACGGGTATTCCGGCACGTTGGACAGGAATTTCTCCAGGTATTCATCCGAACTGGTGTTATTGGCCAACCCGTATGGAAGTGTCAGGATCGAAATCAACAAAATCGAACTAATTTGTGATGCGTAAAATGTAGGGCACTGGAGGCCTGTATTGGGGAGCAGGCAAATGAGACAGATTGCAAGCCTGTTTAGGGGTATACAATGTGCTGCCAGAGTAGCATGACAGGAGGACTCTTCTTTGCCCAAATAGCATGACAGACTGTATTTTAGTGCTCCCAAAATTTGTTATGCGCCACTTGGAAACTGAGGCTCCAACTGACATCGATTTTGTGCATCACAAATTTTTCGACGTTGTCAATTTCGATTCTGACACTTCCATAACCCGTAGTCCCGCAGTAAGAACAGTAGAGATGGTTTGTTCAGCATGACCGACCCGCCAATATTGCTATCCAACCCCTCGATCAGATTTTTCAGCTCCGTCACTTTCGACCCGATCGTGCTGTTAAACTGATCCTCTTCGAGCGGCCCCTTGACGTTCAAAACGAAGAGGGAAGAGATGAGTATGGACAAAGCCAGCAACTTCGCCTCCATGGCGTTGGTGCTGTCCGCGGAGTTGGACTTTTCGCTAAACCCCTCGCAGTCGAGGTAGAGATAGCAGTGGTTGTCATCGGAGACAGTGGGTTTCAGGGCGAACATCCAGATTTATGAGAGTACACAACACCCCCTCGTCCCCCTAATTTGTATGGCATGAACGGCAATACATGCGTCAGCCAAAATGCAGGTTTTGCATGACAAATTTGCACAGGAGGGTAGTGCTATTTAATGGCTCCCAGAACTTGTCATGCATAATAGTGACAGGAGGGCAAGCGTGGAGTTGGTGTTTTGCATGAGAAATGAGAACGAGGGGCGTTGTGCTCTCTCATAAAATACCCTTGGTGTACGTACCCTGGCCGACGCCCACCTGATATCCCACAGAAAAAAGCAGGCAGGGCATATGATTTGCAATGCAAAAATACATACACAGAAAGATTTGTCATGGGCAGCCCCATAGCATCCTGTTTAGGATACGCAAAACAAGTTTTTTTCTGTATTTCTTTCTGCATTACAAATATGACCTGCCTGCTTTTTTCTCGGGGATACCTGAAAACCCGGTAGGCCCTGCTGCACGCGGTCGAGCAGGAGGTTCAGGAGGTAAGATTTCCCGGTCCGGAAAGCGCCTGTTTGGGACAGTTTTCCTCTTGGGTATTAACAGTGTTAGCCGCAACAAGAACTTTTTCACTTCTGCGATAAAGAAGACCTACTCATGTCGTGCAAACGCACTTTCGCACCAAAAATGCCAAAAACTGTCCTTTCAGGAAGAAACGAAAAAGAACATATAAACACTTTATCTACTTTACCTGCGACCGTGACTACGCTCAACTTGACCGCCCCCATTCCGCGCAGGATTTCCACCGCTTCCTTACACAGTTCAAATTTCACCTCATTACCTCCCGCGCCGGACTTCACTAATCGGATCAGCTGTATCGGCCCGTATGGCCGCGACAGGATTGAAATCGACAAAGTTGAAATAATCTGTGATGCATAAAATACAAGGCACGAAGTGACTGTCTTGCAGGGATTGCATGCGAGGCCGATTGTCAGCCTGTTTCGGGTTTGGTATAGAGCTGCTGAAGTAGCATGACAAAGGATGCCTTCTTTCGCTAAACAGTATGACAAACTGGATTATGATGACGTAGAAATTGGTCATGCGCCGCTTGAAAATTGGGCTTCCAATTGGTATCGGTTTTATGCATCACAATTTTCAACTTTGACGATTTCAATCCTGACGCTTCCATAGCCCGTCCAGCGACTTTATGGTAGTTGCTGATTTCATCGGGTGGTCCGTGAACGACTCTATTTCCGGTATCACCGCCATCGTCGCCGGCATGGCCCGCGATTTGGAGGACTGCGAGGTCCGTGGCTCCGCCGTCCCGCCCTCCTCCAACCGGACATCGTCCAGCGTTCGCGGTTTGTTCGCCCCATCCAGCGCTGTTCCTGAGCCGGACGGCCGGATGCGCTCCGCGGCCACCAGTGGTTTACAATCGAGATTGTAGGTCCCGTCGTTGTTGACGGACAGAATTCTCGCACTGATCCACTGATTCAACGTCCCCGACAAGTATTCCACCTGCTGATTCGGTGCGTACTTCCCGCCACCGCTGCCCGTTCCTGGGGAAGACGCTCCTGTTTGGCTGGTGCCTCCGAATAAACCCGAATTGGGGTCGGGTAACTGAGAGACTGGCTGCGGCTGCGGCGCACCGCTACTGGATGAGGATGGATTACCCGCGGGGCTGACCAGGGAGCTAGCGCTACTACCCGGTAGTTGCTGCGACTGCTGTCCTACAGGCGCTCCGTATCCAGGAAAAAAACTGTGTAAGTGTAAGTTTCTTGGAGGAATAGCATCACAAGTTTGCTCTGCATGACACAGAAAACCTGTCATGCGTAGCTAGTACGTCAAAACACGCGCGAAAATTGCCTTTGATGCATGTCCAGCATGACAAGTGTAACAGGTTTGCATTTTCTGCAACACAAAGTTACACTTACACAGTTTTTTTCTTGGATACTCCGCCACCGCCAATTACCATCGGGCGGATGCGGTCCTTTGCGACTAATGGCTTGCAGTCGAGATTGTAGGTACCGTCGGCGTTCACATACTGAATCTTTGCCGGGATCCACGATTGCGCGGTCGCGGAATAGTACTCGACCTGCATGCCGACAGAGTAGTTCACGGATTCCGTTGCCGTGCCACCGGCCGGCGTCACCCCGCTGGTACTCGAGACCGTGACGCGCGAAGCGGGGCTGTTACCGCCTGGCGTTGATTTTCGGTTTGTAGATACAGGCTTCGTATTATTGAAAACGACGACGTGAACATCCTGATTATGGGCGCATGAAGACAACAACTTTTACTTTGAATCTTTCAACCAAAACATTTATACCCCCTCCTCCCACCACGTTGCTGCCATCGGACAGTGGTCGTATCCTGTTGAGTGGCACCTCGGGCTTGCAGTCCAGATTGTAGGTGTTCGAATAGCTGTTAAACTGCAGAATTTTCGCCGGCATCCAGTTCTGCAAGGTACCCGAGTAGTATTCCACCGCTTGACCGGCAGCATACGGGCCGGTTTCCGTGTTCCCGGAGGCGCCGCCTTCGGACATCATGTTGCTTAGCCAAGACGCCATGTTGACGTATGTGATCTTCAATGGCGCCCGCTACAGCGGGCTCAACGGGTCGTGCGAGGTCCTACCGACTACGCCACCTCAGCTCGACCGCAGCTGCGCTGAACGCAGCGTCCTGTCAAGGAGTGGCCTGGACGAAGTTGTGAAGTAGATGCCATTACATACCTGGAGTACTACTAGCTTTGTATGTAAATGTACGGCTTCAACACCTCAGGACCATCATCTCAGACAGTGTCCACTAGTACGTACTTCTCAATGTATTCACAGAGCATTACTGTCAACTAAATTCTAGGAAGACCAGAACCACCTCTCAACACAGAACAGCCCTTCTTGCGATGTTGAGCACCACGGTGCATAAGAAGCCCAACAAGAACGCAGTTTTGGACGCAAGAATAACATAAAGAAAATGTGACTGTGCTTGATCTTCAAGACGAAGTGAAGCACGAAGGCAAATCATGACGGTCTTGCAGATTCGAACAGGCTGAAAGAAGGTGGCAGCGGTCTTTCGAACCTCAAAGAAGTCCGCAGGAAGGCAAGTGTGCTTTGCTTTTCTGCTCAGAGGCAGGATAGGAAAGTTTTAGTTTATTTTGTGCCGGATCTTCCGGCGGGCGAAGGCCTTTACGTACTGTTTACCGCACAGAAGGACTGACTTCTTCCGATAATTTTCAATAATCCCTTCAGCTGTTCATCATTTTGGTAAAAAAAAATTCAGTGCAGCGAAGATAGCAACAAAGAATCCTAGGTGAAGCAAATACTGTGGAGACCACGATCCCCTTCGTGTTACCTACACGTTATGAAACTCCCGCACCAGTTGCGCGTACCCCTCCACTTCTTTTTTCTTCAGCAACGCGTGCTCTTGCACGCCGGAACCTTTGTTCCCGTCTCTATGATTTCCCGCTTTGCCACTTCCCTTATTTCCGCTCGCCTTCAGTTTCGGCATGGGCAATTCGAATTTTTCGTAAATCGCCTTCAAACTCTCCGCCCGAATCTCCTCCCCCTCTTCCTCGCTCATCCACGGCGTTTCAATCAGCTTCGCGCACACAAAATCCACGGTTTCGGGGGCAATTTGGAGAGATTTTTGCACTGGTGGTGGTGGTTCGGAGGAAGAGGAAACAAGTCCTGTTGTTCCAGAAGCTGGTACCGTCCCCGAACTACTTGCCGCGTCCACCTCTTCTAGCCACGACAACACAAACCCTTCCGTCGAAAAGGCAACCAAGGCCAAGTACAGCGAACTCGCCACCGCCTCGCGCAGTTTCGGAAATTTGTGGTTCAGCTGGAGGAGCAGAACGCGAAGGGATTTACGTCTTACCAGATTGTTCGCAGAGGGTTGAGCGGTAGTTCCTGCTGCTACTTCTTTCACGGGTAGTACTGCACCACTATCACCGAGTATCGTACGAAAAAAGTGTTTCACTGTAAGGATTTTGCAAGTTTTGCATCACAAGCTTGCTCTACATGACAGGGAAAACCTGCCATGCGACGTTCCTAAGGGAAAACACAGCTACCAATCGCCTGCCTAGCATGTGTAGCAAGACAAACACTTCTGAGATACATTTTCTGCATTACAAGTTTACAGTGAAACACATTTTCCTTGCGATACAGAGGTTGAACAACCCGATGAAAATCGCCAGGCTGGATTTCAGAATTGCGACGTTGTTCTTCTATCAAGAAGAAAAATCTCCCCTCCCCACATCAAAACGGGGATTTGTGTAGCATGATTTGTGACCACAAATCAAGTTGTCATGCTAGAAACGAAGAGATGCGGACTGTAGTACTGTCTGGCGTTGGAAAGCGTTGCGCTTTCAGCACGACAGAGAGCAACGGGAAGCCGGAAACAGCATAACGAATTGCCTGCCAACGAGGCCGCAACTGCGTCTCCTGGGCTCCCAGCAATACAAATCGATTTGTGTACGCAGGTCCAGCATCACGAATTTCCTGTCTGATATGGGGAGGGGGGGTTTTCCTCACAATATCTTCGCAATTTTATTCGTCTGAATTAACTGATAACATTTCTGAAACAGCGGCTCTCCGGAGTTCACAGCGAAGTTGTTTGACGAGAGGAGTAATCCGAAAACGTTCAGCAAGCAGAGCTGAAAAGCCGCTTGCTGTGTGGTGCTCGTCGCTTTGGTTGTAGTTGCAGTGGTACCTGTACCATCGTGTGATTGCTGTTGTTTTTCTTTTTGCAAATCCAGGACTCTTTCCTGGAAAATCTGCAGTAAGCTTTCACACACTTTCTGTTTTTTCTCCTCCGACTTCTCCATGAACTCGATTAACGCTTTGGAGCTCGCCTTCGCGGTGGATTCCGTCACCCCGCCAACGGAATTCAGCAGGCCTAACAGCATCGGGGTTCGAAATTCCGCGAAGTCCAGGAGTGGTGTGAACTTTTCGAACAGGAAGAGACCGCACTCGTCCATAGTTGGCGTTGATGTTTTATTTGTTGCGCTCGCTGATGATGTTGAAATATTAAAGAGCTCTTCGTCATTATCAGCGGTTATCAAGAAGAAAAATCCCCCCTCCCCATATCAAAACGGAAATCTGTCATGCAGATTTGGGGCCACAAGTCAGCCTGTCATGCTAGAAAGGAAAAGATGCGGACTGTCGTGCTGGGTGGCGTGGGATAGCCTTGCATCTTCAGCATGACAGGAGGCAGCTGGAAGTGGGAAGCAGCATGACAAATTGCCTGCAAACGAGGCCACGCCTGCGGCTCTTGGCCTTCTAGCATTACAAGTCGATTTGTGTACTAGATACAGCATCACAAATTTCGTTTTCGATATGAGGTGGGGGCATTTTTCCTTTTGATAGCGGTTGAAGTCGTGTTTGCCTTATCCAACGTCTGGTCCGTCGTTGTCGTGCAAACCTCCTCCAAAACTGCGATCCAAGGTGGACAAGCAGCTTTGTCCTCTCCACTGCAGATCATCGAGCGCCGCAATACAGATTTTTTACCTGCACATCGAGGACCACTAGCGCCAGCTTCTGTTGTCGTTGTTGAAAACGCCAGCAGTTTCGCGATCGGTTCCTTACTCGCAGACGCGGTGGACCGGCTCGCCGCGATTTGAAACGCAGCGGTCGCGTCGAGCGGTAAGCGCGGTACTGATTCCCGCACAATCCGGGCCAGCGCGGAAAAGGCGATGATCCTGGTGCGGTCGATCTTTTCCATGCACTGCTGGAGAATCGCCGCGAGGATGGGTTCCCAGGGGAAGGAGGAAGAAGATTTAACATTTTCCACCTCGGCCGTACTAGCTTTTTCCGCATGACAAGCCCCCTCCGCTTCGAGATACCAAGAAAACGCATCGAGCGCGAGTTCCCGGACCCAGCTGCCCACGTCGCCTCTCCGGTCCACCTCGTAATCTTGAACCGCGGTCAGTAACGCAGTTTTGATTTCGGCGAAATTTATCTTCTTCTGCGCTTCTTTTGCAAGACCCGAACCAGCACCCCGACTGTTCGCTATTCGACTCAGTATCCGGGCCAGCCCGAAAACCGCGTATTGCCTCGAAACTGGATCTTTTGTCTCTTCCGGCAAAATATCAAGTGTAAAAATGTCTGGGTCTGGGAGATTGCGAGACTTGTCATGCTAGTCTAGCATGGCTCTTAAATCTGTCATGCACGTTTCCCAAGAGCCCCATTTTGTTGTCATGCAGAAACGCAGTTTGTCATGCAGAATAGGCAAAACCTAGAAGCTCAAAAGCTTGTCATGCTGAGCCAGCATTTGTGGCCTCTTCATGATACGCCACCCAGCATCACAAGTTTCCAGACCCAGACACTTTTACAATCCATACAAAATACTCGACGCCGTTGTGATTTCCTCACACAAAGCCGTGATGATGGTGGAGAGCAACGAATCCGAAAAATCTGGCTTCTTATCCGCATTTTTGTCTGCAACCAAATCTGAGCTATACGCCATTTTCTCGAAAAACCACGCTCCGAGCCAGCCCAAGGCTATTACAATGAAAAGTGCCCCACCCCGGAATTTGTCAAAGTTTCTCATGCAAAGTTTCCAAATGAAAGGTTTTTGTCTTGCATGAAAGGAGCGCAAGCATTTCTGATACAGAATCTAGGTGCGCAAGGTATCTTTTGCATCAGCGATCCGCCTGCTGTTGGGCTCCTTTGCATCACAAAATTGCGTTATTCAGCATGGAAAAATTTGTCATGCTGATAGATGCAAGAGGGCGAATGTTTCATTTGGAAAGGTTTGCAATACAAATGCTCCCAAGTTCGGGCGTGGGGGATTTTTCCTTACGATAAAAGCTAGTATCGCTCCATTCCTCGTCGCTAGGGGGGAAAGCGTCGTCTTGTTCGCCACTTGGTTCTTGAAATCCAGCTTTTCCAGTTGCTTTTTCGTGAAATCGATGACGATTTGAAATTCCTCTTGTTGCGCAGAGGCCGCATGAGGAACTCCTCCTAAAGTCGTAGAACTAGAACCCAGCCGCTGTTCCAGCAGGTGCGACAGGGCTTCCATGGCGACAAACTGAATTCTGGCTTCGCCACTGTGGTACAAGCACTCTTCGATTGATTGGAGGTAGTACTTTGTGGTCTTTACAGCGGGGAAGACGATCTGGAAATTTTGGGTTAGAAGATTTGTGTGTTTGTCTTGCGGAAGATCGCAACGACAATCTTGGTTTCTCATGCACAGCAAAATGGTAAGTATCCAAACCCTGCTACAGCGCAGAAAAAAAACCTGCAAAATAAATCTCTCTACTACCTTCAAATTGCAGCAGATGGCCGAGAGCATCTTCATGGCGGCAAACCGGATCTGTTCACCGCCCCGACCGCGGTACATCCGCTGTTTTTCCCCGTTGGGAACGAGGTTTCGCAGCAAAACCTGCGTCTTTTCGGTCAGCGTCAGCTTGTCCTTCCGGATGATCTCCGCGAGGGAAAGGAGGGAGCCGTGCTTCTGCAATGCGGTTGTACTGCTAGATGTCGTGGAACCTGTTGGAAGCACCCCAGATGTCCTCCCTTGCGATCCTGTCGCGCCAGCAGCTGGTGGTGGCACCACGACGTTCGCGGCTAATCTCGGGATCACTTTCTCATTCGCGTACTCGTGAAAGATATCTTCTGATGTTCTTGCGTGGTTGTTAATATCAGTCGTTGTCGATTTGCTAGTCGTGCCATCAACAGCATGGAACAAAACGTCATCAACCAGCAGTTCCCCCAGCGCCAGAGCCGTTTCCTCCCTGATGTTTACGTCTGGATGGTCGACTTTGAAGTCGAGCAAGTGGTTCACCAAGTAGAACCGGTAGTTCTCATTCGGCAATGCGGCGATTTCCGGGGCGACTTTTGTGTAGGACCTTTTCCTGCAGGACACCGTGAAAAAATCCGCGATGGTCATATAACCTGCTCAGCTGTTACAATCTCAAACGTTACAGTAGAATATGGAAATCTGTGATGCAAGAAGTGCATGATCTACCCTACTCCCACAAGACTGCGCATGACAAGTTCTGGAGTCCCAATCCGCACTGGAAAAATCTGGCGAAATTTGCACTGCAGAAGGCGAAACGGTGTGCAAGTCTGTCATGCTCATCATGCAACACAAAACCCAGACTCCATTGTAACGTTTGAGATTGTAACGTTTGAGCAGGTCATAGGTCACCAACGCGATGCTGGTGGATTTCGAACTACCGGAGTCTGTCGCATTATCTTCCGATGCTGAAAACGTTTCCTGCCGCCCGACATGCTCCTGAATCGCGGCGCTCGCCGCCCGGCGGATGTTGATTTCTCGGTCGAAGCAGCAGGCGGGGAGCAAGGCCGCGGCGAGGAGTTTTCGGTTTTGCAGATCGAAATGCTCCGGCTGATACGCCCGCGCGAAGGCCCAGACGCAGTAACACTATGGAAGCGTCAGGATTGAAATCGTCAGAGTTGAAATAGTTTGTCATGCATAAAATGCAACCCACAAAGTGCCTGTCTTGCAGAGTAGGCAAGGGAGGCAGACTGTAAGCCTTTTGAGGGGTAGAAATAGAGCTACTAAAGTAGCATGACAAAATGCGTCCTCCTTACCAGAGCAGCACTACAAACTGGATTTAGGCACCAGCAAGATTTGTCATGCGCCACTTGGAAACTGGGTTCCAACTGGCATCCATTTTATGCATGACAAATCATTTCAAATTTGACGATTTCAATCCTGACAGATCCATAAACACGCGGCGTCGCGGACGTGCTGGCCAGCGGATGTGGTGGAAATTGAACTGCTGCTCCCCCCGAAAGAACTCCCGTTCGCAAACTCGAAGTGCAACGCTTCGCACACGATCGGCAAGATGGTTTTCAGCCGCACCGGCAACAGCAACCCCCTGCGCGCGAGTTCCGCGATCGCCAAGCAGCCCCCGTGCCACGCCCGGTCGTTGCGGCCGTTTTGCTGGAAACACCGCTTTTCCAGAATTTCGAGAAGTTGGTCCGCATAGTAGAGCGAGGACATTTTGCTCGTGATGCGTCCGTAGCATTTGGCGGCCGACCAGCGGACGATAGTGTCCGTGTGGAGGAGAGACTGGAGAAGAAGTTCGATCACTTCCTCCACGAGATCTAAAACTTTGTCCGATATCTCATGCTCGTGCTCAGGATCTATTATTTGCGCACCATCATCGTCTTCTTCAGCCCCGGCCGCGTCAGAGGTTTTCGCCCCTGGCGGACCGTGCGCGGCGGCTGTGTGATTCTTCGTTCGTGCTGTACTATCCGCTTCATCCTTCTCAATGTTGCCTCCGATTATCATCTTCGATTTCTCGTCCAATGCTGCCGCGCTGCCGCCGTCTTCTCCCGCATTGGTCGCTGCACCCGCTGCCGCTAGACTCGCCCCCAGCACCCGCAGCCCGCGTTGATACCGCCAGGAGGGCGGTTTGTTGGGCAGGAACCGCTCGACGATTCTCGATAAACACTTCATCCGCAGTTTCCACGCTAAAGCGTTTTTCTCGAACTTTTCGTTTTTCTCTGTGGCTTTCAGCAAGGTTTCAAACAGCTTCTCATAGTTTTCCGCTTGAGAGGGAGCTGGATTTATTTTGTCATCGCAGCTGGAACTGTGTTTACTTACTGTGGGTTTCAGCTCGCACTTCGCCTGCTTCAGAATTTGGTTCACGGCCTGCAACGTTCCGAGCATGCGGAAGTCTTTGGTCAGGGGATCTTCTTGTTGTTCTTGCAGCTGTTGCTGGTCTTTTGTCGCCGCGCCCTCTGCTTTCTTCTCCGGACTAGAAGTGGTGCCAGCATGATCAGCTTCGCCAACGCTAGTGGTTACGCCAAGGAATTCCTTTTCGCAAATAGGGAGAAACAAGCTTCCGAACAAATCCAGGCAATCCTTTCGGGCGAACTATGAATGCGTCAGGATCGAAATCGACAAAATCGAAAAACTTGCGATGCATAAAATCTAGGGCACTGAAGGCCTGTATTGGGGAGCAAGCAAATGAGACCGAGTGTAAGCCTGTTTAGGAGTATGCAATGTGCTGTCAGAGTAGCATGACAGGAGCAGTCTTCTTTGCCCAAACAGCATGACAGACTGGATTTGGGTGGTGCTCCCGAAATTTGTCATGCGCCACTTACAAACTGAGGCTCCAACTGGTATCGATTTCATGCATCACAAATTTTTCGACTTTGTGAATTTCGATTATGACATTTCCATACGAACAGCTTTCCGAGTAGAAACGCGGCGGACTCGCGTAGGCGGGAGGAGTGCGAGAGGGACCTGTAGGCGAGCTTGAACAAGTGGTCGATTGGGTTTATGCATTTGTGCAAAAGTATTCCTATTCACTGTGCGCAGGCGTGTGGGAACTGCATTACATGATTTCATCTTTTCCAAAAATACGAAAGGCGCAGCTCAGCGACGCACCGCCTAGCCGCGGCACTACTCAAAAGCGGGGCGCCATATTTTGGCATTACTTAAGCGGGGCGCCACAGAAGGGGCGCGTCTGGGCGCACGAAGCGCACTACTTAAGCGGGGCACTACTTAAGTGCCGCCCCTGGGAGCGCAAAGAGCACTACCTCAGCGGGGCACCACTTAGACGGCGCCTCTGCGAGCGCGCAGCGCACTACTTAAGCGCGCGGGGCGAAGCACTACTTAAGCGGAGCACTACTTAAGCGAAGCACTACCTAAGCGAAGCACTACCTAAGCGAAGCACTACTCAAGCGAGGCACTACTTAAGCGAAGCACCACTTAAGCGAAGCACCACTTAAGCGAAGCACCACTTAAGCGAAGCACCACTTAAGCGAGGCACCACTTAAGCGAAGCACTTCAGCGAAGCACTTAAGCGAAGCACTTAGGCGAAGCACTTAAGCGAAGCACTTAAGCGAAGCACTTGAGCGAAGCACTTAACCGAAGCACTTAAGCGAAGCACTTAAGCAAAGCACTTCAGCGAAGCACTTAAAGCAAAGCACTTCAGCGAAGCACTTAAAGCAAAGCGCTTCAGCGAAGCACTTAAGCGAAGCACTTAAACGAAGCACTTGAGCGAAGCACTTCAGCGAAGCACTTAAGCGAAGCACTTCAGCGAAGCACTTAAGCAAAGCGCTTCAGCGAAGCACTTCAGCGAAGCACTTCAGCGAAGCACTTCAGCGAAGCACTTCAGCGAAGCACTTAAGCGAAGCGCTTCAGCGAAGCACTTAAGCGAAGCACTGAAGCGAAGCACTTAAGCGAAGCACTGAAGCGAAGCACTTAAGCGAAGCACTTAAGCGAAGCACTAAAGCGAAGCACTTAAGCGAAGCACTTAAGCGAAGCACTAAAGCGAAGCACTTAAGCGAAGCACTTAAGCGAAGCACTTAAGCGAAGCACTGGCGCGCTCCTCAGAAGACGCACTACTTAAGCGGAGCGCCACTGAAGGGAGCACTACTTAAGAGAGCAAGCGACGCACTACTTAGGCGAGCACTACTTAAGAAAAGAATCACCTCCGCGAGGCACTACTTAAGCATGGGGGCTTGTGGACGCACTACTCAGCGGAAACGCTTGTGCGAAGCGCCTTCTGAGGCAAAACGTTTATGCGAAACGCTTGAGCGAAACGCTTAGCCGAAACGCTTAAGCGAAACGCTTAACCGAAACGCTTAAGCGAAACGCTTAACTGAAACGCATAACCGAAACGCATAACCGAAACGCTTAAGCGAAACACTTAAGCGAAACAGCCAAGCAAAAGACTTATCCTAAGCAGTGGTCACGCGAGCGACAAAGACGCATCTAATCAGGGCGAACGATAACGACGGCGCATTTCTATTTCGTTACTCGCTGCATAACCAAGTGTGCCCGACACGGTCATGATACTTTTGCACAGGATAGGATTATCAATGCTCATGATCGTGTTCAAATCGAACGGCGAGTAGAGAATCATGGCCATCCAGAGGTACAACACGTAGCTCGTCGCCCAATCCTGCTGAGCGGGCGGCTTTTTGGATATAGTCGCAGCCTGCTCTGAAGCTGTCGCCGCGCCCGTTCCGACCTGTGGCTCGGTTCCGCTAGTGGCGGCGTGGTCCTCCGCGTGCTCCTTGGTGCTCTCGCGGGTAGAGAGGACATCTGAAGATTGGATTTGTAGACGTATATGCTGACCCCAGCTTTCTTAAAATCAGACTCAGATTTACAACGCATGCTATGCGAACAAGTTAATTATGTATGAGAACCTGGTGGCTCGCTTTCCGATAATTGCAGCTGTTCTTTCGCTGTTTTACTCCCCACGACGCCCCCGTCGACTTCGCAGATCTTACCTTCGACACCCTTCCGCCCCATCGACTCCAACACGGCTAAACACGGCAGCAAATCCGCCACCTCGTGCGGAAAAAACTGCACCACCGTCTTGTAGCCGCGAACGGCGCAGAGAAAGTAGAGCAGCGAGCAGACGAGATGCTGCGTCGGGCCCCACAGCTGCTGCTGCTCGGTCCCTGATGTGGTCGCCGTCGTTGGTGTTGGCGCTGCTATACAAGAACTTGTTGACAGTGCGTTCTCGAACATGATATTCACCATCTCCCGCAAGCTTCCATCCAGCAACGCCGGCTGTTCTTGGTAGCCATTCCAGATTTTCTTCACCTCCTCCGCCTTCGCTCGCTGCTGCTTTTGCAATTGCAGTCGGATGGCTTTTTCCGCATCAGAAGTGTCTGTCGTGTTGCTGCTCCCTGCATCACAAGCTGCTCCTGTACTAGTCGTGATTTCCCGCAAGAGCTGCAAGACGTGGTCCTTTTCCCGGAAAAAATCGCGGCTCTGGTTGTCAATTTGCGTGAAGGGATCCACCTGTGCAGAATCTGTGGTGCTCTTGTCGGCGGAACCATTGAACGCGGTATGATTGCCGGCGGCAGTGATGACTTCCTCATCGTTGCTCGTGAGGAACTCCATCTTGAGTTTGAAAAAAAATCTCAATTAGGGCTGGAGCCGCGTGCACATACGAAAGGCAGCACACGTGGAGGTGCGAGTAAGCAGAACTTTTAAAAAGAATTTGGACCAAATGTTAGCTGCTCCATTTCAGTGCTAGTAGTTCTAGCGTTGCTTTTCCTAACGCAATGGAGTTTTGTGTAATTTCTTTCGAGCAGCACTACAAACAATATGTAGCAACTTGCCATATCGACTTTGTTCGTAGCCAGGGGTAAAAGCGAAACGATGTTGCCAACAGACGGGATCGCAAATTGTTCCATTCTGATCATCACCATGAAGCACGAGTTTGCTCCCGGCATTTGTTCTATCTGTCGGACTGACAACAACGTACGTAAGAAGCAGAAGCACAGATCCATGGAACAAATCTAACAGAAGCATTCCTTTTCTTTCAGTAAGGTGAAGCAGGATTGTCAACAAAAATCGGAGCAGCTTTACAACATGAAAAGACGCGAAGCCATCACCTCTGAACACCTACTTCCGTCGGCCAAAAGTTGCACACAAAGCCTTCTTTGACAAAGTAACAATCTTTATTCCCAGCAAATAGTTTCAGTAGTTGCCAGTGTCAATAAATGCACCGCCCGAAAGAGCGTCGGACTACAATCTTCTTCGACATGAAGAGCAAAAACATCTCAAACAAACATGTGTGAAATGCAAGCGCGGCCAGGAGTGATCAATCATCACCGCCGTGCCACCAGAAATATCGTTTTTAGCAGAAATGTCATGACTTTCGACGTCTCAGCTTCACAAAAGCCTATTCTAAGCGAAAAATAATGCGCAACATCTTCGCAAATAGAAATACTGCACAAGAGAGACCTCAAGTGCACGCACCGAGCGAAAAAAAATCCTTTCAATGGATTCACCAGTTATATCTTTGGGTAGTCTCATGTAAAAAGCAACACCTATTTTATTAAAACGCCATACAAAAAAATTTACGCGACACATCCTTTGATGGTCAAAACCGCAGCCGTCTCCCCGTTTCGAGCGCCCACCGGAGCAGATCGGTCTGCTCTTCCGGCGTCATCGAATTCCATCTAGGGTGGTTGATGTCCACAACGGTCATATGATCATTTGATGACGGCACGGCATTAGAGTCGTCTCTTCTATCGCACATAAAACCACGCGATAAAGTATGTGCCGCAGACGACGTCGACCCACCTGGGTCTTGGTTTCGCTCCTCCCCCGTTTTACTTTCAGGTCCAGCCTCCGTTGCTGGGACGTAGTAGCTCCCAAAGCTTTCTCGCCGGCCGGGCAAAAATGCCGACGACACGACCGGCTGAGAAGAAAACGCTGCGGCGCTGGGAACGTAGGGAACAGACGCGGCCGTCGTTCTTTCCGGAACATGAGAGCAGCATTTGTGCTGACGCTGCTGATCTTCATGTTGTTGTACCTCTCCTTCCGGACCACAAGAACTCTGCGCTGGAAGCCCATCTCCTGGTTGTGTCAGCCCCGAGCGGCGGACGGGAAGAGAACCGTCTGCCGGCTCCGTCTGCGCTGATGCCACGCTCTTGTTTACTGGATCAGCAGTGATTGTTTCTCGCCGGCGAAAAGACAACGGAGTTGAAGGTGGTTCCTGATCATTCCAAATCACGTCGCCGTTTTGTTGCATCGACGGCGTTCTTAAGTGCGCCGATTCCTGCCGGTCGTCTTGGTGTGTATGGATAAAATCTCTGTTGCTGGAACAAGTACCGGCTGCGTAGAAACCCCTCGAGAAGAGCCCGGGCGGTGCTCCTGCGCACCGCGGCGATGGAAGGTCCTGGTTTCGCGTAGTGTCGTGCCGTGGCAGTGGTTGTTCATCTACGTCTTGCTGCCAAACTTGCCGAGCATTTCGTGACTTGTGCTGTGGCGCCGAGCCGCCCTCTCCGTAGTAATTTTGTAAAAATCTCGCTCCCCGCTGGGCTCTGGTAGTTTGAAATTCGTTTCTCCTGGCCTTTCTGGTGGCGCTGCAGCTCGAAGAAAACTCCGGCGCTGCTCCTGCGCCGGAATCATAATTTCTCCCGTGACAGTCGACATCTTGGTCTTCCGGGAGTCGACGATTATGGTGCAACAACTCCGACGCGGTCGTGCAGCCAGGTGGTCCACCTCCTTCTCCCGTCGCACCTCCGGTTGAGACGAGCGGGACAAAGTCAGCCTCAGTGAAAGGGAGAAAGTCAGCCTCTTGCCGCTCGAAGCAGGATGTGGGGGCAAATAACGCGTGGTCGCAGTCGGCTGGATCGATGTACGGTGGTTTTACCTCGTTATGGGCCGCCCAGTAGCAGGTGCGAGGAGTGTCGTCATACGCCCGTCCTTGTTCGGACCGACGAGCGGAAAGACGGCCAGCGCGGTAATTATACTCCGGCGCGGCCCATGCGGGTGTCCTGCAGTAGTTGGTGCCATAACTACTCGACACTTGTTGTTCCCCCATGGAGGTGGTTGAGTTGTTTGTAATCTCCGCTTCTTCATCAGCATCTTCATCCCACTTTGGAGGGTACATATGCGTTTCTCCCCAAGAAGGAGTCGAAGAGACCCCACGATGTTGGCCGCGTCTCAGGTTGATCATTATCGCCGCGGTACATCTATCGTGAGGGAAAATGTCCCCTCCCCATACCGAAAAGACACGCCTCTAGTGCTGATTTGTGACCACAAATCGTCTCTGTCTTGCACGAATGCAACTGCGCGGACTCCGCCGCATTATGCAGGCGGTTTGTGATGCGTATGGTCCTGCAGGAGCGTAGACGTTTGCCATGCTGGGCGCCTATGTCAAAACCCCTCTGCTCGGGCTTCGTATATTCCTGAAGCGCTCTACTACAAGACAAACCTGTTTTGTGCACTCAAATCCAGCATCACAAATTTCGTTTTGATATGGGGAGGGGGGAATTTTCCGTTTGATAACATCGTGCCTCTTTTTCCTCCTTTCTCGCTTGCCTGAAGTGTGCGTTGGCTGCCATCCGGCCTTCCTTGCGGAGGAGCAGACTGGCGTCCTTACGGTATAACTCTTTCACGTCAGCTTGGAAAGTGATGTAGGGGTATCCACAAAAAAACAACCATCCCCATCCAATTTATCATGCAAAACATGCATGAGTTCCTGTGTTTGTCATGCATAAAATGGATGGGGATGGTTGTTTTTTGCTGGATAAGGGGATGCCGTTCTCACGAAAGCCAAACGACGTCGTGGTCCCTTTAATATTATTGCCGGAGCGCCCGGGGCAAGAGGTGCTAGAAACTGGTCGTCTCTCCTCGTAGACCATATTCAGTGCCCAACTTGGGTAAAGCGTCTCTGCCCAGGAGGGGAGAGTAGGCGCGAGTTTGCTCTGTTGAGTTTCAGCACGGTCATCTTCCTTTATTTCTGTCAAATATTCGCCCACAACGTCGGTGAGCAACTTACTGTAGAAATGCTCGACAAATTTCGCGTCCTCACTGTCGTCCGTCTGCATGAGTCCGGGAGCAGGCGGCACTACAACACGTTTACTTTCCACGCCCTTGCTCCCACCAACTAGTGGGCTCGTTTTGGCGTTTCTGTAGTAGTGAAAGTTGATCAAATCCACCACTTTTGCCCGCCCAACGATCTCCGGCTCGTTATTCGGATTCATGGGATTCGATCCCGGGAGCGCAACCCCCTCCGGGTGGGACAGATCCCGCTGGAAGCTCAGCGTTACACCGTCGTTGACCTCGTCGAAGAAGAGGCAGACACCGGGGGCACCACCACCACGAGCTTTGCCTTTCTCCACTTTGGTCCAAGTCGGTTTATTGTGTGATTGTTTGTGTTTTCCCTGTTGGAGAAAATTGTTCTTTCTGATACTTTTTCCGCCAGTTTTGAGATCTCCAGCCTCCCGCCTGCACCGGAACCAGAACAGGTGCCACACCATGGAGTAAAACACGGCGCTCTCCACGTGCATCTTCGTGCTGGCTTCGAACGATCCGATCGATTTGAAGATGCGTCTCGCGGTGTGGTCCGGGTTTCGGGTAGTTACGCGTCGTTCTCGTTGGGCGTGTGGCTGCTGTTGAGGAACAATTGTGCCACTGTCGTGGTGTTTATTTCCCACCTCTGCCGGTTCTACTTCCCGCAGTTTCGTTTTCCCCGACCAGACGGGCTGTGGGTTCGCGATCTGCAGTGCGGGGTCGTCAAAGATAGCACTTTGAACTTGTACTTGGTCTAGTACAGCTCCCGCATCACAACTTCCAAGACTACTTGCGCTTGTTTTTCCCGCTTTCATCCCCCTGCAACCACCTCCTTCGGCGTTGTCGGTTTGCGCGAAAAATTTGTTCCACTTTGTCAGATCTTCGGGCGTGATGAAACATCGCGGCAGGCTGGAGATGTGAAACGGCGACTGCGCGGAGTGTAAATTGTCGGCATTGAGAAAAACGCGGTCGGTATTCTCACTACATGATTTTTTGGTGTCAGCTTTAGAAGTAGAACTCGCAAGAACGAGTTGCTCCGGCTCATCTCGTCCCGTGTCATCATCTCCGACTACTTGGCTCGACACAGCTGCAGGGGGCTCGAAATTTTTATGTTGTGCTTCTTGTGCTGCCAAAGGAGCTAGTGCTGTCCTCGTGTCTCCAGAATAATAATTCGACAGCCTTGCGCACACCCTCGGCGCATGCAACCCCGGCTCCAGAGTCAGTGCCTCGAAGAGGAGCTTGTGCCCCGGCGGGAAAGTGGAACAACCGAGCTCTACTTGCAGTGGCTTACGAGGGACGACGAAGGTCCGACCCTGAGACGGAAAAAGTTCCAGGCTGCTCGGGGCGTCGGACGGAACGAGTGGCGGCGCGGTGGTTGGGCACGGTACTCGTACTAGCTTGCTTTCATCATCTTGTTCGCGGTGAAGATTTTTCATCGTGGTAGCAGCCGCGCTCCCACTGGCGAGGGAATGATCATCTTCGCGACTACAAGCAGAGGCGGAGCCACCAGACCCGGCAGGAGAAACCTCCTCGCTCTCCATGTCTTGTTCCATATGCAAACCTAAGCCCCCTTCAGGGTGGGTGTTTGCCAACACAGGCTCCAGATTCCGCGCGTGAATGACCGGTGTAGTTTTCGTCGGAACCGGAGGCAGGGCCCGCCACTCGGAGAGAAGATGCCCGCCACGACCGCCTAGCGACGGTAATACGGAGCGCCGAGCAGGCGTTTCATTTCTATCGGAAAGTTTCTCGCTCGGCATCCTACTTGTTTCTCGGGAGGAAGCTGGAGCCGAGCCGCGCTGCTCGGAGGAACAAGGGGGGCCATGGCCTTCAGGCACAGCAAGGAGACGACGATCGTTGTGCTTACCCTCTGAAATGAGCGAAAGCACTCGCTCCTCTGCGACCACAAGTGGATAGGGGGTCTTAGGAACATCGCCGCAGTGGTCAGTAGTAGCAGTATCAGTAACAGAAGCAGGAGCGTCACCCATCTGTCCCGTTTCCGCGCTCTCCGCGCCTGCAGCCGAAATTGCTTGTTTCCCGTGCAGTACCTCCCTCCCCTCTTGTCCGCCCGATGCAGCAAGCACAGAGCGTGAATGATCCCCGGTGCGGCCTGCCTCTAGGTGGTCCGGTTGAAGACTTTCCGGGAGGATTTTCCCGACTAGATTTACAACTTCACGCTTCAGCCGCGGGAACTCCTCGAACCGCTGTTGCAGCTTGGGCATCACAAGTTCCACCTCGGACTTCGTACTCGCCCAACAAATGTGGAGGTCTTGGAAGTACTGGCTCAGCTCTTTCAGGGTTGCTTCGTCCACTGCGAGGGCGTGCGGGCGTTCTTTGTGTTTTTCTTCAGTTTCATGTCCACCTCGATGTTGAAAAATGCGCTGCGTCAGCCGTTCGAACAAACTTGACGGCCGCGAGGGTGGTTCGTGGAAAAAGTCCTGCTCTTTTTCATCTTCAGCAGAAGCAGTAGCGGGAGCTCCACCACTTCTAGGTATGAACTCGGAATCATCAACCGGAGCTGCTTCCCCTCTCCTTCCTCCACGTACCCGCGCTCCTGCTTCTGGTGAAAACCCCGCGATCTTCCAGCTCACATCGGCCGGAACGGGAGGTATGGATTGCAAATATGTCTGGGTCTGGAAGAGTGTAACTTGTCATGCTACATCTGGATCGTGGAAAAATTTGCGTTGCATGATTACCAAAAGAGGTCCAGTTTTGAACAAATTTAGAGGCAGTTTCTGATGCAGGAACGACATGATAGAGATCTCACAGAACCTGTCATGCTAGGCCGTGCATGGCAGACCGCGTGGGTCATGGAAAACCTGCATGACAAACCTACCAATCTTCCAGACCCAATCATTTTTGCATTTGATAGGAGGTTCGGGTAAAAACCCCACAATCTTCCAACTCACATCGGCCGCGACCCGGTGCTCCGCGATCTGCGGCAGGACGACGTATTGAATTATCCTACGGAAAAACACCCCCACACCGGAGTCAAGATGGGAAATCTGCTAGACAAACCAAGCGGCTTTGGCTGTTTCGCATGACAAGTTTGTCCTCGTAGTGTAGTCCTGTTTAGCTAGTAGTTCAGCAGCATGACAGATCTAGCACATCATGCTGATTGTAGCGTCACCAATTCCAAAACACGATTAGAAAAAGAAACCCCTTCTCATGGCGCTGCGCATGAGAACCTTTTTTGGCATGCAGGTTTGCATGACAACTTTATGTCGGGGACGTTTTTACACAGGATATGAATGTTCGTCTGGACCCGCAACGCCGGTGCGTCGAGCGCCGCCTGGTGCAGGATCAGGCTGAGCAAACAGTACCCGTGCAGCAGGGCGGCGGACTGCGGAGCGGAAATTTCTTGTTCCGCCACGGTCTTTAGTGCCTTCGGGACTGACGTCGTCCTTGGCGGTCTCGAGGCGGAGGACAAGCTGCTTGCAACGGACGAAGAAAATGACACCGCTGCGACGATCACGTGTGCGAACAAGCTCGCCGCTTTTGCGCGGCGGGGTCTACTTCGCGGGACGGTGCTCGCCTTCAACATTTTGGCGGTAGTGAAAATGGGTTTGTTTTTTTTGTTTGGTGTAGTACTTTTCTTAGCACAAGTGCAGTACAGATAGTAATGACTTAGCTTGGTATCGGGTAGTTGTGTATATTCGAATGGTTTCTTGTTGAGATCATGTCCATCAGTGCTTGAACGTAGGACGAGAGAATTCGTTTGGGAGAAAGGTAAAGCAGTTCAACATCTGGTAGTAGCTTCTTATTCTCTTTTGCGGTGGCTAAAAAACACTTTGGTCTGTGCAGAGCAAGAGCGTGCTGCAACCAAACATAAAACTCAGTACAGCACTTTTTACGCTATGCGCAACACTCTACTGGCGGCCTGGTAGAAGTGTAGTCACTATACTACACTTCTTCTTCTAATTATAGCCACGCCTCATCAATCTCCTCGGGTAAGAACTAGCTGGGCGCTGTGAAGCACTAGTTTAGGAATGAGCTGAACTCCTGCAAGAACATTCAGGATCCGTCGTATTCGGATGGAGGTCGTAGCTGAGCTGTTCGCCCCATCTTGTTTTTCGACGTCTAGATCTAGTATGGCGCTGGTAGAATTGTTTCAGAAAGAAGCAGACCTATTACGCTGAGCCCGCACCAGCGGAGGCAAACGCACGAAAACTCGTACCGCCAGATCAGACGTTTTACCTGGCTCTCGTCCTCGGTATGCGCTGCGTCCGGGGCGGATCTCTTGCTCCGGCCGTGCGCGACGCATCGCGGTGCGGCCTCTTGGGAATCCGCTTGCTCGGGACGCCCGCATCGCGGGCCCCCCCGGAGTCGCGGCTCCGCGGGTCCGGCACCCGGGGACCCAAAGCGGCAGACGGGTCCGATTTGGGAGAAACTGAAAAAGCTGGCATCCCACCGGGCCTGTTGCGCTCTTGCGCCAATGCCAGGGCGATAGCGGAGTCCCGGGCCCCTTCCTTTCCGGAGCAAAATAGCCGCGCGTACGGCTTCGCGCTCCCTTTCCGCCGCGCAGCCCAGACATGAAAGCGCTCCAAAGGCGCCGCGGCTTTGCGTGGTCTAGACCCGCCCGCGTAGTGTATTTGCCGCCGCGGTGAAGTGCTGCGACGGCTCGGCTTTGCGGGCTTGCGCGGCCCGACAAGAAGGGCGGCCCTAGCAATGCATACTAAAAATCACTAAAGGAGCCGAAAAGCCGGCCGCCGGGGCGGACGGGACCACGCTTCCGGGCCCGGTCGGAAGTGCCCCCCGGGGCGGCTTGACTATGCCTTTTCTCGGCCTTTGTCGCTGGTGGGGGTCCATTGGCACCACCCCAGGGGTATCTGGTCCGCCTTCCCAAAGGCTGAGAGATCCGCGGGCCTTGCCGACGGCGACTGCGGTGGCCGGGCGGCCGGATCTGGTCAAAAATGCCTGCAATTCCAGTTCTGATAGCGGTTTTGTGTTTTATTCCCTTCAGTTGAGCCTGATCAAGTCAGATTCGAGAGAGCTGTGTTTGATTTTCTTAAATCCGAAAAACTACAGATATGACGTGCATAAGATCAATCGCTAAAAATCCACCAAAATATCTAAAAGGTTGTGCGTATATTTGTGATTTTTTTCTTTTTTTCATCTACAAAGGTAACACTAGAGAAATTCCAGAGATCTCTACTGAATTTTTGAAAATTTGCAAAATTTTTCACGATGGAATTTTATGAAAATTGTGCCATACCTTTCAAATTCTATTCAAATTAACCCTCTTTACAGATTTCTCAGTGCTTTTAGTGGAACTCTTGATCCCATAGTACACATTTAATGAATTATCAGCAAACTCTTAGAATTTTCAAAATTCCAGAAAAATACAAAAATTTCCTGTGGTGTGAAACTGCAGTAAAATATTAGTATAACTGGTGTAGTATCGCAATATTAGTGGATTTTTTTAGTTTAATAGTATTTTTTTTTTCTTAATTAGCTCTTTTATTATAATTGTTTGACCATTTTGCAAAAACTCGAAAATTTCGCGAACTTCATTCAAGTGTAGTTATGGGATACGCATGCCATTTTATCATATAAATATAAAAAAAAACTGCATATTAAAAGCTGTGGGAGTCATTTTCCATCCTATTGGACGACTCTAAACAACAACCAGTGCAATTCCTTAAAATTTTAGAAAATCCAAAAAATTGGAAAATTTTATGCAAAGTCTAAAGCCTTTCAATGTGAACAAGAAATACTGTCGAAACAAGGGATACCTCTGCTCTTCCGAATATACTTTGTGCGCCATCTTGTATATTGATACAACTGCGGACCTCTTCTCTGATTTCAAAAAAATCGCATTTTTTTGGATTTTTTTCTTGAGAAGATGTAGTGCCCACCCTCCATCTTGCAGCTCAGGCAGACCTTATAAAGTGCGTACAGTGTGTACTTTTAAAGGTGTATGATCTGGAAAAGCCGACTGCCGCCACCGTAGTCATATTTGTTTTCCTTGATGAAAACGAAAAAAAAACGCTGGCAACTGCTCGGGGTCGGACAGTCCGGATCCGGGATCCGGCCGGTCGACGCGCCAGAAAGGGCCATGCATGTGGGATTGCGCCCCGTTTCCATTTGCAGGCGCCAACTCAAGCCGCCTGAACGGCACCTGACGCAAGTTCTACAAAGCCGCAGGCTGGCCGCGCCCGCTTTCGCCGCTCCTGGAAGCGGCGCAGAAGCCCCCGCGAAGGTTCGCCCAGCGGCGGTGTGCGATGCGGTTGAGCTGTGGTAAGCGGTGCCCGCTGCGAACGCACAGGGCCGAGTTGTCTCGTCGTCTTCTTGCAAGACAGACGCAGGCGTGGCCGAGAGCAGAATAGTATCGCGCTAAAGTGCGCTAGCGAGAGGCCCCCTTTCAAAGCGGCGAAGAAAGTGGCCGTGGTTGTATCGCCCGCCTTGCCTCGTTCGGTCTTCTCCGGTTTTGCGCTGCTGCTATGACAGCAGAAGCCCTGAAACCGCATGCGCGAATAGGTCCCTGAAATTTTATCGATTTCGGCAACGCGTTTGCTTTTCCTTTTCCTCCTCGGTTTAAGTATTAGTTTGCTCCCTCGGTATTTGTATTTTTCGCGCCCTTCATCTACCTGCAGCGGGGTGCTAGGAGCGCGGCGCGCCCTCGTATCCACGGTGGCTCTTGCTAAAAAACGCATAGTGGTACAAAGATGCTTTCGGTTCAGTCGTAGACAAAGCTCCGGTGATGTACAACTCTACCGCGCAGCACCGTCTGCAATCTTCGCGCACTGCGTGCGGTCGTCTCTCTTGAACCTTGTTGCCTCCGGTCGTTCGGTTTTGTCGCGTGTAGCAACGTCGTTGTCTTCGGTAGCTTTACGTGTTGTACAGCGTGAAAAAAAATAATCATCTGCGGCGCAGCGTTTATTAATCAAATCGGTTTGCCGGTGCTTAGACGACAACTCGGGCCACTTCTTGTATGTAGTGCTGTGTGTCCTAAGTAGTCGTGCGCAGCCTGCTTTCCTCGTGCAGCAGTGGTGCTCGAAATTCTCCGTACTTGTTGTAAACCGTTTAGGCAAGCTGAACAAGAACTCTGGAAAGAAGTACAGCTTCGTGCGTGGTAGTCCAACCGTCTCAGTTTTGGCAAACGCGGAGTACAACATCGTCGGCGTTCATTCTCGTTCGTACAATAGATGCGTCAACAGATAAAGCCTTCGAATTAGAAGAAAATAAATTTGATTCTCATGACCCCTCCAGGTTCTTTTTCGGAAACCCCGATAAGAAATTCCTCTCCTGTTTTCGAAAAAGAAGCAAGCCGCACGACCCAAATCGTGCTGCTCTGTCTTCTTTCGACCACCGTGAGACACAGCACTCGTTGAGTTTTACACTAATCAAACCCTTTGTAATTCAACTATCAAACGCTCTCTCAACTCACAACTCCAAAACAAATTTTCAATTTTCCTCTTTCATCACTTCCAAAACAAAATCCAACTCAAGCAACCCAACATGGCACGGCGTCCCAAGCTTGGCAGCAAGAAGCACCCGTTTCTGCCCTGTTTGCGGCGACGAACGGCGGGATTTTTAACGGCCTTGTACCACACGGCGCCCTTGATTGCGGACATGAGCCCCGTGTGGGTCTTCTGTGTTGTCAATGGCTTCTTCGCAGAGGGTATGCCTGGGGGAAAGAGTTGCGTTTTTGCGAAATAAGATCTGTCTCTCTCATATATAACAGCCCTGGGGCGGTGCTTTTAAAGTTTCATGATCGACGTGCATGTTTTTTTTTAGCTGTGGAATTGCTGCCCGAAATGTAGTGGTCTTGCGGTGTTAGAAAGCGACTTTCTCGTAAATTGGCATGCGGTAGTCAACTATCGACGACAGATTCCTGCTGTGCAAAGATTTGGTTCTTTCCCCTCCCATACTTCGCATACAACGGCCACGGGAGCGCGGCTTCCTGGCCCGTCGGGATTACAGCCCAGAGGGGATGGGAAGCTTGTTATCGAGTGCAAATAGGTCTAGGTCGGGAAAGTTGGCATACAGGTTGGTCGCTTGCTGAAGATGGGCAGACTGCTTACAATAGGCAGCCAAGTATGTGATGAAACAACTTTGTGCGAGTTTTCTTATTGCGCATCCTGCTGCATAAAGGAAACTTTTTGATTTTGCAATAGTAACTGCAAATAGCAAAAAGTGCTATTTGTCCTGCGCAACATGCATCAGGCCAGGCATGCATTACAACTGTTGCAATCTTCCAGACCAAGACACATTTGCTAGTGATACTTTTGGCACCTTTTTTTCGGCGACTCGGAGGTACTTACTTTGAGGGAACCTTTGATGCAAGCGATTACACGTGTAGCACAAAATCCTGATGTAGTGAGTGATATTTCGATTTACAGGCTTTGAACTGTTGTATGCAGACTGGATTAGGGTTGTAATTGTGAATGAAGTTGGCATAAAAACAGACCACGCGTCATTCGGAGGACGGAAAGGATCATCCGCGGGCGGAAGCTGCACTTACGAAAGCGAGACTTTGAGTCAGAGTGAAATGATTTGTGATGCGAAAATGAAAGAAATTCCTCTTGCATATGAATCGTTTTTTGCAAGACAAATCACACCTCAGACTCGAGTTTTTTTCGACATGCATAAACCCTGACAGCATGGTCCGGGAGGCCGGTACGAATTGTGCGAAGGAGGGCATGGAGGAGGCTGGCGGATGTGCGGATGGACACGAGTCGGAATCAATGATGTTCTTGGAGAAAGCAGAGCCTGACAAAAATCAAAATGCCCAGGATCCTTATGAAAGCACAAAAAGCAACATGTTCGTGAGCTTTGTCTGGGATTCGAGAGATCGATTCGCTTGATTCGAATCTTCTACGGTTATTCTGAGGCGATGCGATATTGAAACTGCACACTGCGAACCGAAAGCCTGCAGTGCTGCATCAGGCAGCAAGATAGTTGTATGTAAAGGAAATCATAAAAGTAGCAAAGAAGCGAGCGAAGCTTTATTTCTTTCTTGTGCATATAGGCGGAACAGAGGGCACCCCGGCGCAGCCAGATAAGAATCTGCACTCCGGCAGTTCCAAGGAAGAAGGGAAAGCCAAAAAGGCTGACGTACCAAAAATTGTAGTTACAGAACCTCCAACTCCAACATCCAAGGAGCAGAAGAAAAGCGGCGTCCCCGCAAAACCAATCGCATCTCCAGATAGGCACGACCGCCTCGCAGTTGTACCTTCGCCAACCACACAAAGTCGAGATCAAGCTGCCGCTGCAGCCAAGGGAACCAAATACCTACAACCACCCAAGCCTGCCGACCATGTTAATCCGCACGTCGAACCCGGCTCTGAAAACAAGCGCGAGATGAAAGAGTACGGGGCACTGCACGCGCTCAATGTGGCGTCTGCTCCGCCGTTGGCACAAAGCGCTGAAGCACGACTTGTCGCACCGGTAGAAGGAGAAAGTCGTGGGTCTACGTCTCCTGAAGCTTGCTTTTTGAGTAAAAGAAATTCGGAGGCACACAGCGCTTTGCTGGACAAATTGAACCGCCTCCACGCAGCGGCTTTTGGTGTTGAAGAGACGCAACACGTTGGGAAGCCCGATCACCATGCGCCAAAGTTGGGTGACAATGTCAAGGCGGCTTGGGGTGAAACAATCTGCAAAACCCCCAACTCGGAAACGCAGACTCTTCCGCATGAAGATCTGAAAGGCGTCGGGGAGGTTGCGAAAGAAATCTTTTACACCGCATTGCTACAGGAGTATCAGAAACACCTGATGCTAACACAAACGCCCGATTCAGGTCAGGCAGGCGCGGAGAATGTCGTGAGAAGGAAGCAGGCTAGCTGCGCTGTCCCGATCGTCGCTGTCGTGCCGCAAAAGAAGGTCGACGCGGATTGGCAATTTCACATTGTCCTTGGCTCGGCTGCGGAGAGAGTATTGGACGAAAATGAGTTTCGTAAGCAGCAACACACCCACGGCACGGGGTATAGCTTTTTGGAACACCTGCACTTCTGTGTTGAGATCATGGGCACTCTGAAAATCGGACATCCGCTCGAGCAAGGTCAGATCAGCTACGGAGAACATGCGGGTGAAGTTCGAATTCTAGAGCTGCATCGCGGGGAGACATTGCAAGACGTGCCTGCACAGAACAATCATGCAGCTTTCGCAACTGTTGCGGGTAGACTTCTGCTAGGCGAGGCGAAGCCACTGTCCAATGAAGGCGTGGTCGCCCCAAAGCTACAAGAGCACCTCGAGTACGTCCTGGTTGGTACAAACTGCATTGCCCATTTCGACCATGTCTGGGCCAAAACGCTCAAGATTGGAGGGAGCAAACCTCAGACGAATGACATGCGGTGCAAACCTTATCCAGATTCGAGTCTCATGGCAGAGCTGTGGGAACAGGTCGGCTCTATTGTGAAAGACCTGCGTGAAGATCCATTTTGGGGAGGCCCCGGAGAGGGCACTGCAACATACAAAGAAGGCACGGAGGAAAAATCGCGCATCAAGATTCTGGAGAAGGTGATGAAGGAGAACTTAAACAACCGGAACGGTTTTTGGCACTTCGGGCACCACAACGAGCTTGCGGACCTCGGCTGGTCGCCGGGCCCAGGCGAGAGTCGCAAGGGAACAGAAATGAATGCCGAGGACCCGAGCGTCGTTTTCACCGACTGGGCCGGGCCTCAATCTGGCAACGTCGCCAGTTACAGCTATGTAAGCAAATGCCGCGAGCGGGAGTTCGGAGGAAACAACTTAGACACGGACGCGTTAACCCAAAACCTGGCGCGACGAGCTGCGCGTGAGATCGTGGCGCACACATTGATGATGGGCGCTCAGGAGCAGTCGACGCCTCAGGAAAAGCAGGCGTCTGCAGGTGAAGGAGCCGAGCAAGAATCGAGTGCCCCAAAATGTGTGGTTCCTCACATCCACGGCGTGATTGTGGAGCCGAAATCGCTTTTATGAAGTCGAGGAAGGGTTTTCTCTTTCGCAGTGCGTGCTTGTCTGTACGCGAAGCCATTGTAGTTGTCTCACGAAGAATATTAGATGTCGAAATCGAAGCGGTTTCGCGTTCTACGCCTGCCGCTAACGTGCGCAGCGAGATAAAACTCTTCAGCATTTGCATAAAGAGACGGGAAACGTGCCGAGGCGGTCTGCATTCTGATGGACAAGGGATTCGAAGTCACGAACGGGTTATTATTGCCGGAGCGCAGCGTTTCTGTCGAATCGATGCCGCACTACCATATCGACTCGCCGCACGATTTCGTTACGAGGATGTTTCAATGCCTTGATCGGTATTAAATCTCTTTTCTTTTCGCTTTACGCAAGTTGGTAGTAGGTTCTTTGAAGCTTCTATGTTTTTGCTTTTTTTCGCAGCATAACCGCAGTGTTTCTTCTTCCAGGAAGGAGATGTTACAGGAGGATTGGAATAGTTCGCCATAACGAAACAAAGAATAGCTCGCGGAGGTCTTTTGGCCTCCGGCCAGCGATTCTTGCTTCGGTCTACTTTCTGGTGCGACTATGGAAACTCGTACAACGCCGAGGCCTTTTGCCCTAGAGGCGCGTTCGCGCACTATGTTAAACAAAAAGGAGAGTCGCTACCGAGATGAAGCAGTGAACTCGCGCTCTTCTTCTTATCACGTGATAAAATGCTCGCAACAGGACCCGCCACTTGGGAATCATACTGGGTAACGTGCAACCAGACGCTTTTCGACTAATGCCTAGTGGAGTAACGGCTCTAGCGGACTTCGGTTCAGCTCGCACGCTCTTGCTGAAGGAAAACCCAGGCGAGGTTCACGGGCTGGAAGTTTGGCAAGAGATTCCCTCTGCGAAAGCGCTCGCTGGCCCGGCAAACTTTCCGTTTGCTGACCCTGCCGCACTTGGCACGTACGTTCCAAAGCTGAATCATGGAGCTGAATTGTTGGCACCAGCGGACGCTGAAAACGGTGAACCGCTGGGCGCGAAACTCACACGGCTGTGCACGCATGACGCCAAGCTTCACCCGGCCACTGACCTGTACGGGCTGGCCCTAACAGCGTTCAAACTTTTTGGGGAACTACCAAATGATCCCCTGGCCTGCGTGGGCCGGGCGCTGGCGCCGGACGAGGCGCACTTAAATGCCGACTTTCACAGGGGTCCGGCAGTCGACAATATTTTGAAGCGGATCTTGGCAGGCGAGGAAAAGGTAAAATGTTATGGCGGCCTTGCCCCGAGCGATTTCGAGTTCATGGGGCCGGAAGGTTCTAGCGCGTGGCCTGCCGGCTTTGCGATGTTGGTTCGAAGTGTGGACCGGTCGTTTCCACACAGCGGCCATGCAAGCGAATTGCAACTTCGCGAAAGCGTTGCCCGCGTGCTCAAGCCCCTGGTATTTGCGAATCCGCAAACGCGGGTTGTGCATCTCGAGGCCGGATATGATGCGAGGATGCCTGCTGCTGGGATCAAAGACGACGAGAAGGGCGCTGCGACGCGGGAATGGGATATAGAGCACAACATTGCAAAGCTGGTGAAGGCTGTCTCCGTTCGCGAAACCCATAATCTGCACACCCGGTTTGAACACATGGCGGAAGTACTGAGCCGTAAACTGCCAGAGAATCTGGATGCGCTTTTTATGGATTGGAAGACCTTCGGCGCTGCGTGGGAGAAGGAGGAGGGGGATGCGAGTAAACATTTTGGCCACACGACCATTTGGAAAAAGAAGAACACGCCCGGGGACAGCGCGCAGTCCGGACCTGTCGAGGGCTTGTTGAAGTGCGTGTCCGTAGCCCCGAAACCACAGGACGAAGGACCCCACGCACGGATCACAGAACAGACGAGCACTATGCCAGTCCATGTCGCGGATTTCGGGGCTGTAGCCTCCGAGTTTTTTATTCATTTCTTGCTCAGCGAGCGGAAGGAAAAGGATCTCTCGCCCGCCGAACACTCTTGCGTGCCGATGGTGATGCAGATCGTTGACAAGAGCTACGACGAGAAGTGCTTACTGATGGAGAAGGTCGAGCCCCTTTCACGCGATCTAGACGGTCTCCTTTTGCTGGCTGAGCCTGGCGTTCGCGTTGTTGATTTTGCTACGCGCATGGACACTTGTCTGAAGAGGCTCAGCGAGTTTCGCGTCCGACACAACAACCTCGGCCCCGACTCTCTTGGCATCCGGTGGCAGGGAGACGGGTCAAGCAAAACCCCGCAGTTTGTCCTTCTGAACTTTGACCATGCTGACGTTCTTGCGCCTGTTTCTCAGGCGGGCTCCTCCGGACCAGTTACAGCTGCGGAGGAGTGGGAAGTCGTCATCGGGGGGAACGCAAAATTTCCGCTAAAGTCGGCGTACGCCGACCAATCGCAGCGCCCGGGGATCTCGGTGGTGGTAAGAAGGAAAAGGAGAAGGCCTCTTCTGTCCCCATGCTTGTAAATATTGTGAACAGGAGTGAGTGATTGAAAGTCCGGCTGATTCATTACGAAAATCAACCTCCAGTGAGGGCACTGCGCCGCTTGGGAAGGGGGCGATGTGTAGCGAATAGACAAGAGCTGCGACGTGTATTGCTAGCGTGCATGAGGAAGCCGGGGGCGGGGCGCCTCTCTGCTTTTTCCTTTCATAAAGCATCCGCGCGGGCGGCGACGGCGGAACGGGTTCTCCACAGTGCGCAGTGCGTTCGCCACGGCTGGGGGCGGATCGATTTGGGCTGAGCATCGTATGGCAAAAATACAGAACTGTAGTCCCTTCCGGTGCAGCCTTTGGTCTGTTCTCGAGGCAAACTGAATATCGTGTGTATACCGCGGGCGCTGACTAAAAAAGGCAGATAATGTTTTTTTATTTTACGAGGGCGGATAGGCCACCCACCAAGCTATGCATACAAATTGGTGAAACTGAAAGCCAGGCTTGCCGCGTTTTCAACAACTAGCGATACTGGCACTTCCCCGCAGGTGAGGGACCAGCCGCGTTGGTAGCACCAGAGGCGCAGGGGGTATTTTTGCCTTTTACACGAGACGACGTTGGAGCTTTTCGGTTCTGGAAATGCAGCGAGGGATTCACATTTGAAGTGCGTTGTCAATCCGCTAGAAGCACCAGGGGAAGGACGAGCGCCACCTAAATGCTTTGGCAAATCTACGCCGCTTGTCCTTGCCCCGTCAGAGCCGCCTGTTTTGCCGGCAGCTCCGCCAGAGTCGCGCTGGTGCCTTTCGGCGTACGATCCTCACATCTTGTTTCATGAGAAGGAGCACGACTTGGACTTCGGCGCCAAAAAATTGGTGGAACGACTCGTAGACGAGCACCAGAAAAAGGTCGAAAATACAATAATGGAACGTAATAAAGAAGTCGACGACATTTTCGCCTTGATTCTATCCCCGCTCGTGCTACCAGACCCTGCGTGGCGGACTGCGGATGCCATCGATATAGCGGCCGGCGGCGGGAGGGATCTGGCCGCGCGCGCTGGCCTGAGCGAGGAAGAGCGTGCGTTTACACAGCAGAAGCTCAGAAATTTGCACGTCGCGGGCAGCAACGTCGCCACCCAGCAGGTCACAAATAACAACTCCAAGCTGGGCTCCTAATTGCTATTGTGCGGGACAAAGGCGCGAGCGTGTGTGCCAATTATTTACTCATTTTGCAATCGTTAATTTTTTAGTTTACACGACGATCCAGAAAGGGTTTAGATTAGGTTTCAGGGTTTAGGACGCAATTTTAGTTTACACGACGAAAGCCTGTAGCTGTATTTTGATTTTCAAAGAGTATTTGCGTTGCGCAGCGTTTATATTTTCCAGCCACAAAAATAAAAATGTAAAACGCGCATAGGCACATCTCTTTGCGGTAGATGTATTTGTTACTACTTGCATTGCGTTTGACATGTTTTCGGTCGTTTATTGTTGTACCCGGTAGAAGTCGTGCATCCCTTTTTGTTTTTCACAGTCGCCCGTTTGCAGTTTCTGTTTCGCCCAACTTGTTTGTGCGCCAAGGTCACCAGTGATTCACTTTTTCACATGCGCACACTTCCAGAACGACTCGCATTGATCTCAGCCGAAACGAACCCGACGCATTAACATTATATCTCGACAATACGCACATCATACTTAATTACTAAAGCAGCGTTTTTTTCAATACTTCATAAACACCACAACTCTGGCAGATCCTGTTTTTGTTTCACTTGATTCTGAGCAGTATCACGGCAAGCGCGGTGCCAGTTCGCTAGAGGTACTTTGCATTTCATCAGGATTCACAAAATTAATACTAGCTAAACTATTCTTCCACCCACCATAAGAAATGGTCGCCTCGTTGTTTTCTTGTCTGCCGCGAATGTGCAGCGACGTGTTCGAGCGAGCGTGCTTGTGTTGTTACAGAGTGACTCGAGAGCGAGGGTAGCGCTGTTAGTGATTGATATTTAGGACCAACATCGCGAGGCACAGCAAAAGAGATAATTTTTGGCCACGCATCCTGTCTAACGTCGAAGGTTACAGAGCGATAGTTTTGAGTGTCGTTCTTGGAGTGTGGCCGACCCAGATGTGGCTACACCACGATCACGCGGCTCGCTTTTTACAAAGCGGTTCGGGAGAGACATTTTACAAAGCCACTTCGTCAAACATCCTCTTGTGATCGACGCGTGAACTGAGTGAGGCCGAGCTGGCTTTCCGTGGTGGAAAATGAAATATAAGAAAACCATTCCACCTACTACTAGCCTTTGGGACTTCACCCCGCAGAGTGCAGAGAGGCAAGTCAACTCCTTCAAAAATGGTCGTCCGGCTTCCGGAGATAATCCAGCATGTGCTGGTATGCAAGAGAAGTTTTGAGGCACACTAAAACGTGGGTAGTTTGTCATGCTGATGCAAAATTTTGTGTTTACTTTTCACCATTTTTCATTTCCACTTATTCCGAGACAAAGCGAGAGTCGTGTGTAATGCCGGTAACGCAACTCCCGACGTGACGAGAAACACGACTACGCATGAGAAAATTAATCTAGAACGGGATGAATTTCAAAACTTTCCTTGCATACTGTGCAAATCCCACCGCGTATCCCGGTCCATTCCAGCAGTCACAAGTATGGAAGAGGAAGATATTTTTTTTCAAGAGATTTTTGCATGAATAATTTCTTCCGTAAGAACGTTGCATGGCAAGGGTCGACATCTTGCTTTTGGAAAGAGAAAATCTTCCTTATCCATACCCGCCAAGAACAAGTCAAGCCTTCCATATCAAACAGAAAAATGCTAGCACAACTACACAGTTGTGATGTACTTTTTTAGAAACAGAAATGAAAAAAAAACTACAATCTCGTATTGCGTGGCTGCAAAACGTACCATGCCATGCCCTAATGGATCTATCCATCTTGCAGGCAAGTGCGCTTTCATGATGCATCTGTACTCGCATGACAGAGCTGTTGCGCTACCAAATTTCTGCACGATATTCCAGAGCTTAGACCCGCAGAGACAGTATGGAACAGAAAAAGGAGGGAATCGGGAGTAGGCGATCCTGTGATGCAGATACAACTTCTGTAAAGCCACTACGGGGTGCTTTTGTTCCAACCAATTTGTCCTGAGAGGAAAAGCATGCTGAAAATTCTTCATTGAGTGCCGTTCTGCATCACAAATCCACACTTTTCCCTTTCCCCTCCTCCTCCCCTGCATAGATCAATGAGGCTAATCGTCGACGCGCTCGTACTGCGACTAAAGGAGCTCCTGTCAGAAGGGTATAGTTTTTTTTTTATTATGCTGTTGCCAGCATGAGAAACGTAGTTTTTCTTACCCCCTACGCATGACAAATCTACGATCAACATCGATCCACAACAGGCAATCCGTCTCAATCGATAACCTCGGCGCATTTAGTTACGATAGTGTGTAAATATTTTCTGAATCACGACCTGATTTGTGTTGCGTGTTTTGCAGGGGAGGTCGGGTTTGTCATGTAAAGCGTCGATGCCATAGCCATTCCCAGAAGACCATTGAGACACCTCCATCTCATCTGTATTGGTCCACGCAACACAAATCACTTTCGGATTCTGACATGAATTTTTTCTTCGATAAGCCCTTTGCCAGCTCATGGCACCTGTCAAGATACGGGCCGGATTTCGTCTCGAAAACACCATGCTTCGTACCACACAAAAAACTCCAGGCGGCGTGCACAAAGTACTTTTTGTTCTGTTTGACAACCTGCATGAGAGATGTGATTTGTGTTGCTTGACACCGCATGACAAAAGGGTTTTTTGAGGAACTGGAATTTGTGATGCATACAACTCATGATGAGCAATGCAAAAAATTCACAACAGTTACAAGCCAAACTCACAACGACTGGACACAGACCCACATGCGCTTTTACGACGGAAAAAGTAATTGACTGAGATTGTGCTGTAGTTTTTCGGTCTGGGGAGCATTTGTCATGACCAGGATTTGCATGAAAGCATATCATTGTTTTTGCACCGTGGCATGACAAATCATAACCGAAAAAAAGCAGCACATTGCAGCTTTCGACCTCCATAACCCACAACCGCACAGTCCGTCCCAGCAAAAATCAAGTTTTTGAATGAGGTAAGTTTTTTGTATGGGCAACTTGTCATGCGGGAAGTGCCATACTTGGTTTCCTACGATGATGCCAGTGCATGAGAAAAAATTGTCACATGCGAAAAGCGCATAACAACTTCATCAGGTGCCACTCGCCTCGGGCTGCTACTACAAGACGGACGTGGTGAAGTCAGCGGATATGAGACTCAAGAGAAAGATGCTTTGTCATGCTGTCGCGTGCAGCAAGAGAGGGCGAATTTGTCATGCAGTGAGAGCAGTACCACCATCGATAGAAAATACAAATTTACTGTGTCATGCTGTTTTGTCCAAGAGAGACTCAATTTCTCATGCACAGGCAGCATAGAAGACAAAGTTGATTTTCCTTTTCCATAAAAGTAAAGCAGTTCTTCACTGCGGTAGTGGATCTAGCGGACCGTGGTTATGGTGGAAAAATTGACGGATTTCAGGAATGTGGGTTCTTTGTGATGCTGGATTTTGCATGGCAGAGTCTAGCAGGACAGATACGGCGAATCGTGTAGTAGGTTCAGCATTACAAAAGTATGCGGCCTCCTCTACCCGTCAAAATTTTCCCACTCATACCCCATACGATATCGACCTGGATATGGACGTCGTTTGCGTATAGTTTTTTCATGAGGAACTTTGACTTTCTAATGCGAAAGCTTGCATGAGAAAGAGGCTCTGTCGTGCTGAATTCCCATCTACAAAAACATCTCAGATAAAAGTGGTGAACAAGAACGTGAAGGCGACCTTTTCAAGCGGTTTGACTATGAAAGTGAAAAGTTAAAGTACTAGCTTCGCACTAGCGATGATTTGAATCTGTGATGCTCCGGTCTGCATGACAAGACGTAACGTTTTCCTATTCTTGCATGACAGAGTGAGATATTGCGAAGTAGTCCTTTCAACTTCTCCTGCATACCGTCCGGACCGTGCAGTGAACCTAAGCGACCCTCCACCATGGCACACTCCACCAAGGGGATGAAGTATTCACTTTTTGTCATGCTGAATATGCTTGGAGAAGGCATTTTGTGATGCTTTCGTTCGCATGAACGTGACGTGATACATTGCGTCTAAAGCCATACAGTACTGTCTCAACCGCATGACAAAAATGTTCCCCCAGGTTGTCCGAGTCCTGGGCGAAGCCGGACTATTCCGCAGCCATGACCAGCTATTTGGACCGACCGAAATTTATGAAATGGCAAGTAAGAAAGTCATCTGTATTGCGGACTGTACGCATCGGAAACCCTGATTCGCTTGCATGCTACGCATGAGAACTCGCTACGAAGCCACTTTTGTTTGCAACGTGTGAAGGTGCAATACAGGACACTTTCGCTTGTCCTTCCTCTGCCATAACGTCCCGGGAAGTGCAGAACCTCCGGGTTGGCACTGCGAATCTGGGCATCATGGGTCGCGACCTAACGTCTTGTGCGTGAAGAGGATTGGATTTGAATATGGAAATTGATCACTCAGGGAGAAATTAAATTGGAGATGAAATTGTAGGTACAGCACTGTTGCGTGGTTGTATTTTTTCCTTCTCTGCCCATCGTGGGGTCCTGATCACCACTATGCGGAACTACGCGTATCAGTGCCGGAACTACAAGCATGAAAAAAAAACATTGAAACGCAGGTACTTGTATCAAGACATCACGCGGCTCAAGCTCACTCCACCGGAAGCGCTGTAACCACACCTGAACAACTCTGCTGAACTTTACTTACTGTACTTACACCGGGTGGTGCAGCAGCAGGACGACTTTCGAAGTGGGAGCTGGTTTGAGATGAAATTAAAGAAGATACTTACTCGACAAGAACTATGGATGTGTCAGGTTTGAAATCGTCAAAGTTGAAATAGTTTGTCATGCATAAAACGGATACCAGTTAGACCTACAGTTTGTAGTCGGTGCATGACAAATTTGCCCGGTCCTGGAAGCGAGTCTGTCATGCGGTTTAGGGCAAAAGAGCTGCCTTCTGTCATGCTAGTCAGCAGTCCAACTTTTGACCCTTACCAGGACTATAATCTGCCTCCCGTGCGTCCTCTGCAATAGAGCCACTCTTTGTATCGCATTTTATGCATGGCAAATCATTTCAACTTTGACGATTTCAATCCTGACACTCCCATAAGAACTAATTGGATCTCTTCCTCCAAAAGGATGCAGGTGCTGGACTAGAAGAGTTTTCACCAGCATCCGAGGCATCAACGACCAAGACTTTTTCCTCTCACCAGATAGAACTTTTCCGTGCCTTAGGTGTCTGAAGATTTCATTTTCATTTTCATATTACGGAGGAAGACTCGTCTCGAAATTAGAATTAAAGCCCAAAGTTTTGTCAATCAGAAAACCCAGAAGATTTTCTGAAAATGAAAAAATGTCGTGTAAATATTCGAGAACTTCTTCTATTCGAAATTAAAATCGTTGTTTCGTTTACAGAATTATCTATCTTTATCTTCCCTATTTTCGTTGCTAGTACCTTTTAGTACAACACACTTTTCAGAAACCTATTTACAGTAATTGTTGACCACAACCCAAAACTATCGAACTAGACTCAGATCAGGATTGTTTTTTACGACGACCCAAAAAAAAGCTTCTACCGGTCTTGTAATTAACGGTAGAAACAACAAGAATTAAACCGAGCAAGGCTATGTATGAGGCTGATATAAAAATTGACTCACAGCACTCATCGGCGGTTGAAAAGAGCAAAACAAAAGGCGACGCAACAAGATCCGCCGAGAAAAAGCAGCAGTGCGATTGAAAGAGCGGCCAAATAAATGCTTTGTATATGTGGAAAACCTGTTGTAAAGGGTCTACCTGAACTTTTGGAAATCAAATGAAAATTAACGAGCAAGGAAAAAAAACAGCACCTGCACCACTGCAATGCGCAGGGGAGATGGGAGTGCAGCAGGTTGTACAACGACACGGTAATGCAAAATATGCTGCAGATTTTTGTTCGACGGGACGGCCGTACACCGGAGAAAACGCCGAGGGTAGCAGGGCCAGTGCTAGGAGGGAGGATTGCGAGAGTGGTTTTAGCGAGAGGTCAACGTCTTCATGTCAACGTAGACAGAGTAAAAGCTGCAATAAATCAACATGCTTGTTTCAACGTAACTGTCGCGAGAAAAAGGAAAGAAGAGCAGGGGGCTTGGCTTCCCTCCGCGCTCTCTGCGCAAGAGCGTCGAGTAGGGGAATTTTCATCTGATGTAGAATTGAGAATCGAGGGCAAGGAAAAAAAATGTCATGTTCCCTCAGATGCGCGCCGCGTCTCCTTCACGCGACCGCCTTGTTCCTCCAGCTCAATTTTTCCCCGGTAGCCGGGACTGGTTTTTTCCTGAAAAGAACGAGGAAAAGTTCCAGCAGGGCGAAAAACGGGCAAAAAGCTACAGCCTTCTCGTCTCGCACAGCCCGTCCCGATCCGCCCCCCTTGCGCCACGACGCGGATGTTGTTTTCACGAACAGCCTGACGGTATGGCAGTGCACAACCCCCCTTCCCCCTCATTTGTCATGCAAAATACCCAACCCACCCTTTGCTTCTTGGCACTGTTCTTTGCATGACAAGTTCTGGCAGCCTAAATAGCATTACACTCTTGTCCAAGTTTGTCATGCAAAGCCTGTATTTTTGCTGACGCCTGTATTGCTGTTCATGCAATACAAATCAGGGGGAGGGGGAGTTGTGCATCGTTATAGACGGATGAAGTCATTGCGACACTCCCCGTGGAGATCCCGCGGGATTTTTCGCATTTCATGCAGGGACTGATGTTCCGACACGAGCTGCGGTCGGCGGAAGGAGCTGCGGTGGAAGAGGAAAAACTTGACTCTTCTTCTTCTACTTCAGAAACAGCAGATTTATCACAAATAACAAATCCTCCTGGTAAAGACGCGGGGATGATTTTCCAGTGGGAGCACGACGATAACAACAACCACGGCGCACGGGGGTTCTGGATGAAGCAGACTTTTATTGATTTGGATATTCTGTGGTGCGACTCCAAGATATGCATTGCAAATATGTCTGGGTCTGGGAACTTGTGTTGCTACAGTATGGACGAGTCTGGTGCTTTCCAGTGCAGCCGCGCATGACAAGTTTACTTCACGCCGTCTGAAGATGCGTAGCACGCATAACAAACTGCGTGGTCTTTGCATGACACAAAAGTCACTCTGCTCTGCATAGGCAAAGACCACTGCGTGGTCTTTGCAGGACAATTTACTCTGCTACGCATAGGTGTATCCACTTTTTAGGGTGTTTCTTTCGTAAGTGGGGCTGTGTCTTAGGATCTCGCTTCTCACTTTTCTACCTTTCTTTTTTCTCCCTCGGTGCTAGTTGATGGCGTTGCGCAGAACTATTTCTACTTGGGCACCCACACATCTTCCGTCGCAGCCGTCCCAGTAGATGCTGTGGATGTTCTTCGGTAGAAATCGCACTGCCCAATAAATTCCGCTAGAGTTTACCGGGTTTCTTGCCTCATCCTTGTAGCGCTAGATCGCGGATCCCGCTTCCTCGCAGGGGCAGCTGTTTTTTTTCCGTTTTGCCAGCGGACCGGTGGAGGGGTTGGGGTTGCAGCTGCGGCTGCTTGCGTGTAGATTTATTGTGGTTCGAGTTTATAGGAAAGGGCGTTTATTTTGGTATGTGGGCGTTCCTGATATTGTTATTGCCGCTCGGGCTTATCCGTATCGCTACATGTATCTCTAGCCTTTTATTGGTTTTAAAAAAAAATAACCAGGCCCTCTTTGCGATCTCCGGTGAAGAACTATAGCGCGCAATTCCTAACTTAGTCCCTGGCTCGGTCTGCTAATCCGGGTAAGTAGCAACATCGTCGTGCTTCTTCACTAAATCGCTTACTGGTGTCTGCCCGCTCGGGGAATAATTACATAAACGGCTGCCGCTTGTGGTGGTCAGAGGCGTTCGAGTCTACCTAGTCCCTAGCTGCGCGCTACTCTTTTAGTTCGTGCGGGCTCCAGGTGCTGCGATCACCGGCAGGAGCATAACAACAGCGAGCATAAGGACGTTAGATTTTCGATTGCTTTACATATACAAGACCGGTGCTTTTTGCATCGGCCCGCCGAAGCTTTGCGTGCGGGTTCAGCAGTCTTCTTTCTCGCGAAAAAGGTGAGTCTCCTGACCCTTCTGGTCGTCACCATTCCGCCGGTGTCTGTGCTCTCGGGCGCGTCACCCACCTCAGGACCTCAGGCTACTGTTTGTCGAAATAATTTACATGGGGACGCCCTGCCCTTAGCCTTCCAACATGACACAAAAGTCACGTTTTTGCTGGCTATGCAACACAGATTTTCGAGGAATGCAAAACATGCAACACAACTTCCACTCATGTTCCAGGCCCAGACATATTTGCATTTGGTACAAGAACGATTTGGTGGATTTCAAACAGGCCAAAGCCGACGACTTGAACGCGGTGACGCCGTATGAACTGCAAATTAAATGTCTGGGTCTGAAAACTTGTGATGTATGTCAGTGAACAGGAAGCGCACTGTAATGCACCGCCAAGCATGACAGATTGCCTCGTGGCTCTGTGTTGCGCATTCCGCATGAGAAAGATCGTGTTTGCATGACAGACAAGAAGAGGTCTTCGTGGCCACGCAATACAGAGCTCAGAGTCATGCCAAACTAGCATGAGAAATCTCACAACCTTCCAGACCCAGACATATTTGCAATGCATACGCCGAGTAGAAGCGCGAAATTTGTCGTGGAAGCCCGGAAGGGGTGGGCGGCGGAGAAGCTATTCGGGAGGATGTTGCGGAGTGGTGGTGGAGAAGATAGTAGAAATGATAATCCTATCAAATGTAAAAGTGTCTGGGTCTGGAAGAATGCAACTTGTGATGCTGCATTTGGATTCCAAAACAAGCTGTATTGCGTGAGCAGCAAAGGGAATGCGATTTTTGCTACGGGAGGGCATTTGTCATGCGGAATAGGCATCAAGATGCCCTTAAAACGTCTGCGATGCTTGGGCATGCATCACAGACATCACGGCTCATGCAAAACGTGCATCACAAGTCTCAGAATCTTCCAGATCCAGACATTTTTGCATCTGATAAATCCCTCGTTAGAAAACATCAAGTGCGCGATTGATTTCAAGAACGGGGAAACATCCTTGCTGGGCGGAATGATGCGGCCGCCGGGCGGGAAAGCAGACAGGGAAGTAGGAGAAAAACCGCAGCAGTTCTTCATTGCCAAAGACGACCTCCCAGCGTTCGGCGCGAGTCGGGAGGATGTGGTGCTGGCGAGGGCGAGGGGGGTGCTGGATTTTTGAATACGGAATCACGTGCACTTGAAGTTCTTCGACCGTGAAACACCAAGCGAATGCTGCCAAGACACCTACAGATTCATTTTTTCCCGGTACGCGAATGTAAAACGAATTCCAGAATTTTCTTCAGTGGCATGTACTTCCGGTCGTGGTGCTGCTGCGACCTAGAAAGATCCGGGAGTGTGTTTGTAGCTACCGGTGTTAGAAGATGATGTCACACAATCGCGTGGCGAGCTGTGTTGCGGTGTACTCGAAGACCGAGTAGTCAGCTCACTCTTTCTGCGCAATAATATCCGAGTCGTTCTCATCTTATTTCTCGCAACAATTACAGAGAGATCGAATTTGTGCAAGGAAGACGGGCAGTAGTGAGGAGCTGTTGAACAGACACATTTGTGAGCGCGTGGAAAAACGCTATAAACAGCTGCGAGAACAATAGAGGAAGCGCAGGTAAAGATATTGGAAACTAAAGCTCAAATTAAACAACAAAGAACAAATTTTCAAAATGCTGCAACTTTTGCTGCGTGCGGTGCAGACCGTCTGCGGTGCCTGTGGCCAGAAAGGCAGCAGCGCCATCACGAGCACGGACGGTTCGACATCCTCGGCAGTTTCGCAGAACACCATATCGGGTACAGCCGCGCCGATACAGAAGGATGAGGAGAGGAAAGAACAATCACCTGCTGCTGGACGACCTATTCCACCTTCCGCGGAGGCTGCGCCCGAGTTCGTGGCCCCTGGTAGCGTTGGTGCCGAGCAAGGTTCAGGGCAAGAAGAAGCTCGTGTTGCTACTCCACCGGCGCCCACTGCTGCTGCTACAGCGACAGAACCACCCTCCGCCTTCCAACTCCACGACCGGGTGAAGATCAAAGACCTCGCGAAAAAACCGGAATACAACGGAGAAGTCGGAAAAGTCATCAAGATCGTGGAAAACGAGGAAAAGGAGAAAATCCGGTACGGGGTCGAGATTTTTTCCAACAAAAAACAGCTCTCCCTCCTGGCGAAAAATTTGCAGAAAGAGGAGGGTGACGGCGCGTTGAAAATAAATGCAGGCACTGGCACTTCTATCGGGACCAGTAGCAGCAGCAGCAGCAGCGCTATTGCAGCAGGGAATAAAGTAAGAAGTAAAAAGCAAGATTTCGGTTCGGGGTTTCTGAAGAATCGCAAGCGGATTTTTGACGACAAGACCGATAATAGTAGTACTTCCACAGGTAGCACTACAAGTTCCTCCTCCTCATCGACCCAGCAACCAGTGTTGAACGATTTCCATTCGGTATCGCAAGAAAAAACTGTTTCAGTCTCAAACCTGCTTTGCAGACTCAGCATGGCACGGAAAACCTGTGATGCGTCAGTCACAAGGGAAAAGACACATGAAAGAGGACTCTCTTGCTTTTCGAGCATGACAAAAGACTGTCCCAAGGAAGTTGCGCATCACAAGTTGAGACTGAGAGAGTTTTTTCTCAGGATACTCCCTCCCGAGAGAAAAACAAGTCCAAATCCTTTTCGACCAAGCGGGCACTTTGTTTCACCAAAACGAGTTTCGGTTAGCCGTGACGGTTATCAAATGCAAATGTTGATGCCCTGCAGGTGTTTAGGTTTGCCATGCTGGTTTTGCATGACCCCGAAGGACTGACATGCAAGGCCTAGTATCACAGGTTTTAATATTGAGAAGGTGCCGCCATGTTGTTGTTCCGCACGACTACAAATTTTCTCCTTCGGAGACAAAAAATGGATTTTCTTGCTGCCCATGCATGGCAGATTTTTGCGTGATCTGACACGTCGCGCATCAGAAGTTTGCATGTTTCCAGACCCTACTGACTAAAACATATTTGCAATGCATAATCGTCTTCCAGCAGGCCTTTCAGCTGTGTGAGACCGACGAGAAATTGCAGGGCCACGCGTACCGCTACTTAGCGAACTGCAAGGAGAAGATGCGGCTTTCCTCGGATTGCAAGGAAGCGCTGGAGGACTTGAAACAAGCTTTGCGCATAGCCCACCTGCACAGCGACTTCGTCGGTACGTTCGACTGCTTGACCGCGTTTGGCTCCTGTTACATGTCGTTGGACGACAGAGACGCCGCGGAAATTCACTACCGGCAAGCGCTGGAGTTGAGTAAACGGGAGCTGGAGGGGTTGGACTGGCAGTTTGAAGCTAGAGCGCTGGTGAATCTAGGTAGAACGATACTGCTCTTCTTGTACGTCCTGCAAATGTGCATGACAAGAAAGACAAAGCAATTTCGATCGCTTGCTGTACATGGCAAACGCTAACAATCCTTAAAACCCACCCAATGCACTCACCAAAGGTATTTCCTTACGGCGTGACGCGGACGAAAGCGGGGTTTCCGAATACGAACGGTACGAAAACAGCCTGACGCCGACGTATTGAGGGGAAAAATCCCCCTTCCCCATATCGAAACGAAGTTTCTGATGCTGGGTTTGCGTACACAAGTCTTGCAGAAAGTGCTTGGCTGCGTTGTCTGAGCCTGTTTGGGTATGCAGAAGGCTAGCAAGTGCGCATGGCAAACAGGTTCGCAGTAGTCGAAAGCGCATGACAGATATGCTCCGGAATGCGTCAAATGGCTCCTATAACCCTATATGCAAGACAAAGACGATTCGTGGCCACAAATCAGCTTCACAAATTTCCGTGTTGGTATGGGGAGGGGGGATTTTTCATTTTGATACGACGGAACTCTATTTCAGCCAGGCGGTCGAGATTTGGGAAGCGAAGGGACATGAATTGTTCCAGCAAGTAGCTCGTTCTTCTACGGAGAGTAACGCAGCGGGAAGTAGTGCAGTAGCTAGTACAAAAATCGAGGACACCGCGGATCAACATATTACCAGGGGACCAAGAACAACACCCGACGCCGGTCCGGCTACAACTGTAGCCACCAGCATCAACTCCTACATCGTTCTATCAAACAAAAAAGTGTTAACGTGATGAACGGGTTTCACAGATGGCAGTCGTGCATTACAAATTTCGCTTCCCTTGCATGCTACGCAATACAAATTTGGGCACCTTTTCTGATGCATTACTGCATCACAAATTCCGTTTACGTTAACACTTTTTTCTGTGATGCGTTCTCCTCACAAACTTCGCATCCACTCACCTCGGCCGCGCGATATGGATTGCAAATACGTCTGGGTCTGGAACTGGAAGAGTACAAACTTGCGATGCGCATTTCAGAACACAGAAAAACCTCTCATGCATAGGTAGCAAATGCTGCCCACTTTCTGTCACCAAAAAGGGGGGATTTGTCATGCGGATTCGGCATTGCGGAAGCTTTTCGAAACCTGTGATGCTAGAGCTGCCATGCCAGGCCTTGCGTGTCATGCAAAAACAGCATGACTCTTTCAGACCCAGACACTTTTGCACTTGATAGGCGAGTTACGAAGACGAAAAACAACAACCGGATGAGGCGAAGCTGCTGCACCATTTGCAAAAGGCGAAGCAGTTACTGAGTACCGGGCTGGCGTATTGTGAGCAGCAAAACAACTATCCAACAAAAAAACTGTCTTAGTGTAACTATCTTGGGCTGACAGCATCACAAATTTGCTCTACATGACAGAGAAAACCTGTCATGCGTGGCTTGTAAGGGAAAACACACAGGAAAAGAGAACTTCATGTCTGTCTGGCATGACAGGTGTAACTCTGTTGCGTGTTCTGCATTACAGATTTACACTTACACAGTTTTTTTCTTGCATAACAACCTGCGGCTGGCGAAGGTGATCAAGTTGAATTTGAACAACAGCCGGGAACTATCAAATGCAAAAGTGTCTGGGTCTGGAAGATTTCTAGATTTGTCATGCATATTTTCCATGAGCCATGACGTCTGTAATACATGCCGTAGCATCACAGATTTTTAGAGGGCTTTGTGATACCTCTACCGCATGAGACATGCCCTCTTCGCGTAGGACAAACCCGACACCTCTTGCTGGTCATGCAACACAAGTTTTTTTAGAATCCACAGACAGCATCACAAGTTGTGACCTTCCAGACCCAGACATTTTTACAGTTGATAGGAACTTTTTGCAAAATTGGAGGCGTGGGAGGAAGCGCAAGGAGAAGCAGTAACGGCGGTGGAACCTTCGTCTGCTTCTACCTCATCAGCCGATGTTGGGGGAGTTCCACGAGGCGCTGCAACTATGGAATAGAAATTGCGCACAGTGTAGTCCTGTAGTGTAGGAGACTTATCACGATTTGTATAGTGTATTTGTGCGATATCGATGAGATTGATCATTTCCCTTAGCCTGCATGACCCTCAAAGTGGTGGATCTTCAGGGTTATTTTTGTACACGTTTGTTTCAGCAGCTTCCCACCGAGAGGAAAGCAAATCGTGATGGGGCTGCTCACTTGACGCTTTTCGTGCTGATAAAAGATCCTGACCCGCAAATCGTCTCGTCGGGGACGCAGAGCCAGAAAGGCCGGAACTCTTCCGGTACCAGCGGCGGGGGTGGGGACGGATTGCTGCCAGTTGTTCCGGGATTTGTTCCACAGGATAATTTTTCTCCGGGCAGCGGGGCGAGGACACAACCTCGTGCAGAACCGCCCGTTGCCGCAGCGAAACCCGAATGCCCGATCTGTTTCGACGAAATAGAGGAAAAACCTGAAGAAAAGGATCTCTACCCAATCGAGCTGATGTGCGGGCACTCGTTCCACCAGGGGTGTATCAAATGCAAACATGTTGTCTGGGTCTGGAAACTTGTGATGCTAAAATGTGGATGATGGAAACACTTCCGGTTGCAGCCCAGCATACAACTTTCCGGAAGACTTTCTCGTAGGCAGTTCGCATGAGAAACTGCCTGTTTGCATGACAAAGATGGCTGCGGCTTTTGTCGGTTATGCAATACAGATTTCCCAGGAATGTTGAGCTAGCATTACAAGTTCCAGCTTCCCAGACCCAGACACATTTGCATTTCATAGGGTGTTTGAAAGAGCACTTGAAAACCTCGAGTTCCTGCCCCGTCTGCAGGGACCCGCTCGGGTGGATGGGATAAAGGAAGGGATGTATGGATAACGGTCGCGCGCCGCCCGGTGGTTGTGCGGGGAAGAATTTATGAATTTTTGAACAAGCGATCATTCTCATTTGCAACTTTGATGTGCTCGAAAATAAGTTGTACGCAAAAAATGAACACTGTGTGATGAGGAGCTAGCGTTCATCAGCTTCACTCGTCCAAAAACCGTTCTTGCTACTAGCCTTTTTTGAGGCAGGTCCACCTCACGAAGAAAGACAAAAACCCAAATTTAATGAATCCCAGAAACGACCGTTCTGGAAGGCACGAGAATAAACGCGTTGCTTTTTTTTGAACGTTTGAAAGGACAGCACTAGATCGTTCGCCGCAGTAGAGTTCGCTATATTTTCTAGAGCAGCTGCACGCGGCCGTCCTCCTCGGGGGTCGTCGTGTATTTTGCTGAAACATCAAGCCTTTATCGTTTAAAATTGTTGGTCGTGGCCCTGTCAGGATTGCTAGGATTATCGGTTGCTTTACTGTCTTACCACAGTAGAAAATGTCTGCTGATGGTGTAGCCTCGGTTTTTTTTCCCTGCGAATTCTAGTATCGGTGTAGCAGCAATGTGCAGAGCTTCGTGATTGCAAAGAACGACGACGAGAGTCTTACAACAAAAAATAAGCAGTGCCGAGCTTATAATTTCACCACGTACAACAAGAAACAGGCTTCGGTATTAATTCGTTCTTTTCCTTTTCGGCCTTGAGAACAAAACTGCACAAGAAACCAGCTGTCGGTTCGTTCTTTCCTGCCATGACATCAAAAATATTTTCGGTACGTTCTTTTCCTGATACTGTCGTAGCGTGCATAAGGAGCATTAATTCTCGCCCGACGAGGTGGACTTATCGTTCTCACTTTTACTACTGCTCGCAGTCTAGCATGACAGGTTTTTTCTTTTCATGTTCACCGTTCTCGTGCTCGATTTTGTACACCATCAAAACAGCGACGGCTTGCAATCATCATCGAACCCCTTTGCAAAATTCTTTATATATACATCGAGAAAAGCTTCCACCCCAACTAGAATACGCATATTATAGCAACGAGACGCTACTTCTTTTCAAACATTTTCCACGCTTATTTTCATCTTTACAACACCAATTTTGTGTACGTAAATCATAATTAAGTACTACTAAATTTTTTATCACCGAAAATTCGAGCTGCCTATTAGCAAAAAAGTCAAGAAGGTCAACACCCCCGAAACTAACCTCTAATCTGTTCACAATTTTATTTCCGTACGATACGCAAAATATCAAAACATCGAGAAAGGTCGAGATCTCCACTTTTACTTTCCCCCAGCACGATATTAAAACAGATCCGAGAATTATTCTTTCATATTACCAGTAGACTCCCCCTAAACAAAAAAATTACAAGAGCTCTCTTTTTCACACGACACTGCTGCCCGCTAGCGCTAGACGAGCAGATCCACAGCCTGAGGGCAGTAGGTCGTGTGACCTTCACAAAAATCTTCAATAAAGCGGGGAGGTTGTAGTAGGAGATCTTCTCCAAAGATCAGCTTCAGCATAAAGTTCGCACATAGAACAACTTTCGCAAATTCTACACTGCTAGTTGTACTCCGCGCGAGGACATCAGGCACCTGGAAACAGCACACAACTCGGAGGTAGTAACAACATCGCATAGTAATCAAAAATCGGAACAAAATTTTGTAAATCGAAATCGAATTCGAGGATCCACCATAGGCTCTTGAGGTGGCACAGACGGATCACAGACCAAGACAAAAAATCAATTTTCCCTACTGAAGAATCCGTGCGGCGTGCTGGTGAATTTTTGCAGACTGTGAAATAGTAGCTCTTTTACGAAACTGCATGAGTTAAATTTTTGTAAGTGCCTGACAAGCTGCAGCTGCTCAGAGTCACGGATCCACTTCCATAGAAATCATTTTCAACGAAGAGAAAAAAACACTTTTGCTCGAGCAAATTTTTTGTCTGAACACTAGTTGTAGCGAAGAACAAACTTTTGTGGTCCTCCGGAAGACCATTTGCAACACGACACGACAATCGGCCAAAAAAAAAACCACAGGTTCTTAATAATTGGATGTGCTTACAACTATTGGCAGAAGAATTTTTTGTCACAGTATAGGAGAATCGGATTGTGATAGATACTGCAACTTCTTTTACAAGATACGGCACCTAGTAGTAGTATTTCGCTGCTTCCCGCCGTATAAAAAGCAAGTAGTACTCTTACTTTAATTCCTATTTTTGTCAAATTCTTCAACCCAGTACTTAGTAGAGTTGTGTCCATTTGGGAGGTCATTAAGAATCCTTATTGTTTAGCCGCTATTTATTCAGCATCACTTTCGACAAAAGTTTACCCACAAACTTGTTAGAGCTTCAAAAAACTGCACTGAAAAGGTAAATACAACTCTCTACAGCAGACTTGTTTTTTTTCTGCGGACGAGCACAGTTTCGAGAATCAATTTCCACAAACTTTTCAAAACCAAGGCTGTTGTATTAGACAAGAAAAATCACATTATCGCGCCGCAGTAATTCTACTTCTAGACTCGGAGGAGTTTTTTACCATCTTCACAAGCGCAGTGGTTTTTAAAAGCAAGAAAGTAGACGCAGATTTACAATCTCAAAATCGAAGATTTTTAAGACATTCGCGACTAAGAAGAAGCAAGAACTTTTCATCCGTCTACTTTACTACCACTTTCGATCCATCTCCTGCATCTTGAGTGGTAAGTATCGATGTTGAAACATCAACAAACGACAAGATTTCAACGTCCTTTATTATTTTCGAGTATTTATAATTTTCACCAGTATTATTTATCTCAGACAGAGCCGGTTAGAAGAAGACGAATTGTTGCTATTAGGAATTACAGGCTCTAGTACAACTGGGCGGTAGTTGTATTCTTGGCTACAGCGAGCTAGAACAAGCATTACTACTACACACAAGTTACAACAACTTTTACAACTTTCAAAAAAAGAAAATACAACTTTTACAACAAGTCCTAAAACTCGTGTTCGAAATAAGTCATCGGAGCAGGTTTTCTTGAGAACCTCCATCAGCTCCAGACATTACTTAACTTCATTGTACAATTTGTTTAAATCCTTCTTTTCTAAAAACTTGGCAAAAATGTTGCTGTACCAGCAACAGGACGAGAATTCGCCGGCTTCCGTATGAAGTGCAAATATGTCGGGATCTGGGAGATAATTGCGAGACTTGTCATGCTAGTGCGGCATGACTCTGAACTCTGTCTTGCGTGCCCGCGAAGAGGTCCTCTTGTCTGTCATGCAAAAGCGCAGTTTGTCATGCGGAGCGCGCAACTCTGAACCACAGAAAAACTTGTCATGCTGTGTAGCGCATTACAGTGCTGTGCTCACCATTCCCTTCTTTGCATCACAGGTTTCCAGACCCAGACATTTTTACACTTGATATTCCGCGGCCAAAAACAACAACAAGCAGCCGCGGTCATCCGACAAGAAGGAGAAACAGCAAAAATACCGCGAGCAGTTTGAGCAAGTCGACCGCACGAATGACCACGTGGACCGGTACTACCCGGGGATCAACATGTACCCCGGAAGCGGAGTTGGAGGTGCAGCAACCGGACATCAACAACCGGACACCACGCCGAAGACCCAGGCGCCGACGTCCCCGGCGGGAACGCACCAGTCCGAAAACTCTGCGTCTCCGTATCACCCGCGCATTAAGTGTTACAATATCTTAGACGTTGCACTAGAATATGGAAATGATCTGTGATGCAAGAAGTGCATGATCTAGCCTATAATTCCCGCAGGATTTTGTGCATGACAAGTTCTCCTGGAGCTGGAGTCCAAACCGCACTAGAATTGTGTGGCGAATAAAGTTGTATTGCAAAAAGCGGAGGGCTCTGTCTGTCTCTCATGCTGATCATGCAACACAAGTGGAGATTGTAACATCTGAGCACGTCATATGCCGCACCCCCGCGGCGGGCGTTCCGCGTCCATGCGCGCGAACCGGCCGAACCCCCCGGGGCTGGGCAGCAACGGGCCGAGCGAGGTTGGGGCACTGAACGAGTACGGCGAGCCCACTTCCGCGCCCGCCGGGTTTGCGCAGGTCGGCGGGGTCACCAGTCCGCAGCTGAACCCCCGGGCCTCCGGGCTGTTATCCCCAACTATGGGACCGGTGCGGAAGGGCGGCAACTCCTTTCACATGGGCTCGTTCCAGACCCCGCCGGGCCGCATGTCCGCGCGGTTGTCCGGCCGCGAGTCGTACTTGTCCTCCCCCGGAGGGGGAACCACACCGAACCATCTTCGTGCCTACACCCCTTCGTCCCGTCGCTCCTCGATCCGGCATTCCCGCCGGTCCCTGGAGCAATTGTCCTTCCAGGAAATCGAGGAGATGAGCGACGACAAGGCGTCGCAGTACCAGGCGCGCGTTGCCATGCGGTTTTATTTGCAGAAGTGCATATGAATTGCAAATATGTCTGGGTCTGGAAACTTGTGATGCAAGTCCGTCAATAACAAATGCACTGTAATGCGCCGCCAAGCATGACAAGTTGCTTCGTGCTTCTGTGCTGCGTATTCCGCATGAGAAACTGCGTTTTTGCATGACAGGCGAGAGAGGCTGTTTGTGGCCACGCAATACAGATTTAAGGGCCATGCCAGATCAGCATGACAAATCTCGCAACCTTCCAGACCCAGACATTTTTGCATTTGATAGTGCACCGCGAACGACTTGTCCGAGGAAGAACTGATCGACCGGGTGAAGCTGTGCCAGAAACTGGACGCGGAGATCCGCACGGCCTGGATCCACTACACCACGTCCGAGGCCCGCGGGGTCCGGGATCCGCAGAAACACGACCGAGAATTTCTCATGAACTTCATCTGCGGTTTGCAGGACGGCACCATGGAAAAGTACCGGAAGATGCGGAACCCCCACCGGGGGCAGACCGCGAACGAGGTGTTCGTCGGCGGGATCGGCGTGATCGCCCCCGAGGCGGTGGAGGCGTACTTTCGCCGGTTCGGGCCGTTGCGCTACGTGGACGTCAAAAAGGACAAGGGGTTCGGGTTTGTCAAGTTCGACAACAAGGACATCATGGCGGTGGTATAATTTTTTAACTTTTTTTTCGTGGAGGATGATGAAAATGATAAATCTGTGTTGCTGTTGCGCAGATTAGTTGTACTAACCCCGTCAGTTGTTCTTGGTTAAATCATTCATTAGTCCCACCCGATAAAAGCATATCTCATACTACAAATGCAAATTGTTCAACATTAGAAGTGCCACGAAAAAATAATTGTTCGAAAAAAACACCACGTTGACGTTGACCCTATCTACCTTTTCCAGGCTCTGTCCCAGAAGGAGCACATCATCGATATCCCACAGAAAAAAGCTGGCAGGGCAGATTTGTAATGCAAAGATAAATACACAGAAAGATCTGTCGTGGGCGGCCTCATAGAATGCTATTTAGGACACGCAATACAAATTTTTTGTCTATTTATTTTTGCATTACAAATACCAGCCATGCCCCGGCTGACGCCGGGGCGCAAGGCTGTTGGGGCGGGGCAGGACTATTTGCGGATCGGGCCACAATGCCACAGGCCTGATATGCATAAATTAAACATACTGGAGTCCTGCCGCCTGTTTGCGCGGCGCCAACCCGCAGGACCACTTGCGCGCTTCCCGCGCCTGTGGGCGCTCTGCGCAGGGAGCAACTGCAAAGGACACCGGGGGCGAACAGAAGCCGCCCGGCGCGGGAGGGTGGCGCGAGAGGGTTGCGCGAGAGGGTGCGCGAGAGGGTGGCGCGAGAAGGTGCGCGAAAGGGTTCGGGCCAGCCAGCCTATGCATGAAAAGGCCACAAAAGAATCAGCCTCGTGCCGGGCGGATTCAGGTTTTTCTACCCCTCTCGCGCGCCCTCTTTTTGACCTCTCCCGAGAGGTGTTGCTAATAATCCGGCTATACTCGCCAGCAGAGGTCTACAGAGGTGGCCGAGAGGTGGCCCAGAGGGTGCGCGAGAGGTTCGCCCTTATTCGCGCAACCTCTCGGCACCTCTGTCCCCCTCTCGCTTACCCTCTCCCGACCCTCTCGGCCACCTCCGTCCCCCATAGGCGCGGCTTTAGGGCGAGTCCTTCGGCGGGCTATACTCGCGCACCCTCTCGGCCACCCTCTCGAATGACCTCCCGCGCCACCTCTCCACCTCTGTCGACCTCTTTTTGACCTCTGTTGACCTCTTTTTTACCTCTCGGCCACCTCCCTTCGACCCTCTGTAGACCTCTTTTTTCGCATGAATATAATAGATAATGACCTGCCAGCTTTTTTCTGTGTGATAATCGAGGGCAAGCGCGTGGAGATCAAGCCGGCCGAGAACCGGGCCCCGAACAAGGAAGTGGCTGTATCCTGAGTAAAAACATCCCCACACCAGAGTTGTCATGCAAATCTGCATCGCAAAAAAGTTTCTCATGCGGAGCCCCAGGAGAAGCATTTTCTAGTCGTGTTTTGCAATTTGTGATGCTAGAATCAGCATGATATGCTAGATCTGTGATGCTGCTCAACTACTGAAACAGGATTGCACTACAAGGACAAATCTGTCATGCGAAGCACCCAAAGCTGGTTGATTTGTATAGCAGATTTCCCATCTCGACTCTGGTATGGGGACGTTTTTACACAGGATAGGCTGCAAAGTGGACCTTGAACCCGCCGACCATTCACGAGATCGGCACAAACAGTGGCACGACGGGAGCTGGTGCAGACGAAGCTTCTAAACCGACTGGGGACAATGAGACGACCACGCCGAAATCGACGTCTGCGCCGGACCCGAATCTGACCGACAAGCAAAACGAAATCAAGCAGAAATACAAAAACGCGGGGACCTACAGCATCAAGAACGGCCTGCTCTCCCTCCCGCTGCCGGACGTGGTCGCGCACGCGCCCGAGGGCAAGATGAGTTTTCTGGTCGACCCGGAGGAGCAGAACCCGAAAAAGTACGGCATCACGGAGCAGATCCTGCTGAAGCCCTACAAGGGCGGAAACAACGACAAAGGTGCTGGGAAGAACGGAAAGAAGGGAAAGGGCAAATACGGGTCCTCGAATGGAGCTGCGGGAGGAGACCACTACTACAACTCCTACGGGGCCGCGGGAGGTCCCCGTGGCGGAAAAAACGCGCCGCTGCAGCGGGTCGGGGGCACCGGGCAGGACGGGTATTACCAAGTGCAACGCGAGTACAGCAAGGAGAGCTACGACAGCTATTACTCCGGCTACTCCAGCAACCACCCGGCCGCGAACCAGCCTCCGACCTACTTCGGCGCGGCGCCGCAGGACCACCACCAATACAACGCGCACTACAATTCGCACCCGCGAGGACCACGTGGCCCGCCGCCGCAGCACCAGCCGCCGCCGTATCCCTCCTACTTGCCGGCGCAGCAGCAGCAGCCGATGGGGGTCTCTCAGAAGGGCGGGTACGCGCTGACGCAGCAGATTGTGGACGCCAACAGCAGTTTCCCGGGCACGCCCTACAGTTCGAAGGGTACCGCTAGCCCGCTGTACGCAGACCAGCAACAGCACCTGTACCACTCGAACCCGCAGTATGGATGTGTCAGGATTGAAACCGACAAAGTTGAAATAACTTGTCATGCATAAAACGGATGAAAGTTGTGACCCAGATTTCAAGTGGTGCATGACAAATTTGGGTAGAGCTGAAATCCAGTTTGTCATGCTGTTTGGGTAAGGAGGACGCCTTTTGTCATGCTACTTTAGCAGCTCTATTTCTACCCCTCAACAGGCTTACACTCTGCCTCCCTTGCGTACTCTGCAAGACAGGCACTTTGTGGGTTGCATTTTATGCATCACAAACTAGCTCAACTTTGACGATTTCAATCCTGACGCTTCCATACGCAGACTCCGCAGCACGTGCCTGCGCCGCACCCGGCGTACCAGCAGGCGGTGTCGACCGGGCACGTATGGATTGCAAAAATGTCTGGGTCTGGAAGATTACAACTTGTAATGGTAAATTTGAAGCATGCAAAAATCTGTGTTGCATGAGTGCCAAAAGCTGTCCACTTTTGACCACGTTGGAAGGGAGTTTCTCATGCAGGACAGGCATGGCAGAGACCTCGCGCAATCTGTCACGCTAAGTCCTGCATTCCAGACCTCAGGGGTCATGAAAAATCTGCATGACAAGTCTAAACTTTTCCAGACCCAGACATTTTTGCACTTCATAGCACGTTCCGCCGGGCTACCAGATGGTCATGATGCCGGTGAACCAGCTGCAAAACATGCCGGGCTACCAGTTGCTTCCCTTGAACAACCCGAACGACTATCACGACTTATCAAGTGCAAAAATGGCCGGGTCTGGAAGAAAGCAAGATTTGTCATGCAGATTTCTCATGACCCATCATGCCTGTAATGCATGACCCAGCATCGCAGACTTTCAGACGTCTTCCTGATGCACCCTCCGCATGAGAAATGCCCTGTCCGTGTAGCACAAACTGCACCCCTCTTGCTGGTCATGCAGCAATACAAATTTTTTTAGAGTGCAAAAACAGCATGACAAGTTGCAATCTTCCAGACCCAGACATTTTTGCAGTTGATACGACTCCGAGTACCGCGATTCCCTCGTCATGCCGGATTACGCCGCACAGCAGCCCGCCGGGCATGCCGAGGTATGGAGTTGTGTGTGATGTTTTCAACGAACGTTGTTTTGCATGACAAAGGACTGGCGTCTCATCGATTTTTGCGCAGCATGACAAGTTGATAATCTGGTTCCAATACACACGACCATGCTGGTTCGTCGTGGACGATTTGCATGATCAGCATTACAAATTCTTCCAAAATTTATTTGTCAACAACTACACAGGACTACTGGCAGCCGCGTTCCGCCGCGCAGACGGCCGGGTACTACTCGCCGGCCTCCTCGGCGCCGCGCCGTTTCCCGGCCTCCGCGCAGCCCCGGGGTGGAAATGGCAACGTGCGCTTGCAGTGATAAAAAACCTGCTTCGAAGAAGAAGAAGTCTGAGCAGGACTTGTTTTACTGCGAACAAGGAAATTATTACTTGATTTTCAATAACAGCTGCTGGTCGACGTTCTAAATGAATTTTGGAAAAAAGTCCGTCTACGAAGAAGAAGAAGTTGAAAATCGACGGTAATAAATTGCTACTTAGAGGACTATTGGGTAAAAATATATCCCAGCGGGCGCTACAGAGGTTGCAGTGATGCCCTATTGTCCTCCATTTAGAAAAACAAAAAGGTAGAAAAGATGCAGCACGATTGTAGCACACCAAGAACATTTTGCGCATAAAAATCTATATGCTGTAGTAGAATTACAATTATCTGTCCAAAGGAGTCGTTGTATGTTGGTTTGCAAAGACGAAGTAGGTCTAATTTACTGTTCGGTACTAAATAAAACGGGGTAAATACATCAAGAAAGCGTTTACTTGTTTTCCGCTGCTTTATTCGACAACGGAGACGGACGACCCTCGCTCAGACATGAATGTGAAAGCGGGCGGGGTCGGCGTCGAGAAATCAATTGTATGAACCGTGAAGACAAGGACAAGGACAAGTCGAAGAAAATATAGTGCGCGGAGGAAAAATAATGACATACTGCAGGACTTCAACAGGATTGATGTATAGGGCCCTGTGCTACTTCTTCTAAAAGCTGACAACTCTGAATAACTTTTTTGCCTCGAAACAGCTTCATAGTCGAAGATGAGGTTCATCTGCACTACAAGTTTTCAAGAGTTATGCGGCCGATATTTAGAGAAAGATGAAAGCCGCTATTTGTTTTTTCTTCCCAATACTTGTCTCAGCAAATTACGATTATACGGATATTAGGGCACATTCGATTTAAGTAGGTCAGGCACGACGAGAGTTACTAGTGGAGTATACGACAGGAACAGATTTTTCTCGCAGCTAGTACCGGTTTTATTCATTACTCGAAGGCGTGACTGTTCAGAGTAAGAGAGGAGAACAAGAAAAGTAAGTTGTTAGGCATACTCTATTCTTCCAGATATTTTCAACCCGCGTAGATCTGCAGAAGACTCAATAGGCGGTTTACCATTGCTAAACTCCTCAAGCTAAACTCCGATCTTTTTCTTCAGATGGAATCCTCAATTGATAGTAAGTGGCTTCAAGAAAAAGTTCGTGAGACAACTGCAATTATACGGGGTAGAAGCAGAACACGAAGAGAACAACATAAACATAAACACTACAGCTACAACAGCTATGCACAGATCAAAGACAAATCACATGAACAAGGCAACTGGACCTTCATAGGCTGCTTAAAGTAGCCGGTGTGTCGCCGTAAGTAGGTAGTCGCCTTCGAAAGAGGAAGTATTATTCTCTCTACTAGCATGTCTTTTTGCGTTTGCTATTGTACAACAACTTCCGAAGTATTCTAGTTTTACCAACAGATGACTTGTTTTACACAACAACTTTACAACTTAAAATCGTCAGAGATGAACTCAAGTTCTACTTACACCTCCCTGGCTATGAATTTTTTCGACAAGAAAGGCTTAAAAAAAAAAAAGTAAATTCTGCTAGTTTCGGTGTGAGTACTAGCGGATCGAACGAGATTTACTTATTTCTCAGTAGGAGTTAATTTCTGCTGTACTTTTCACCGCAGTAGTGGAATGTGAAGGTGAAGAGTATCGAGAACCGAAGAACCCCAATAAGAAGTACTATCCCGATTTTGAAAACATGAACTTGAACCCCCCCCACAAAAAGCAGTAGTGTAGTACGAGAAAATCAAGAACGCAGGAGACACACTCTGCAGCAGCAGCAGCTACCGGAGGTGCTTGCACTTATTGTTCGTGGGTCGTGCAGTCTGACTGCGACGAAGCCTGCATTTTTTGTTCGCTGGATGATTCTCTTCTCCAACCGCATCCCTTCTGTCGTTCTTTTTTGCCGCCTGTGTAGCCGCTCGAGAGCCCCTTAGCTGCGCCTGCGTTGAGCAGCCCGCTGGTAGTACTACACAGTAGTATGTTGAAATCTGTAATAAAGCAGAAGTGACAAAAAGTGATAGCGAAGGTGCAGGCATGTTGTAGCGAGAAAGAGAAGTAGAGAACATCAAGCAGGAAGACGAGGCAGTAGATGCATTGGCATGATGGTGATATTCTCACGTCACAATGAAAATCTGACAGAAGGCAAGATCAGATGGACTTCATCTTTTAATACAGGACCACAAACAAGATCGCCCGATCCAAAAGATTGTTTTATCCAAAGAACAACCCTTTGGAGCGATTTAGGTACTTATTGTCTGACCTCCTCCGACGTGCTTCGATGCAATTATCAGCGTTCTATAATATTCTGGATTGGACGAGCAACGGTTCAGCAGGTTTTTAGTAGGTTTCGAAAAAAGGTTTTTTTTGTCGGACGAGCGGTTAGTAGTAGAATCACTAGCAGTAGGCGTATTTTCACAACAGGAGTCCGCGGTACGAAAGAACGAGAAGTACTACTAGCGCACACAGCCCGACCCCGCACACGGGGGCTCCGCATTAAGAGTACCAGCCATGCCCCGGCTGACGCCGGGGCACAAGGCTGTTGGGGCGGGGCAGGACTATTTGCGGATCGGGCCACAATGCCACAGGCCTAATATGCATAAATGAAACATACTGGAGTCCTGCCGCCTGTTTGCGCGGCGCCAACCCGCAGGACCACTTGCGCGCTTCCCGCGCCTGTGGGCGCTCTGCGCAGGGAGCAGCTGCAAAGGACACCGGGGGCGAACAGAAGCCGCCCGGCGCGGGAGGGTGGCGCGAGAGGGTTGCGCGAGAGGGTGCGCGAGAGGTTGGCGCGAGAGGGTGCGCGAAAGGGTTCGGGCCAGCCTATGCATGAAAAGGCCACAAAAGAATCAGCCTCGTACCGGGCGGATTCGGGTTTTTCTACCCCTCTCGCACGCCCTCTTTTTGACCTCTCCCGAGAGGTGTTGCTAATAATCCGGCTATACTCGCCAGCAGAGGTCTACAGAGGTGGCCGAGAGGTGGCCCAGAGGGTGCGCGAGAGGTTCGCCCTTATTCGCGCAACCTCTCGGCACCTCTGTCCCCCTCTCGCTTACCCTCTCCCGACCCTCTCGGCCACCTCCGTCCCCCATAGGCGCGGCTTTAGGGCGAGTCCTTCGGCGGGCTATACTCGCGCACCCTCTCGGCCACCCTCTCGAATGACCTCCCGCGCCACCTCTCCACCTCTGTCGACCTCTTTTTGACCTCTGTTGACCTCTTTTTTACCTCTCGGCCACCTCCCTTCGACCCTCTGTAGACCTCTTTTTTCGCATGAATATAATAGATAGTAATTCCTTTTCGCTAAGCCGGGGACTTCACCCCCGAAACTTCACTAAAGCGCTCAGTCAGTGCCTCGTCCGAACAGAACTAGGAATTGGTTATCAGCTCTCATCCCGGGATCATTTGTTCCCCCCCGAGCCGCTGCGCGGCAGCAAACTTACTGACTTCTTGTTGTAAATAAAAGTAAAGTTCTTTTCTTCGTTTTATTGTGTTGAAAACCAAAATTTTCATATCGGGAAGGAGAATTGTCCTTCCGCTTTTAATATTTTCATATCTCGAAGACAACAACCAAGATCAACTTCTCCTTACCAAAACACATTGTTCCGCCCGCTCCTAATCCCAAGGACTACTACAACAAACAAACTCCCCCCTCTCTCTGTAGCAAAAATGACGACCGTGGCACGTAAACGGCTGCTGCGCGACTTGAAAAAGTTGCAAGCGGACCCACCGTCGGGGATTTCCGCCGCGCCAATAGAGGACGACATTATGCAGTGGACGGCGGTCATCTTCGGGCCAGAAGACACACCCTGGGACGGCGGGGCGTTTCAGCTCAATGTCACGTTCAATGAGGAATTCCCGACGAAACCACCACATGTATAGAATTGATGATATGATGAAAGTTTTTTTTCCCGGACTATTGCAGTAGAGACACATGATTGCCACACTGATAACGCATGATGTGTATCTTCAAATCATAAACCGATAAATATCGGCAGACACGACTAGATGCACAACTACATGAGGACAAGTTTGTTGTCATGCGTAGCACAGAAAAGTGAAAATCAAATTTAAAAAATTTGAAAACAAAACAGATCCGGTTTGTTACGAAGATGTTTCATCCCAACATATACACGAACGGCGAGATATGTCTGGACATATTACAGAACCAGTGGAGCCCGATTTACGACATCAGCGCAATCTTGACCTCAATACAAAGTATTCTCACTTCTTTATCCGAGAAAAAGTTGTTGATGTTTTTGTTGATAAGTCTGTGATGCCGAGCAAAAAATAATAGGGTAGTTGTGGAGTCTGTCATGCGCGTAGTTTTAGTGTCTTTTAGTGCAAAAATTATGCGATTTCATTTTCTAAATATCCACCTTCCTTCTCCAGGTCTGCTGACCGACCCGAACCCCAATTCGCCGGCTAACAGCGAAGCGGCGCAACTGTGGAACGAAAATCGACGAGAGTACAACAGAAGGGTAGCCGCGGTGGTAGAAGAGTCAATAAACGCAGAAATAAGCGACGACGATGACGAGGAGGAAGCGGGATAGAGAAGAAAAGCGGCGGCTACTTGATGTTTCCCGTCCCAGAGTTTAATATTCCTCGAGCTTGTTTTTTCCCATGACGATGACCACCCCGTCCGGTGAGGATGCGCAAGATCATCTACTCGTTCACGGTTTGGAAAAATGTGGATAGAGCATCACCTTCAGCATACTACAGTGCGACAACTTCGAGTGGTTTTGTTCATTCTTGTGACCACTACACCACCAGCAAATGAAAGTAGGAGATCTACAGTGTGCTGCCGTGTGCGGTCGTCCAAGAAAAAAACATGAAAGAAGCTAAAGGGACAACTACTTGCTAGTAGTTTGATGTTCACCTTCGCTGCTCCTGCTGTCTCCTGATTTTGAGAAAAACTCGGAATAAACTCTTCACTGTGTTGACTGGTGTGAAAAATCATACAAAAACAAGTTGGAAGATGTTGAACAAAAAAAAGTAGATGGGTCAGCGATCAACATTGGGACCTATTTATTTGCGGTCGCAACAGAAGAATTTCAAAGCAGCGAAACGACATAGAGTCTTAAATTCTCCGAAGTATGATATGCAAGTAGGAGCAGGCATTAGCAGTGGGTCGTGACTTTTGTAGTTACGCCCATATCTGTCTTCCCTTGCCGGTCGAAGGTTGTTCGGATGCGCAGCTGCAGAGAATGAAGGACATTTATTTTGGGAAGCATCATGCGAAGAGAAAGTAATTTATGTTTCTGTGCTTGTACCTCTGCAAATGGATCTATTGTGGGGACGAGGAAGGAAAATCGCGGCCCAGATCAAAAGCAAAATCCGCGATGAGTATGACAAATCAAACCGAAGTTAATGCCACCACGATCTGATACTCTCACCTGATTTCTTGGTGCGAATAAAATTTGTTTTGCTCAATTCTGTGCTTTCATTCCCTTTATTTTTTTCGTAAAATTTGGCACTGTGACTGTATGGAAAGAATGCAATATCGAGCATGAACAAAATCAAACACAAATCGAGATCGGAGAGGTCTGCACCGCCCGTAGAGCTGCGCGGAGTGGTGGCAAGAGGCGCTAACTGCCGGAGCTTAGAATCCGGTTTATGCTGGAGCCACAGCCAGAGTTGGTTCGGTGTGGTACCGCTTCATAACTACACATTTCATTAAACTTAATTTGTTTTTCATTTTTTCCTTGCAGGACGACATTAAGCTTGCAATTTTTTTTCTCGGTGTTCAAAGCGGCAGTATCAAATCTCATCCATCAGGTCATTAAGATAAGAAACCAGACAAGAGTTGTTCACGAGTAAGTACCATATGATCCATCACTTTGGGGTTGCATAAGTAGATACAACTTTTTCTATTTCAATAGGCAGAAGAACTACCGTATTCAGAAGCGCATTGTGATTGTGTTGTATCAACCATCTCTTCATTCTCAGCTCCCCGTTGTTGTCGAGAAATTTTCGTTCATGCCAACAAGCCTCCATCTCTAGTAAGGAAAAGAACTTCCACAAAAAAAGTGATAAATCGAACGTATTTGTGAACTTTTAGCAAAGCAGATTGGTTAGTATTTTTTCTCGTCCGTTTACAAGCAAACAAGAACAACAAATATAATTTTCACAATCGAAGGTCGCGTGTCCGTCCTACTTTGGCCGCTGAGAGCGCTATTTCCAGGAGCCCGAAGAGCAAGAACATATCGAAAGCCGTCGCTGAGCAGCTTGACTTTCCCCGGGGCCGACGCGTCGTGAAGACTCGGCACGACCACTAGGGTGGGCCAGAGGGCTCAACAGCACGTACTGTCGGAACTACAAGTTAAGTACCTCACTTCACCGATTATAGACAAACCCTCCTCGTCCACCACTCGGACCATGATGCCGTCCTCCGACGTGCCAGCCCAGCAGATGCCCATGACCAGCTTCATGGAAATGCAGCAGCAATTTCAGCAGCAGCAAGGTCAACACGGAAATAATCCGATAAGTAGTAACGGCATGAACAACAAGCCGGGGATGATGCAAGCTGCTCCTGTCGGACCGGACGGCGTTCCGATCGGGGGAAATGGAGACCCGCATCAGCAATTCGACACGTTTGGTACTTCTGGGGATCAACAACAACAGCGTCATAGCAGCAGTAACAACCGAAGTGGTGTTGCTCCTCACAATAATTCCTCCAGGAGAAATTTCGGGGGTAAAGATAACCCAAACCTGCAGCCGCTTGGAGGACTAAACTCTACTACTTCCGGTGGCGGAAAAAATTACCACATCCAGCAGGGCGGTGGTGCAGCAGCAGCGGGTGGAGCCGTGGGGCAGCAGCAAGGGTTTGTTCCGCCTAACATGGATAGCCAGCAAGGGATGAACATGATGATGCAGCAACATCCAGGTATGAATATGATGCAGCAACACCAGCACCCAGGCATGATGCAACAACCACACCCAATGATGATGCAGCCACCTCCTCTCGGGCCCGGGGGTGTGCCTATTCCCCCTGGCGGTGCCATGGGCGGGAATACTATGATGCAGCAGCCACAACTACACCACCCTGGCATGATGTCCGGCGGACCACATCAAAACCAAGCCAACAGCCCGGACCGTGGGCCGCTTGGAGGTGCTCATCTTCCGGGCCAACATCCGCAAAATAGTAGTACCCTTCCATCAGGAAATAAACCTCCTAACAGCCGGGAGAACGAGGTGTTTGTTGGGGGGCTGCCGCAGACCTGCACGAAGGAGGACTTTGAGCGACACTTCCAGCAGTTCGGGAAAACGTTTAAGTGCGAGTTCAAGGAAGGCAAGGGGTTCGGGTTTGTGGGGTACTGCAACGCGGAAGACGCACAGGCAGCGATCCAGGGCGCACGGACTAACCCCATTCACGGAAAGGTGGTTGACGTAAAGCCGGCGGAGCATCGGTTCAACAAGGGGGCAGGAGGTAAATCAATTTATCATGATCGACAAGTTGCTCGTACACAACATACAAAGTGCATCACAAATTTTGCCAACCTACCACTTGTCATGATGCTGGATACGTTTTTGAATGAAGATTTGGATTTTGTCATGCAGTGCCAACAGCATGATGCTAAATCGAAAACCCAACTAAAACGAAACCCATCACAGGTGGCGGAATGTTCCCCCCGCAAATGGGGGGCTTTCCGGGTATGATGGGCATGAATCCAATGCTCGGCGGGGGGCCGATGATGTATCAAATGTAAAAATGTCTGGGTCTGGAAGAATGCAACTTGTGATGCTGCATTTGGATTCCAGAAAAATCTGTATTGCATGAGTACCAAAAGGAATGTAATTTTTGCTACGTGGAGAGGGCATTTGTCATGCGGAATAGGCATCAAGAAGCTCTCAAAAAATCTGTGATGCTAGGGCATGCATCACAGACATCAGGGCTCATGCAAAACGTGCATGACAAGTGTCAGAATCTTCCAGACCCAGACATTTTTACATTTGATATGATGGGCATGAATCCCATGACGGGCATGATGCAGAATAACCCCATGATGATGAACCAGTTCAACCCCCTGAACCCGAGCAATATCCACCCGCACAACCCCAACCACCCGAACAACCTGGCGAACAACACGCCCTACTCCTACCACGGGTTGCACCAGCACAACCAGCAGAACAAAAAATCCTGCTGCATCTTCGTGGGCGGGCTCCCGCCCACCGCGCACTACGAAAAGTTTCGCGGGTACTTCGAGAAGTGGGGCAAGGTCGTCAAGTGCGACCTGCGCGAGGGGAAGGGCTTTGGCTTTGTCACGTTCGATATGCATTGCAAATATGTCTAGTTCTGGAAGAGTCGCACCTTGTGATGCAAAATCCGGATCACACTGAAATTTGTGTTGCGTGAACTCCAATAGATATTGCCCATAAATATCTTTCTACGCACATAGGGAGTGATTTCTTATGCGGAGTAGGCTTCACGAAGCCTGACCTGTGATGCTTTTGCGTGCATTCCAGATCATGTGCGTGATCCGCAAGATGCATGACAAACTCTCAGACCCGGACGTATTTGCATTTGATATTCGAGTCCGAGGAGGTGATGGCGATGGTGATCGCGAACCGGGTATCCTATGTAAAAACGTACCCACCCCATAGTCAAGATGGGGAATCGGCTAGACAAATCCACATGCTTTTGCTGTTTCGCATGACAAATTTGGACGCGTAGTGTAGTGCTATTTGAGCTAGTTCAGCAGCATTACAGATCTAGTCTCTCATGCTGATTGGAGCATGACAAATTTCAAAACACCATTAGAAAATGCTCCTCATGGGGCTCCGCATGAGAAACATTTTAAGTATGCAGATTTGCATGACAACTACGGTGTGGGGACGTTTTTACAAAGGATACCGGGAACAGCACCAGATCGACGGGAAATGGATCGATTGCAAAGCCGCGGAGGACAGGAAAAATCAACAGATCGAAGCACAGCGACTGGCGGTATAGAGTTGATTTTTTCATTTTTGCACGCATTTTTCATTTTTTGAAGATGCCTCTTATGAAGGGTCAATGAATTATACAGATGATGCGGTCTGCGCATCTGATATCAGCTGTGGAGGTTGAGGTTCTGCGAAGAACTCTGCATAAATTTTGAGTTACTTCTGCGGGATGATCGATGCACCGAAGGCCGCTGGACGAGTTTACAACCTCGAGAGACGAAAGGGATTGAAACTCAACGAAAAAAAAATTACAGCAAAACCCGGCCCCCACGCAGATGATGTTCGACCCGGCGGCGATGTCAAACCCAAGTTACAATCCCATGAGCTCTACGGACCCGGCGGCAAACATGCTGAACCCGATGATGTAAGCATTGCAAATATGTCTGGGTCTGGAAGAATGCAAACTTGTGATGCGCATTTCACAACGCATAAAAATCTCTCATGCATACGCAGCAAAAGCTGCCCACTTTCTGTCACCTCCAAAGTCGGGCACTTGTGATGCAGATTCGGCATTGCGGAAGCTTCTCGAAGCCTGTGATGCTAGAGCTTCCATGCCGGACCTTCTGCGTCATGCAAAAGCAGCATGACTCTTCCAGACCCAGACGTTTTTGCATTTGATATGATGCTGGCCATGATCATGCAGCCTGAGCTTGCCCTGGCGGCGCAGCAGGGATCCACCTCTCCGGTGAAGGCACCCGCCGCCGCGCCAGCAGCACCAGCACCAGCAGCGGCTGCTCCCGTCGCGGGCGCAGCAGGTACTTCGAAATAGAATTCTGTTTTAGGAAGAGCTTTTTTTTGTACCTACTTCGTGAAACGTTAAAAATAAATATGAGCTTGTCTTGTATGTAGTGAGGTCACCGAACGGTTCTAACCGGGGAGTTTTTTTGACAGCTACCCTGAAAAACGACCGGCAGTTTTGAAGCGGCCGGAAGTGTTTTTGAGCATAAAAAGTTTTCACTTATCAAGCGGCCGGGGCGTTTGCGGCAAAAGAGCCCGAGCGGATTCTATCGATTCGCACTCGATAAAACGACGCAGGGGAGCCGGCAAAAGGGGCGCCCTTCTCAGGCGCCCACCGCCTTGGTTTCTGGCGATTTGGGGCGCCCAAAAGGGCGCCCGAAAAAAACGCGCCCAAAATCAGAACAGCGAAACAGCACGGCACGGCCGAGATTTCGGAGCATTTTGGGCGGCCGCAAAAGCGGCCGCCGTTTCGCCGGTTTTAGAGCCTGTGAAGCTTTGCAAAAAGCGCCGGCGAGAAAAATACAAACGCAAAAAAGAAAAAGCGCGCCAGACGCGCAAAGCCAATCCGAATGCTATGGGCCCGATTTTTCGTCGCTTTTTGGGCGCCCCCCGTGGCGCCCGGATCGACCCCATAGCATGGGGGCTGGCTTTCGGAAGGCAATTTCGAAAATTTGCCAAAATTTGCGACGCTCATCAAGCAGCCGCCATACCGTGTGGCCTAACGTTACTCACGGCGGTATGGCGAGGCCAGAAAAAGCAAAGCCGCGGCCAAGGCGACGGCCGGCAAGAAAACGCCCACGACCTCACTACCTCCGCCCCGGCGGCTATATTTGGTAGTACTTCGGAAAGAAAACGATTGATGCTGAAGAATCTCAGTTGATCTGCTCAGTTGACATCAGAGTTGTCGTTTGTGGCGAGAAGTTGCATCTCATTTCAGGAAAATGACCAAAATTATCCGTAAATAAATCGCAGATCCCGCCGCAGCTGCGATGAGCAACCCGATGCTGATGATGCAGCAAATGATGATGATGCAGCAGATGATGGCCCAGCAGCAACCCGCAGCACCCGGAGACAGCAAGAAAGAGGGCAATGGTGCAGCGCAAGCGGCCGCGGCACTTCCAGCGGCGGCGTCTTTACCCGGTATGATGGCGGGATTACCAGGTATGATGCCGATGATGCCAGGGGCTATAGTGCCAGGTATGATGCTATCAAATGCAAAAATGTCTGGGTCTGGAAAGTTGCAACTTGTCATGCTGTTTTTGGACTCTAAAAAAATTTGTATTGCATGACCAGCAAAATGGGTACAGTTTTTGCAGCTACACGGACAAAGCATTTCTCATGCGGAAGGTGCATCAGGAAGCCCTCTAAAAGTCTGCGATGCTAAGTCATGCATTACAGGCATCATGGGCCATGAGAAATATGCATGACAAATCTTGCATTCTTCCAGACCCAGACATTTTTACATTTGATAGATGCCAGGAGGCCTTTCCGTTGTCCCACCACTGGCTGGAGGAGCAACTGGCGCTGTTCCTGCTACCGACCAGAAAACGTCCGCAAAGGCCACGTCGAAGGCGGTGGCCCGGGCGGCGCCGTACTGATAATTCGAAGTCCACAGTTATTTCTTGTTGCGGAATGCGAATGTTGATGTCGGCACAGCATGATCGGAGGTCGCAATCACAGCATGATCGGAGGGGAAATAGTAGGAAGATTCTCTGCAGCACGCGCGGCACGGAGTGAATGCGATGAAGACCACAGAGGACCGCTGCAAACCTCGGGTGCTAGAAGCAAGTATACTGCTAAACAGTCTACATTCTATTCATCTTACCTGTTTTCATTAATTTCACATACTACAGTTTGTTATTTTCATATCGAAATAGACGACTTCTTACCTTGAATGTCGCATTGGTTTGTCGATCCAGAGAAACCAGTTTTTTCTTCTGCTTTTTCTTCATGAATGACCTGATTGCAGCAGCACGATGGATCATGATGTGTTGGTACTTTGCATTTGTCGGCAAAAAACTGTCCACAATCTTCGGAACAAACCGCCCTTGCTCTTGCGACTGCTTTATTGCGCCCCACGACACAGCCTTTTTTTTGGCACGGATGAAATAGAAGCCCATTTACATGGATAAGGAACAAGATGAAATTTTCGCGACGTTTGGTGCAGTGGCACAGACCTACGGATCTTCTCTTATGGATGGCAATTATCGTTCACCTTTTTCGTTATCACAGCAAGGACTGCCGTTGCCCTCCAACTTTTTTGTTTTCGGTCTTCTGTAATGTTGGACTCGGTTCGTTTGGATGCATGATATCCGGTCGATTTTGCAGCTTGTCTGCGGGCAGCACCACTACCAGCGTGCCAGCATAATAGTGTGATGATTTCTTGTCAAAAACAAGTAGCGGTATTACAACTGACGTACTTTCCGTTCCCTCCGCGTACCTGGCACTCCTCGAGCGCAAAATTTTAAAGTCCTTAAAGCGGCAGCGCCTGTGGTCAAAAATTTCGGCACCTAGTACGAAGTGCATGTTGTGCTACTTACGCGCTCCCATTGTGCATGTGCTTCTCAATTGTAGCTCGCAGTGCAGGACGAGTACAAAAACCACGAGGTTGATTGAGTTAGATCCCACCAACTGTAGTTTCTTTCGAAAATTCTTTTACAAACTACGGCATGGTCTTTATTCTCGAAAGCAGGCCGACACGATTGATCTGGAAACCACTACTTGTGATAGCTTCCTTAAGACAAAGACGGTCGGACTTCATTTGGGAACTATCACTAGCTGTTCCAAAAAAAAGCCGGCAGAACAAGAACCCTTCAGGATGGAGCGCCTGTTCGAAAGGAGCCGCGGCGCTTCTCACAGTACTAGCAGTTCATCATCTGGTAACCAAATGCGTGCGCGCGCGCGCGCAGAGCGCGCGCCGGCCCACGAAGCCGGCGCGCGCGCTCTGCGCGCTTGCGATATTGCTTAGCAAACGCAGCGCGAAGGCAGTTGCCGTTACCATATA